GGTCTTCTGGCCCACTGTGCGCCGCCGCGACGGCTGCACGGCCGGGCCGACCCGGAGATGGCTGCTTCCCGTCTTCCCGCGCCTTCCTGCCATCGGCGTCCAATAACCGCAGCCGGCGTGCAGCGCCGGCAACGCCGACCCAACTCGCCGCCACAGTGCGGTCGGTGTTCTTAATTCCGATGCGGGCGGTTTTGGCGGCCGCGGCACACCACCACACCGGCAACGCCAAGGAAGAACTTGGTAATGGTGGCCGCGCCGCCAGCTGCGCTCTGGAGGCTTCCGCGTGACCGGTAAAATTTTCTTATTCCCAGGGATGTTTCTCCCAGTGCTCGGCCCAAGGTTCAACCCCCTCCGCTCGGCCGCCAGCGCCGACCGCGCTCACCGCAGCCCGGCGGCCCGGCGCGCTGCGCAGTGGGTAGGGCGCGCCGGAGAGGCCGCACTGTGGGCCAGAAGACCGGTGGAGGCGGACGAAACTCTAGACGCGTTATGAGCTCCAGAGTCACTAAACAGGACGCGAACCGAACGTGGATTCCTCGTTCGGAGAGCAATCCATTGGTGGGGTCACACGCTCGGTTCGATCCCCATTTGGCGACTCCGGAGCTCAAAACGCGTTCAGAGTTTTGTCCGCGTCCACCGGTCTTCTGGCCCACTGTGGGCCGGGCCGGAGGTAATGGAGACTGCCACAGGAAAACTGGGAAAAGACTTCCACGCTTTTCGACGCTCTTCCACGCGCGACTGCCCCCACGACGGCGGCCTCGCCGCTTCACGGTCCGCTGCCGCATTCCCCGGGATTCTCCGGGATTCTTCGGGACGGCAATCGGATTCGTATTGATCCTTGACGGCGGAGCCCGGCGGAGCCGCCCGTCCCGGTGGCCGACGGCAGGCCGAGGGGGTGGGGGTGCTGAGTACTTCCGGAACGCGCCGACCGGCCCATCGGAAGTGGTCCTAACTGACTCTGCCAACCCCTGGAGGCTGGAGGCGGCTGGAGGCCCCGGGCGGCTCGGCTCCGGGCCCGAGTCCGGGACGGCCTGGAAAGGTCCCGAAGGACTTGTCTTCTGGAGAGGCGCGAAATAAGCCGATCAGGGACGCTCAAAAACTATCTGGGGACTCGGCAGGGGGGGGGGCGCTAACGTCGAGCCATTCTCGCCTGGAATCGGCGCGAAGCGCAGCGAGAAGGGAAAGGCAGTGAAAAAGAGGGAGAAGCGAAAAGAGATGCCGGCCTTGACTGCGGCGTGCTGCTCGGGCTGCTCGCTCGGCGAGGGCGCGGCGTAAGCAGCTTAACTTAACTCCCGACGGCCTGCCGGCCTGCCGGCCTGCCAGCCGGACACGTGGTCCAGCGCGTTTTACAGCTGCCGGGCCGCGCTGTGCCACGCCGAGCCACGCCGAGCTAGGCCAGGTCGATCCGCGTGCAGGTCCACGGGCCGGACTAGGCCGGGCCGGGCGGCAGGGTGGCCACCCTATAAATAAAAGAGGGGCAAATAATGCCCTGGGGCCCTTGCCCTGCCAGCCGTTGGCCAGCCGTTGGCCAGCCTGCTTGGCGTCCCGGGGGATCGAACGGTCCGGCGTGGAACTGACGAGCCAACCGCGGCACCGCGGTCTGCGTGAAGCGCGCGGCCTCGCTCCAGTAGACTGATCCCGAGAGTCGTTTTCGTCGCTCCGTCTCTCGCGCAGCGATACGGCACGGCCCGTGAGTGCGAGAGAGACGGCGGCGCGACTCTCGGAGTCGGTCTGCAGTCCAGCCTCCACCTCCACCCCCACCCCCAGCCACGCCCGGCCGCAGACCGATGCCGCCTCCGCCTTCGCGCTGCCCGCTCTGACCCACATCAAACAGACTAAAGGGGCGGCCAATCAAAAGCAGCGACCGAAAAAAAAAAACCGCGGCGCCGCCGGGATTTGAACCCGGGCGTGTCTCCGATTCTCCGAGCGCTTTCTTTCTTGCGCGTGCGGCCTTGTCAAGGAATGGAGCCTCGGGTCGCTGGTGGAGGAAATAATTACGGTCTTCGCTGGCGAAGCAGGAGGAGCGGGCGAGGCTGGAAACCTGAGCTTCCGAGATGGCGCGCCGCGGGCTGTGGGCGTGGCGGGGCCGAGGAAACCACTTTAAGTTGGCAAACAATAAGCGGGGAACAGGGATCCAAAGGGCCGATCATAATGAGGCGCTCCGTGGCCAGACTTTCGTCGATCAACCACTGCCACGCCCCCACAAGCGGGCGGGCTCTTTTAACGAGTGTAGGCCAATAAGACACGTCATACTCAGGACTCACACTCATGAGCGCGTCTTCATGACCGATTGCACTCCCGTGGCTGCATATAATCAGCTTGGAATGAACCCGTGGAAATGTACTCGACCGAGTGCACGTTTCAAGCGGCGTGTTCTGAGTTTCGGGCAGTATCACAGAGTGCCTGCGGGGAGGTTTCGCCAATCGGCCGGCAATTTGCTTCGTTTCGGACCGGAAGTGGCGTGCGGCTCGGCCGGAAGTGGGGGCAAACAAGCGCTGAGTGACTCTCGGCCGGTTTACTCGCCACCATCATTTGCTCGCGTTTGCCGCGGCGTCGTCCCGCCTTTCCATCCAACGCCATTAATTCGCCGCTTCAGAATAATGGCGAAGCCCAGTGGCCTAGCCGGGAGCGGGGAGGGGAGGGGGCGCCTCCCTTCTTCCGGCCCCCCCTTCCCCCCACCCCCGCCGGCTCGCCGCCTCGGGACCCCCAGCAGACTTCCTATTCTTTTCACCTCCCGTCGTAAACGGCTCGTTCCATTACGGCGCGGCGGACACGGCGCCCTGATTGGCCATCGCCTGGCGCCACGGTCGCGCCCCGCCCCGCCACGTCGGCCCCGGCTCTGGCCCGTCACACACAGCACGCCGCGCCACGCCGCGCTCAAAGGGGGTTGATGACAGAGAGCCGATTGGCTGGGCTCGCCATGGCTCGCCACAGCCGGGCCGGCAGACTGGGCACGGCGCGGCACCGACCGACCGCCAGCAGGCCGCACCAACCACCCGACGATAAACAACCCCACATGCAGCGAGTCGCAAGCTAATCGGACCGGAAACACGTCTAGGTCCGCCGGCCCGGCCGGTCACGCGGCCGTCACCTTGCGCGTTCGTCACGTCACAGTGTCACGCGGCATCACGCGGCCCTGGCCGGTCGCCAAGAGCAGCTCGGCGGTCGTCCCGGTGCTCGGGGCGGGGCATCTAGGCGAGGTAGTGCTGCGCAGCACCCCAGACGGGACCTTCCATTTCCGAAGGAAAAAAAACGCAAAAGAAAAAGGAAATGTCCAACCTTTTTTTTTGTTCTGTCGGCGATATATTTGTGCCCCACCACTCGGTCAGACCAATGTCACAGTTTTTTGGTCAGACTTGAATGTCACGCCGAGAGAAGGTCGGACATTAATGTGTCACTCCTCACCTCGCCTTTCGATTTTCAGCGCCACCCCACCCCCCGGCCCTGCGACACGCCCCGTGCGAGAGACGGAGCGACGAGACGAAAAGTGCCGCCCGCCCGGAGCGCCCGCGGAACGGCGGGTAGGCAAGCCCGGCGCGCACGCCAGTCCGGCACCGCAGGGATTGCCTACCCTCCGTTCCGCGGGCGCGAACCGCGCGAAACGCGAACCGCGCCAACGCTCCGGGCGGAGAGTCTAGTCGGCCAGCAGAGAGAGCTGAGGTTCCCGGAGGCTCAAGTCGACGAGTTATGTACAGTGTGCAATGGAACACAATGGAAGCAGCATGGCGCTCTAACTACAGAGTTGAGTTTGAAGCCTTTCAAAATGAATCTACAGCAGTGTCAAGCCATTTCGCCTGCACTGCGTTTCATGTACCAGCAAGCTGGAAAATCTACATTCAGTTCTATGACAGGAAGAAAGAGAGGAAGAAAGATAGTGTTAAATAAGATTAAAATTGCCAAACTCGAGCCAATTTGCGAATTTTACATCTACAGTACAAAATCCTTCTTCTACTTAAATGGAAAGAGAGTATTCCATTGAATTATTAATCAGCTTGAAGCTAGTAAAAGATTTGCTCTACAAAAAGCTTTAGTAAACAGATATTATAATAAGTCATATCATAATTTCAAAAAATAACAGAGAATCTCTTATATTGTTTTGTGGTTTAACTTTTTATGCTGTCCTATTTTCTTTAAAAAGTGTATGTTGCTCTGCTTTTTCTATTTATAAACAGAAAGTGGGACAACCCTTGGTGTTTTAATAATTTGAAGACATTTTCTGGTTGAATTGTGTAAGAATTGAATAAAATGTGTAATAATCACTACAAGGGATACTGTAGCATAAACATTGCAAGACTGTATGACCTTCATCTATTGGGGGCACTAAGAGAGTAATTGGACCATAAAAAATACCCATTAAATTAATGTTGTGAAAGAAAGTACCAACTACCTGGTCTCTTCACATTAGCAGCCTGACATAGATTCTGACATCTCTATTGGAGCATCAAAAAGTATAGCAGCATTTATTTTAGGCATGTCATGTAAGCTACTACCCTTTTGCATGCAATGAAAGTTGAATGAAGGTCTATGAAGGGCATGACCGGTTGGTTTGAGGTTAAGTTCACCACCTAATACCACCAAATGACTGGCCAGAAGCAGCAAAATAACAAGAAAAGGCAACTCTACGAATGAACACAAATATATTTAATACAAAACGCAGATAGATAGATAAAATTAACTCACGAATCTAAACACAATTCCATACAATCCATGTTAACGATCTAAACGCCCCTCTTTGCGAGATGCAAAGTGCAGTACTGCCTGCTTCTGCTTGAACCCCTAGCAGACGACTCGAAGGCACGTCTCGGACTGTACTCAACCCCAACTTCCACCACCACCAAATTTAGGGGTGGTGGTGGAAGCGGGTATAGTCCACACAGCACCTAACTGCAGAGTGCCCCACCACGAACGCACTATGCTTACCCCCACCACTAACAGCATCCCGCTCATTGCCAACTGATAAATATGAAAACTGAAAAATCGCAGTAATAATTAAAAGATCTATATCTGATATTTCAATGGTTTTATTGAGTGTTTTTATGCTCTCGTAAGATACAAAAACCTTTTGATCACATATGATCAAAATTTAATCATCCCTCCAAATCACCTCAACTTCATCTGTGCGATATCTGAAAAAAGGAAGAGAGTATGTTATTTTTTAAATTGGCAAAGATTATTGTTTTGAACATGTTTCAAATAAACAAACCTTTGTGTACAAGTAGTTTCATTCCAAGGAGTTTTCCACCCGTGCTTGAACATTTCTGAGCCAGCATGAGCTATCATAGCTCCATTATCTATACAAAACCGTTCATCTGTGGCAAATAGTTTAGCATTTCGCTCACTGCACATGATGCCCATCATTTCCTGGAGTCGTAAGTTACAGCCAACGCCACCAACAATAAGAACTTCAGATGATTCACAGTGAGCCATAGCTCGTTCTACGGACAGAACATGTACCAGACCGCAATAGCAATAGTTTTTTAAATAAAGAATAATAACTACTGTACATTACAGCACCTTACCTGTTGTTTCAACCAGCATAGCAAATATAGTTTCTTGCAATGAGAAACATAGATCCTCTGGTGTGTATTCTCCCGAATCCAAAAGACCTTGAGCTCTCTCTTCCATAAAAGATAAGATGCCAGAAAAAGAGACATCCATTCCCTTGACAGCATATGGCATTTTCAACAATTTATTTCCCCTAAGGAAGAAAGGAATAAAATTGTTAGAAAGCAATCAAATGTAGAATGCTTATTAAAAAAAAATAACATAAATTAATACAAACTTTTTTGCCATCTGTTCAATATTGTAGCCTGGACTGGGATCATTGGACAACTTAAGAACCCTTGCAAACCTATCTAAGCAGTTTCCAACAGCAATATCAATGGTTTCCCCAAATATACGATATCTTTTCCGAGCATAAGCAATTACTTGAGTGTTTCCTCCACTGACATACAGAACAGTGGGATTGTCTGCTCCAGTGATGAGGCGACCCATCTCAATATCTGGCAATATGTTAAGGACATTGAAAAAAATGACAATGAAACCAACAGTTTCCCAATGACAGAATACAACAATCCTGGAGAAAAACAAAACTTAAAACAGCACAAACAGAGAGATAAATCAAGGATACGACCTATGCAGTGGTTTACTCCTATAACGGGCTTGTTCCAAAGCTGTGCCACAGTTAGAGCTACGACTGATGTCGACACAAGTGGAGCTCCCATACCAGGGCCCTTGGTGTAGCACACTACATCTACATCCTCGGCCTTTATTTTTGCTTCCTCTAAGGCTTCTTGTAGAACTATCAGTGCATTTTGTCGATGATGCTGTGCTGTCTCTCTCGGTAAAAATCCTGAAGGTTTAAAAATATGTTGACAGTTAAACTTTAAAAAAGTAAAAGAATATCTAATATTCGAGCGCTTTCAAATGATCATTCATCGTAAATACCTTCGCCTGGAGGTGTTATGTATGTTCTTCGAGGATTTGACAGTACCACACCTTCTTTCACTATGCCTATACCCAACTTGTTGGCACTTCCTTCGAATCCAATGGCGATGACCATGTTAATTGGGAACGTACGAAAGCAATCTTCAAATAAATGTGTCGGGCTTTACTAATTTGCATCGGCTTGCACGTCCCACAGCATCTGCACGGTTTTGTGAAGGTTAGAGGTTATGTTTTCTTTGCAGAACTACACTACACATCAAAACACGTCCAACAAAAAAATTTCGGAAAGAAAATAGAAACGTACTTTAGGTATGAGCGTGGGCCTCTCCTTCATTTGCAACATAGAAATATTGTTCTGATGTCGAAAATACTTCGCCCATTCAAAAAAATTGCACAATAACATTACCTTTGACACGGACTCCCGCTGCAGTAGAGCACACGGGAGACATAGGAACCCCGAAACCCCACACACCGCCCGCCCTGACACAGGCACGTGGCTGCCGCTTCCTTCCACTTGTCTCTCTCGTTGCTCTCGTTCACCCGCCCCACCCCAACCCCACTCAGATTGGCCGGCCGAGGGGGAAGTTCAGAAGGTCTTTTGCCCTCCCTTCCTCTTCCCCCTTTTCAGACCGGTTCTGGATCCGCCCTTGAAGCTCGGCGGGTCCTTCCAAGACACTGTCGAATTCAGAGCGGCGCGACTTGGTTTTAGATATTTGCCCATTGCCGAGTCGCCGCTTTGCGCCTCTCCCTGGGGGAGGCCGCGAGTCCGTGTCCGTGTCGCGTCGCGCACCGAGAGGAGAAAGGCGGAGGCCGCGTCCCTTTCTTTACGCCCCAAACCGCGAATGACTCGTCGGAAGGGCGTCGGCCCCGACGGCGTGGGGGAGGCCGTGGACGTGTCAGACGTCGCGGTCGTCCTCGCACTCCGCCGCGCCGGCCTCCTGCGCCTCGGCGAGAGAGAATGGCGGCAGCGCCCCAAGTTTTACAGCAGAAGTTAAGTGCCCCCCCCCCTCTCCCCCGGGGAATGGACGAAAATGGATAATAAAAAGGGAACAGAACAACAGTATATTTAGATTCACCCTTCTTTTTGTCACCAACATATTCCTTACTTCAATAATACTCTTCAACAAGTTACTTTAGAAATACAAGGGAAAACTTAAGAATCATCTGTATCAGTTTTTTAAAATTTTATTTTTATATCAATTTGAAATCAAACAAACCTAAATCCATCCAAGATAAAACATTTCCATTTCTCCTTAATTTAGCCATTGTTAAACACAAACGACAAAGTACCATAGAAAGTTAAAAAATACCACATGACAAAAAAACACATCCTGTACTCTTATATTGTTAGTTCTCGTCATGATGCTTACACCAAAACATTCCTACTGACTTGCGCAGGTAACATTTCAAAATAAAAAGAAAAGTGCCGTTCAAGAAGCTTGGTAAAAAAAAGAACACAACCATCAAAGTTAATGGAAGAGAGGCTTACAAAGGTCATCTAATTAGCTTAAATTTTCAATATTTACCACCAAATGTCACAAACATATTTCTCAAGAATAGAACTCCAGTAAATTTCGGTATAAAAGGAAAACTTGACATTCATCTACATCGCTTCATTTTAATTAACAATTTAAAAAAAAAGGAAAACCAAGCAGCAAATCAAATACAGCAGTTTTTCAAAAATTATCAGAGTTATCAGAAACACCAACTAGGAAAAAGGGACTGAAGTTAAGCCCGAGTGTTCACACCGCCAGTTCCCCGGACTCAGGGATCCTGGCTGGCTGTTTAACTTGACTTAAGAAATAGTGGCAACGGAGGGGTTCACTGTTTCTCCCCTTTTGTTTTACCGAAGCCTTTAACGTTTTGGTGTGCACTCGCCGGGGGGACTGTTTCTCCCGACATTTTTTTTAGGGCAAGCAAAGGGGAAAAGTCACTGACAATACAGTAATCACAAATTGAAAATAACAGAAAAAAATGGTTAAAATACATCGTAAAAGGAACATACTGAACAACATTAGACAATGGATTAGATTCACCATCTTGACCTACATATTCCTGAATTCAATAATACTCTTCAACAAGTGACGGGAAAATTTACACTATCATCCATCATGAATCATTCCTACGTTTTTTCATAACAATTTGAAATAAAACAAACTAATAACACCATCCTCTTTAAGGTATAAGATATAACATTTCCATTTCTCCTAATTTAGCTATTATTGAACACAACTGACAAAGTATTAAGTTAAAAAATACTACTATGAACAAAACACAGCATCGTGACGAAGAACCAATAATGTAAGAGTACAGGCTTACACCACCACATTCCTACTGACTTAAGCACATAACATTTCAAAATAAAAAAAAGTGCCTTTCAAGAAGCTTGGTAAAAGAAAACAAAAAACACAACCATCAAAGTCAATGGAAGAGAGGCTTACAAAGGTCATCTAATTAGCTTAAATTTTCAATATTTACCACCAAATGTCACAAACATATTTCTCAAGAATAGAACTCCAGTGAATTTCGGTATAAAAGGAAAACTTGACATTCATCTACATCGCTTCATTTTAATTAACAATTTAAAAAAAAGGAAAACCAAGCAGCAAATCAAATACAGCAGTTTTTCAAAAATTATCAGAGTTATCAGAAACACCAACTAGGAAAAAGGGACTGAAGTTAAGCCCGAGTGTTCACACCGCCAGTTCCCCGGACTCAGGGATCCTGGCTGGCTGTTTAACTTGACTTAAGAAATAGTGGCAACGGAGGGGTTCACTGTTTCTCCCCTTTTGTTTTACCGAAGCCTTTAACGTTTTGGTGTGCACTCGCCGGGGGGACTGTTTCTCCCGACATTTTTTTTAGGGCAAGCAAAGGGGAAAAGTCACTGACAATACAGTAATCACAAATTGAAAATAACAGAAAAAAATGGTTAAAATACATCGTAAAAGGAACATACTGAACAACATTAGACAATGGATTAGATTCACCATCTTGACCTACATATTCCTGAATTCAATAATACTCTTCAACAAGTGACGGGAAAATTTACACTATCATCCATCATGAATCATTCCTACGTTTTTTCATAACAATTTGAAATAAAACAAACTAATAACACCATCCTCTTTAAGATATAAGATATAACATTTCCATTTCTCCTAATTTAGCTATTATTGAACACAACTGACAAAGTAATAAGTTAAAAAATACTACTATGAACAACACACAGCATCGTGACGAAGAACCAATAATGTAAGAGTACAGGCTTACACCACCACATTCCTACTGACTTAAGCACATAACATTTCAAAATAAAAAAAAGTGCCTTTCAAGAAGCTTGGTAAAAGAAAACAAAAAACACAACCATCAAAGTCAATGGAAGAGAGGCTTACAAAGGTCATCTAACTAGCTTAAATTTTTAAAATTTACGAATAGGAAAGAACTCCAAGTAAATTTTGATACAAGAAGAAAACTTGACATTCATCTACATCTTACTTCATTTTTGGTAACAAATTTAAAAAAGCAAACCAAATATAGCATATTTTCAAAAATTATCAGAGTTCAATTCAATGATCAACAAGTGAAGGGAAAATTTTCAAAATCATCTAAACGCTCATCTATATCATGAATCATTTTAACATTTTTTCTCAACAATTTGATATAAAACAAACCAAACACCATCCTCTCAAAATGATTTTAGCTATAACAATTCCATTTCTCCTTCATAAAGCCATTGTTGAACGCGATCGACAAAGTAACAAAAAAGTTAAAAAATACCACATGAAAAAACACAGCATCATAATTAACAAAGAATTAACATTGCAAGAGTACAGGGTAACCGTACAGAAAAGAATTCAAGTCTGACTTGCGCACCTGCTAAATTTTTTAATTGAAGTGCCTTTTAAGAAAGCATGAGGAGTAAACACCACCATCAAAGTGAATGGAAGAGAGGCTTCAACAACGGCTCATCTAATTAGCTTATAAAAAATTACTCAATGCTGGCCCATTTCACATCCCCCAGATCAGAATTTACATTTAAAATCCCAGGACAAATATAATTTTAAGAAAACTGGGCATCTGTGCCCTCTTGAGCAGCTAACTTTAATTCCAATAGTGCTCTTTTAAGCCATCAAAAGTGAAAAAATTGTGCTGTGACAAAGCACAAAAACAGAAAAAGTGAGGAGCTCAAACAGAGTCTAAATTCACAATTCATGAGGGGGCTTGTTCCTATTAAGGCGATGACAGGCCACGTATGAAAATGACCATGAATCTGAATCTCCCAAAGGGATGCTCACTGGCAGAAGGGGGGAAACTGACGAGATTCTAAGAAACAATCACTTTCAGCATTGTGAGAGCGTGAGTGATCAACAGCAAGGGAAGTTTGAACAAGATCACCAAAATGCATAACTTGTGGAAAAGCATTAACTGGAAAATTGAGAAACACCTCTAGTCTCAATGATATGATTTCATGAAATTGATTTTCAACATTGTGAAAGGAAGAGTCGGCTTCAACATACTACCTGTGTTGTGCGGAAGGTTCTACCCCATGTGTGTCAAAGTTTGCCACATTTCCCAGATTTTATGGCACTTCATTATGCTTCATGTTATGTTGAGTTGTTTTCTATTGCACTATTGTTGTACAGGTGTTTCTTGTTAATTAACTGTCATCATCAGTAAAGCTGTATCCACTCCATGTGGAGCTTGGAAAGTGTCTAATTCTGTTCCTACTGAACTCTACATTTTCCTTCCAGGAAGCAGACGAAGGCTATGATTCTGGATTCTAGAATCTGGATTATTTCCTAGCTTCTACCTCTACAATAATTTAAAGCATATTTTGGGAAGAACATTGTAGCACACAAAATAACATGGAGTCACTATCTACGATCTAAATAACACAGGGGGCCCCATAGCTGTGCACCTATACCATCACCATCCAACTACCACATGCCATCACACTCCACTACACAGCTTAATGTTCTTCCAAAAAATATGCTTAGAGAATAGCCATGAAAAAGGGCGCCCTTTAGCATGGATACTATCATTAAGTTTGGACAAGTGTAAACCAAGTGAGTAAACAAAACTTCATTTGTTGTGAAATTTAAAAGCCGACTCAACCAGTGTTCATTTTCAGTGCTTCTCTTTAAAGAAGAGATATGACGTTAAAGCATGAATAAAATTAACCTCCACACTTTTCTTCAGGGTTTTGAATGAAAGAAAGAAAAATGGAATGAATGTGAATTCTCTGAACTGAAATGCTCACATCAAGTGTAAAAGGACCATAAAATGAACCTACGGTTCTGCTAAACATCAGCAGATGAAGGGGAAAATGTGACAAACCCCTAACACAAACTATAAATTTGAGACTCTGTTTGAATATGGTTCATTTTACACCATTTCTAATTCTGCACTTTTGGCCATCAAAAGACAGCAAGAAGAAAAACTGACTTGGGGTATTTGAGTAAAGACTGATCCAAAGGAAATTTTGGGCAAGTTGAGAGTTAAAAGATTTGAGAGCAACTCCTCTAAAAAATTGGAAACCAAGTTAAAAGCCATTGCCAATCTGAAGCAACTCTTGCCTAACACAATAACAGAGCATAAGCTCACAATCCCATTGGTTCAGAAGATTAACATAATATTGAGCTTGGTCTTCGCAAGGACAGTCCAACCATCTCGGGATATATTCTTACTCACAATAGTACAACAAATGGGGGTCGAGCACAGTTGGTCAAAATGACGCATCACCACACCACTCTCTTCTCAAATTGGATTGAAGAAGCAAGGCTTGTGTCAGTTGGTCAAAATGATGCATCCACCACACCACTCTCTTCTCAGATTGGATTGAAGTAGCAAGGCTTGTGTCAGTTGGTCAAAATGATGCATCCACCACACCACTCTCTTCTCAGATTGGATTGAAGAAGCAAGGACTCAACTCTTGGATGACTGCATCTCACTTCTGCACTTGACATTGAAGCCCTCCAGGTGTTTAGTACAGCATTCATTGAGGGAGAGTGTTCTCTCTTGACCAGCAACCGGTGAATACATGCCCCTGGGGATATAAAGAACAAATAAGAAACAGAGCATGGGAAAAATCGAAGATGCACATAGAGCACAGCATACTTACATATTCACACATCACAATCTGTGTTGCCATTTAGTTCAAATGGTGAAGTCTCCAGTCCTAATCAATCACGTATCTTAACTTCTTGAAACATTTAGGCTGACTGGACCGTTAGCTGAAGAAAATGAAAATGTAAGAATAAGTAAAGAGATAATGAAAATATCAGCAACAATAGGAGACGAAATTCAACTCATAACTTACAGACTCAAAAATTTTGATGCGTTTGCCTCTTGAAAACATCCTTTTTTCTTCCCTCTTTGTCAACAAGAATTGGATCCTGTCACAACATCAATCGCCCTGCTTAGGTCGTCAGCTAGAAGAAAGAAAACAGAAACAGCAGATTAGTTTGGGTTCAAAAGGAAGGGGATACTCTGAAATGAAGAAACAACCTATGAACTTACATAGTAAAATCGTTCCACATTGAGTCAAATAAAAATCTCTGTTGGCAATAAGAAGTACATCGATCACACTCTACTATGGTTTGAAGACTCGAAGCAACCATTTGGTGTCTCCGCAACGCTGATTGTTGTTCTATGCCTGCGACACATGTCCAGGCACTTTCATATGGCCTCCACACAAATTAGCAGCGAGGCAGGACAGTCACCTGAAAATGAATAAGACAAACCTGTAGAGACTGGACAATATTGTGACACTGAGAATTTAAATGGAATTCAAAACTAGTCCCTAGTCATGAATTGAGATGCTAGAAAACTGAAAATTAACAAAGTTTCAAGGACGACAACCTTACCTTTGAACAGGCAACCTTGAGCTTGTAGGCTCTGTGGCTCTGGATGCCCGGCTTTGCGGCTTTGGAGATGCTCTCATTTTTCCTCACAACCAATTGCATGGTCACTTGTTGGGATATCATTTGTGATGGACCCGGCGGCTTTTATATTGTCATCATCTAGCAAGAAAAAAATACCAAGGTTAAAGTATTGCACACAAATAAGAAGAAACCCGATAAAGCACCAAGAAAAGAACTTTCTTACTTACATGATAAGGTTCGATGCCTCACGACCCACGCAGACTTAAGTCTAGGCTAGTCTAGGCTACATGCCCAACCGGTCCGGTCGCTTGGTTACCCGGGCCGGGTAGCGACGGGTCGGAGGGGACGCGACCGGGACTTCGACGTCCTCCTCCTCGACGTCAGAGCTTGAAGAGGAGCTTGAAGAGGAGCGTGAAGAGGAGCGTGAAGAGGAGCGTGAAGAGGAGCGTGAAGAGGAGCGTGAAGAGGAGCGTGAAGAGGAGCGTGAAGAGGAGCGTGAAGAGGAGCGTGAAGAGGAGCTTGAAGAGGAGCTTGAAGAGGAGGCGGTGCCGGCGGTGGCGCGGGTGGCGGCGTGGGCCAGATACCGCTGTATGGCCCTACCAAGCGCACTCGGCCCGCTGCCGCTGGTGCTGGTGGAGGCGCCACAATTGACGTACCTGGCCGATACGAAGCTTGGTGGATAATGGTCACTAACAAAAAAGGAAAAGCGACGGATAAATACCACGGACTATTTCAAGTTCACCTAGGGACAGCACCTTGCGACAAACTTACAGGTCACGGTAGGTAATAGCCTGGCCGCTGTTGCCTGCGCCGCTGTTGCCTGCGCCGCTGTTGCCTGCGCCGCTGTTGCCTGCGCCGCTGTTGCCTGCGCCGCTGTTGCCTGCGCCGCTGTTGCCTGCGCCGCTGTTGCCTGCGCCGCTGTTGCCTGCGCCGCTGTTGCCTGCGCCGCTGTTGCCTGCGCCGCTGTTGCCTGCGCCGCTGTTGCCTGCGCCGCTGTTGCCTGCGCCGCTGTTGCCTGCGCCGCTGTTGCCTGCGCCGCTGTTGCCTGCGCCGCTGTTGCCTGCGCCGCTGTTGCCTGCGCCGCTGTTGCTGGCCTGGCCGCTCGTGCTGGCCCGACGACGCTTTGGTGGAATGTCATCACTAACAAAAAAGAAAAGCGACAAATAAATACCACGGACTACTTCAAGTTCACCTAGAGGCAGCTCCTTGCGACAAACTTACGTTGGTTGAAACATGCGTTTCCTGCTGGCCTGACTGGTGCTGGCCTGACTGGTGCTGGCCTGACTGGTGCTGGCCTGACTGGTGCTGGCCTGACTGGTGCTGGCCTGACTGGTGCTGGGTCGTGGGCCACGTGGGCCACGTGGGCCGGGCGAGCCGGGTGAGCCAGGCGAGCCGGGTGAGCCGGGTGAGCCGGGCGAGCCAGGTGGAGGTGGAGGTGGCAAGACACTGTATGGAAGAAACGCAATAAGCTCACCAAGTTCAGACACCTAACATCAGCTATCAAACGATCGGTCCGCTTACCTGCTAACCTCCTGCGTCAAGTAGAAAAGGTTCGACGTGATCCGCATGCAAGCCTCGGCGAAGGCCAATGAGTGCGGCTTCCTTAGCCTGGAAGAAGAGCAAGTTGAAACACACTTTCTCGGGGCCGACCACCAAGCGAGTCACTCGTTATTGACTGAATACTCACTCGTCATCGCCGGCGCGCGCGGCTACGGCGGCCCTGCGCAAAGACAGCAGCAGCACTGCCGAGTCTGCTTCGACGGCGTCGTCTAACTCCCGGCTGCAAGCAGAAGGGACAGATGAGACAATTGCCACTTAAAGGCCAGGCAAGCTAGCAAAGCCCGAAGGCAAACTCACATGTGATTGTTTTGGCGCACCGCACCAGCGACATCTCCACGTGCCATTTCCTCCACGAAGTGCATTTGGAGCAAGTCTTCCACCACTTCATCATCTGCGACCACCTCGCCCGCGTCGGGGAGGGGCGTCAGATTAGATCCGAACATTAACTTAAACATCCTGGCGTTATAGTTAAACGTTTGGACCTTAGCCGGGCTGAAACAGACACGTCACTTAATGCAAAGAAATAGGAAAAAGAAAAGAAAGAACAAGAAGGCCCGACAGGTAACTTACTCATTCCGGTCAAAGTTCCGGCATCCACGCCTCACATGAACAGAGTAATTGGCCAGCGAGTTAAGGACACAGGCACAGAAATTGCATCGCATGCGATTAGGCGCCGCCGCATAGCGGACCGGCCCCGCGACTGGTACCCATACGCCCTCGCCGCCATCCGGCTGGGGCTCGCATGAAGCGATGAGCTCGTACATTACTGCAACAAAAACTTTGGGTAAGCAAGGAGCAGCCCACGCGTGCACGCCGTGGCGCGAGACATCAAAAACGGTTGCACTGCTTACCTTGGTGAGTCGCCGACACGTTAATTATTTTGGTGCCAGGCAGAAGGAACGCTCTCTCTCTCCGATAGGATACAAGATCTTGATTCAGCTGAGCCAAAACGCCTGCAAACAGAAAGGAAAACATTAAGGGAGAAGCAAAGACTAGGCGGCCGCCAATTCACCTATTCTGACCATCACGAAGCGAGCACACAGGCTCTCTCTCTCTCTCAAGGCGGCATATGGGAAAGACAAGGATGGGTGCGGCTGAGCGGCGCGTTGGTTTGCCTTTGATCGAACCTAACCGCTCGCTAGCGCAGCGAGTCAGCCAGCGCTGTGCGAGCTCGGCTGCTCGGCTACGCAACGCAGTGCTACGAGGCGGCCAGCCCAGCCAGCCCACAGCTAACAGCCGGTGCCACACGCTCGGATCGAGTCCCATACAAGTAGCGACTAAAGCTCAAAACGCGTCTACAATTTTGACCGCCTCTACCGGTCTTCTGGCAAACTCACTGTGTGCCTCGGCTCGGAACGAGCGGAGCGGGTTCACGAAATCAGAAAAATGGGGTACTCTGCTGCAGCTACTGCAGCAGGCTGGGCACCGAAATCGCCCGGCGGGCGCTGTCGAGTCTAGGCTTGTGCCGGGGCCGGCCCGGGCATACACTGGATACTGGACACCGGCCTCGGCCATCTCACTCTCAGGGACAAACAAGGATGGATGCGGCCTTGCGGCCGAGCCGGGCCGAGCGGCGCGCTGGTTTGCTTGGAATCAAAACGCTCGCTGAGCGCAAAATTTCCGTTTAGAAAAGTGGAGTGAGGACGACGGCAACTACCGAACTATCATAGACAAGGAGGCGCCGGCCTGCCTCCCGGCCGCACCGCACAGCGTGACTGCGGACTCGCACAGACGGGACGCGTCCGGACACGCAATCGCTCGCCGCGAAGCCCGGGACGCCACCAACCCAGTAAATGGCCAGAACACTGAACGACACTAGAGAAGGTGTTGACCGACTCGGCCCGGCTTGGCCCGGCTTGGCCCGGCTTGGCCCGTCTTGGTCCAGCGGCACGGCACGCGACGCGGGGTAACTTGGTGAGCGGCCGGGCGAGAGGGAAAAGTTCCGAAGCACCGATGCTCGACCAGAGGCAGGGCAGACAGACGGACGCGGGCTGGCTGGGCTGGCGAGCAGCGCGCGTCGCCGAGTCAAGCCAAGCAAACCGCAAAGGAATGGTCGAAAACAGACCCAGCCGAAGCACGGCGCCACGGCGCTCGGAATGAAAGCAAACTGTCCCAAACACCAACGTCATGGACGTCAGGGCGGCGAGCCGGACGGAGAAGCGCGCCTAAGCTGCGCCGCGCGAGCCGACACGGAGGCGGACCACTGCCGCAAGCTAAGCAAGCCCCGGAGCCGCGCAACACTGTCAAATGAATCGACGCCAAGCCACGCACAGCGCGACCCAGCGGCACGCGAACCGGATCAAACGGTCAAGTCCTACCCTACAGCAGGCGCGTCGGCAGTCGCGTCGAATGGGGCACATCACAACAGTGTGGCCGGTCAAGTCCTACAGCACGCCGCGAGCACGTTGGAAGTCGCGTCGAATGGGGATCAGCCCAGTTCGCGGCCGGCGCCGACAAGCCACGAAGGGGCAAGACACGGGACGACAAACAACACTGAATTGAAAACAAAAACACAACTTACCCCGACGCGGACGCAGTCTTGGAGCCATTTTCAACAAGATATACCAAAGATGTCCACGCGAAGAACTAATAAGAGTACTAAGCGAAAAACTGCTGGAATCGCAGACAGATATATAAAACTGAGCACGCGATATATACAAATGGAGGGAATCGCAGAGCGAGACTTCGGGATAGCAAATCGCAACACCGACCAGGAGCAAGACGATTCAAAGAATGACAGTGCGGCCCTCGCTCGCCGCGTCGTCGCCTCGCCCAGCCGCTCCCCCGCTCAGCACCGCTCTGCTTTCGGATTGGCTGCCGGTCCCCCACCACAACCCGCTTGCGCGCCTGCAAAGTAGTTCCCACCACAGATGCTTCTGTTAACAAATTGTGTGATTTAGACAATTGTCACTACTCGGAATACGCGTTTTTATTTGTATTTATGACTAAAATGATAAAATATACTCAATATTTCTTGTAAAGAGCTTGCTATCAAATAGCTTGCTGTGCTGTTGATGTCCAACGAGGGTCGGGACTTGTTTACGCGCTGAGACCAGCAGACGACGCCAGTGACGCTCAAAACTAGCACTATTTTAAAACCCTGATGATTTTTTTTACTAGATCTATGTTGACAGGTCGTTCCTCAGCACATAAACAGTACTCCGAACTACCGCGCCTCTTTGCTGTCAATCCTAGTTTCAGAAAGTTTCAACTAAGCTCTCTGAAGCACTTTGGATCAAAGAACAAAACTTTCTGTTTCTAGACAGGGTTTTTTTTCTCAAGAGGCAGATTATTTGCAAGATTCGATCAATTTCTTTGGCGTCGGCTGCTGTGTAGACTTAGTTCGCGGAAGCTGCTCCTATGTCGCCCGTGTGCCCGACCGCTCCCGCTGCTGTTTGAAACGCTCCTCAGTTTGGCCAACAAACGTGTGTGTGCGCGTGCGCCACCGCGAAAAAAGTAGTTCCAACCCCTTTCTTCCGTTCCGCGTTCCGTTCCGCTCCGCCGCTCGCGTTCGTGATTTCGACGCCATCTTGGGGAAACGTCGAGTGGCAGAGAAGCCCCCTTTCTCGCAAATTTGTTTGGATTTACAGCAGTTTTGAGTATTTAGTCAAATCATGGGACGTTACGATAGACGAGGGTAAGATGCCTGCCATTGTAGCTTGAATTCTTGTTTACATTCTACATTTGTTTTCTGTTGTTCAGCTCATGTCAGTATTTATCACTAAGTGCGTAGCTAGAGCGTACCTTTCATTTAGGGTTCCGTCAACTCTTTTTCCCGACTTTTATTTTCTAATGCCGAATCTAAAATGTCGTACGACTGCACTTTATTCAGTGAATTAGTGTCGTTGGTCTAGGATTCAGGATCGCAGCTAGACTTTTCATCATCCTCTTGCCAGCCACCGTGTCCTAGGTGGAAAAGTCTAGACTTCATTGGGGTTAATGATCTGGCCGTTCTTTGCACCTACTTTTCTTTCCCACCTTGATATCAATCAGTGTGCATTGCTGCCACTGGGAAGTAGTTCTCTTGCAGCTTTAATAACTGGATTTGCGACATTCTTCTTTGTCAGAAGGTGGTAAACTCGGTAATGTCATTCTAGTTTCTAAATTGTCATGACATTTGAAAGACCTCAAGGTTTCAAAATTGTCTATTATTTACTAAATTTATTTATTGAATCTCACTCTTACTAATTATTAAAATTTTCCTACCTATTTGAACACCAATTACAAGCTTTGAACTTCTCTCCTTTGCTCAATCACCGAATTGTCATGGTTGATCTTATGCTTGTAGTTCTCAGGCTTCTCAAGCAGTGCCCAAATTATGGTCAAACCTCACTCACATAACTTTATATCTTCTGTCTTAAGTATTTGATGACTGGCACATAGTTTGTTTTGTCTGTCCTGGTATTGGTGGTCACTAAGGTGATGATTGAGGTACTTAACTATTCTCTTTTGGTTCCGTTTCAGGTCTCGCGACAGGGACAGGGATCGTCGCAGAAGCCGGAGTAGAAGTCGGGACAGGAGGAGGCGCAGCAGATCACGCAGCCGAAGCAGGGACAGGTTCAGGGACAGGGACTTTGGACGCGGTGGCGGCGGCGGGCGTGGCGGTGGTGGCCGTGGCAGCCAGCCTGGAGGAAACCTGAGAAAGCCCAGATGGGACACTAGCCGCCTGGAGCCGTTCAAGAAGGATTTCTATGTTCCACATCCTGATACTTCTAGCAGGTGAGTTCAAGTCGTAATCTCTCACCAAACTAGCGCACCATTTTGTTTGCTTTTCTATTAAGCTGCCTCTATCATGTTTTTCAGACCTCAGCATGAAGTTGAAGAATATCGTAAGAGTAAGGAGATTACTCTGAAAGGACGCAATGTCCCAAGTCCCATCCTGTCCTTTGAAGAATCAAGTTTCCCAGATTACGTTCTGAGAGAAGTGAGGTAAGTACATTCCCTCTCAAGCTTCCAGATGAGATACAGTAGTCTCTTAGTTTTTTAGAAAATCTAAATATTTTATTTTACTGTTTTTAGGAGAGCTGGCTTTAAGGATCCAACCCCTATCCAGGCACAGGGCTGGCCCATTGCTTTGAGTGGAAGGGACATGGTTGGCATTGCCATGACTGGCTCAGGAAAGACATTATCAGTATGTATCTCCCAGGTGATTTCTCCTCATCTTTTTTCACATTTATGGCAATTGACCAATTTTTTGCTTCTTTAGTACACACTGCCAGCAATAGTCCACATCAACAACCAACCGAGGCTACAGAGAGGTGACGGCCCTATTGCCCTTATTCTTGCTCCAACTCGTGAGTTGGCTCAGCAGATCCAGCAAGTTGCTGATGACTTTGGTAGATCCTCACAAATCAGGAATACATGCATTTTTGGCGGAGCACCTAAGGCACCTCAGGTATTTCCCCTAGAGTTACGAGTTTGGCTTTAGATGTAATGTCTATGCTGTGAAACTGATATCTTGTTTCAGGCTCGTGACTTGGAAAGGGGTGTTGAAATTGTAATTGCAACTCCGGGTCGATTGATTGATTTCCTTGAAAGTGGACGCACCAATCTAAAACGCTGCACATACCTTGTACTCGATGAAGCTGATAGAATGTTGGACATGGGCTTTGAACCCCAGATCCGGAAGATTATTGATCAAATTAGAGTGAGTTTGTCTTCCTAGTTAAATTTATTCCATCTTTCATACTATTTTTACCATAAACATTTATACTATCTTCCCTGTCTCACATTTACAGCCTGACCGTCAGACATTGATGTGGTCTGCAACTTGGCCAAAAGAAGTGCGAAACCTTGCTGAAGAGTTTCTCAGAGACTACACCCAACTGAATGTTGGCTCTCTCCAACTCTCAGCCAACCATAACATTCTTCAAATTGTTGATGTATGCCAAGAATATGAGAAAGAGAGCAAGTAAGTACTTTTCTGTGTTGCTTTGTTGCTTAGTTTACTGCTTTATCTACTTTTGATTTACTGGATTGTTTGCATCAGGTTGAGCACACTTCTCAAAGAAATTATGGCTGAAAAGGAGAACAAGAGCATCGTGTTTATTGAGACAAAGCGACGGGTAGACGAGATAACTCGTAAAATGAAACGTGATGGGTGAGTGTTTGAATTGTCTTTTGAATTACTCAGATTCTTCGAATTAAATCTCATTCGCTTTTTCTTCAAAAGTTGGCCTGCCTCATGCATCCATGGAGACAAAACTCAACAAGAACGAGACTGGGTGCTACAAGGTGAGCATTATTTCACCACTATTTCTCTCCTTGATTTCCCTTAAATTCCTGCTAATATTTTGTGTTTATTGGCAGATTTTAGGTCGGGGAAGTCTCCTATTCTGGTGGCCACAGATGTAGCAGCTCGTGGACTTGGTAAGTTGGACTATATATAATGTCATTTTCCAACCAAGTGTAGGGTTTGATCTTCCACAAAAGACAGCTTTCAAATTATCTCATCATGTTTGGAGTTCCTATTTGGATTTAGTCAAATGTTTTCAAAATGACACCTGTAACCTTACCTCTCTCCTTTTTTTTCTTTTTTTCATTTGTTCACATAACTAACCTACGATCTTTAGTTTATAGGAATATCAGTGTGTCTTGTACAGTTTCAGGAAATTTGGGAAATTCCACTTTTAAAATTTGTTCGTTTACAAAGATAAATTTACTCGCCTGCTTTGTACGTGAATCTCAGGTGTTTTGAATTTTGTACCCAGTTGCCTTTGGAGTGGCACCACTATTGACTGGTAGGCTAGGCTGCGCCTCCAGGCGAGGCTGGTGAATGGGCTGGATGGAGGTGTACTGCACTCGACTTGGATGCCTGCTCTGCTCTGTTGATTAAGCGGCTCTTTTGTTTTTTTCTTGCAGAGGCACTAGCAAGAATTGTAACGATGCCTATATTCGGCATAGTTGCTGTGCGCAGTGCCTCTCTGAGCGGTGCCGGCCAGGGCCTCACTGTAGGCCCCTGGCCCTCGCCCTCGGTCCGCGTGTCTGGTGTGCCTGGCGGGGCTACGCTGGCCTCGGCTGCACCTGGTTGAACTGGCCAAGGCCCCCTGGTAGTCCAGTCACACGCGCGGTGCTGGGGCCTTGGCCACCCTCGACCCCTGTCCCCGGCCGCCCCGGCCTCGGCCCCCTGGCCAGGCACTCCGGCTGACCTCGGCCACCTCGGCCAACTCGCCTCGGCTACCCCGAGACCGCCCTCGGCCACTGCCTCGGCTCGCATTGGGCCTTGTCTGACCGCCTGACGGCGCCCGACGGCCTGACCGCCCCTGGCTCGAACCGGGCCAGGCCGCCCTGTGGCCGTCGCTCAGCCGCCGTGTTGCGCTCTGTGGCCGCCCTGCGGCTGCCCGTCGGCCGTCCTTGGGCCGCCCTGTGGCCGCCGTGTGGCTGCCCGTCGGCCGCCCTGTGGCCGCCGTGTGGCTGCCCGTCGGCCGCCCTGTGGCTGCCTGTGGCCGCCCCGTGGCCGCCCCGTGGCCGCCTTGAGGCTGCCCCGGACACGGCTCCTCGGTTTGGGTCGGCCTTCGGCTTCGCGGCTGGGCTCCTCTGGGCTCCGGGTGCGGATGGGCGGGCCAGGCGCGGATCCTTGAGCACCCCGTCACGCGCCGCCACGCTCCGCCCCGCCTTGTCCTCGTCGGGGCCTGGTGGCTGGGCCTGGTGGCTGGGCCTGGTGGCTGCGCTACGCCCTCGCCCCCACGCCCGGCCCGCCTGGGCCGCTGGGCCGCTGGGCCTGCCAGGGCCTGCCAGGGCCTGCCAGGGCTAGCCGGGTCCGACGGGGTTGGGAAGGGAGGCTGTCTGCGCCTCCTTCCGGCGTCCACCGGGTGGACCGCACCTCGTGGACCCCACCACGTGGCGGCTGGGCTGCGCAGGCTGCGCGCACGGTCGCCTATTATCCCTAGAATTGCGTGGCCGTACTGCCGTACCGAGTGCCTACTGCTTAGGCCGCAGGGAGCGAACCGTCTTCCACACAGGTGTAGATAAGTACGGAGTATGGTGTTGGTACGGCACAGCTGCTAACTAAATTTTTCTCACGCCATTCAGACTAGAATGTCGAATTAAAGAGGTTCTTTTCTTTTTGTCATACCTTCAGTTCAGTAAACGACTAATTTTGTGGCCAAAAGATGCACACTTTTCCATCTAGCCCTTGTCTGCTGGAATTGTGGCACTCTGCTCATATTAAATCTCATGGCATACTGTGAACCGACTTGCGTCGTCCATTTTTTGTGCTGCCAAAGTCTTGCCTTTTGGCCTATTTTGGGATATTTACATCCATAGCTATGAGCAGCTGTGCTGTACCATTGTGCTAGTTTAGCTATTCCAGGAAGTGTCTTTCCTCTGTAAGTGTGCATGATGTAGATTACTTGGATAATCCTTTCTTGGTAAATAGGATAAAATTTCAGGAGATTTTAAAGGTGCCATGCTGCTGTTGTGGTGGGAAATGGTTTATTGAACGTCCTGGTTCAAATCTGAAGATTCTCATTTAGGCGATGTTTGGGAAGGATGTCCATTCAACTAAACACTTTATTGTGGCACCTTTTCCTTTCAGTCAAAATATAATCCCTGTTAATACTGGCTAATTTTTTTCCCCTTTGGCTCATTTTACAATATTTTGAAAAAAAATATCAAAGATCTTGTTGTTAATCTATTAATGTAAAAACGAATCCAGTTAAAACTTAGTTTTCCATGCTGATAATTTTAATGGTTTAAGTGCTCGGAACATTTATTTGTCAGTTTATCTTCTTTCCTGGTGCTGAAGGCCCTTCTGCCTCTTCCTCTCTGGTTAAAAGCATTAAACTTTAAGAATCAAAATAGCCACAATCCTGGTGTGGTCTCTTCCCCCCTTTGTCTTCTTTATCTGCCTTGTTTACAAGGTCTTAATTTATTCCTTGTTCTTCCAGATGTTGAAGATGTCAAGTTTGTCATCAATTTTGACTATCCCTCCTCGTCGGAAGACTACGTACATCGCATCGGCAGAACCGGTCGCTCCCAACGAACTGGCACTGCCTATACTTTCTTCACATCTCAGAATGCCAAGCAGGCTTCTGATTTGGTCGCTGTCCTCAAAGAGGCCAATCAAGTCATTAACCCAAAACTGATGGAAATGGCTGAATCGTCTCGTGGATTTGGTGGTGGGAGAAGTAAGTGATCTTCCGGTAGGGATGTGCGCTGTACTCCCCATAGCCGCCGTGTTGTCATTGTCGCTTCCTCTTTTCCAGGCCGCAATCGCTGGCGCGGTGGTCGCGGCCGTGGAGGCGGTGGCGGCCGGTCTCGTAGCCGCAGCCCTCGCAGCCGTAGCCGAAGCAGAAGCCGCAGCCCCCGGAGGCGAGACAGGAGCTACTCCCGGGACGATAGATCAGGCAAGTAGTGCTAAAACGTTCATGTGGCCAGGGTGGAGGTAACTTTTCCTCTTGTGCCGCTTCAGTTTGTTGAAACCTGTTATGAGGTCCAGTTTCCAGTTGAAATAGTTTCTTATTTTCTCAAGTTAAATATTGTTTTGAGTGTCCCTTGGTTACTTTTTCCTATGACTTGACTTAGAGTTTACTGTATTGACTGAGGCAATAGATGTTGGGTGGTTGAGATGACTAGATGGACGTTTGTATGACCCCTTTAGGAGACCCCCAGACTGGAGGTTTGTTGCCCACTCTGGTGTCCCTGCACATGCCACTAGATCCAGCAGCTCTGCAAACTCGAGATTTTCTACCTGGCCGCCTGCCGGGCAGTTTAGCAACATTCACTAACTCTCCCTCTCACCTTCCCACTTCATACAACAGCCCTTCCTATGTATCAACACTGTACAGTCTAGGTAACTCAGGTGCTGCTTACTCAGTATTGCCTGATAAGATTGTATACAGTGATAATCAGAGGGTTCGTTGGTAGTCCACTCACTTTTTCTAAGTTTGTACTATGTAAGGGTAAGCTCATGTTGATGATAGTTTCAAATTTGAGGCATAACTCACAGATTTATTGCCCTCTGATTCTTTTTTTCCCTTAATTCCCTTATCCAAGGAAAAGTATTCACCTCTAGTGTTTTCATTTTGTATTTGAGAATTTTACTTGTTATCTATCCATTTGTCTTTTGAAACTACTACAGGAGCGAGTAGAAAGATAATTTAAAGATAAAATTCTGTGAGACTTCTTTTTATTTTATTGCAGTCAAATCTTAATTAACATTTCTTGGTTGATTAGAATTGAGCCTTCATAATTCTGTCCTAGCAGCTAATGTTTCCAATATGCATCTAACTAAGTTACAGCTCCATTCTCATTTAGTTTTTTTCATTTTGGTCTGGATGCATAGTTTGTAAGGTTTTAGTATCTTGTTTTATGCTGCTAGTTATGTCAGTTCACTCCTTATCTTTAAATAAATTTTGTTTGAGAGTCTTCTGTTTTGTTTTTTTTTTCCCTTACTGTGTGTCATTGTTTGGGAGCTGCCATAATTAAAGGGCAGTTTATGTCAGACTAAGAATCATGGATTTGACAGCACTTGTAGGTATTTAACAAACAACACCAACAAATTAGGGCAACAGCCACAGTACTCTATTCTCCCCAGTTAATTTGTTTTATTCTCTTTCTCTGTTATAGCTTGAAGGAGCCTCTGGAGCTTGAACGCAAGGAGTTAATTCAACGATTTATTTTCTTTTCTACGAAAGTGTCACTGCAACAACCACCCCACTGGTTTCAGTGGTTCTATAGATCATTCGATCATGCTTTATTGATCTCTTATACATGATTATATTATTTGTGTAATGGTAGTGTTATATTATTTTTTTGTTACTTCTCTTTCATTGAAAGGATTTAGCCCTCATTTATAGAGTCTATCAATTGAATATATATTTATGGAAGTATTTACTTAAATCAAATGTCAATATAGCCTCATTTGTGTGTTTTTAGTCTAGAAAGATGTGGTAGTGCTTGTAGAGGAGGGCAAGTCACGTGTTAATCTTGGATTATACAAAGGAAAGTTCATAAAAGCCGTGTCTCCTCTATCTATGTTGCATTTAAATTTTAGTTTGTGACTTGCAACTTTGCACATGAGACATTCTCTGCAAATGTTTTATTAAGTATCGACAAGAAGAGTAATTAATCTTCCTATTGTGTTGGACTTTCGCATGCTAAATTAATGTATTAGCAGCAGAATGAATCTCTTATGTATTGAGCACCTTTTAATCTACTCATGCTAACTGTCACATAACATCGAAATACATCTTTAATCAAATGTATACAAAGTATAGATTGATTTGTCTATATTCACAGCACAAATATATGGACCCAAGAACCATTGAAAGCATGAAGTTGGCAAACCAAGGGTTGGGTTAAATGAAGACTTCGTCATCAACTGTTAACTAAGTTGTAGCACTACATACAAAAGCAAAGGTCCTTTTTGATATTTACAAATTTCATCCCAAAACCCCTGAGCCAATGGCCCTAGGTTCCACCACCTCACATTTACTAATTGCTTTAATCATCATACCAATATTTAATACAGAACATTGTGTCACAAACATTAGCAATTTGAAATACATTCCACATCTTTAACTAAACAAAGAATGGAGTTTTCGAGTTGTTCTTCATCTCCATTATTGGTTATAGTCCAGTCCCAATCTGTAACTTCATCCAGATCGCATTCTGTGGGCTTGTCATCAACTCCTGGGAACAAATTAACAAGGAATAAGAAAATGCTGTTCTGTAAAAAGTCGAGTGAGATAGTACTTAATTACCAGGAGTGAATTTGAAGCCACGTTTAGAGCGAACTTCATCATCAGTTGTCACACGGATGGTCCGAATAGCATTGCCATACTCTTGTCTAAACCAAGCAATATCAGATCGACGCCTTATATCACTGACTATCCAAATGGGTTTATCTTGAGCTTAAAATAATCAACGATGAGTTAGAATCTTTAAAGCAGAGAAAATGTAAAAATTATTTGTTCTTCATTATTTTGTTTTTTGTTACCATTGTTCATGGTTACAGCTTTCCTGCAAAAGTATCCTGGGTCCTTGTCACGAACTGCTTCACTCCAGACTACCATTTCATGCCTAAATTTTTCTTTGTATTCATTGGCACTCATGAGGTCGTCGAGGTTCAGGCCTTTCTCTTTCGCCCAATGAGATTTAATCGGTGCAGATATTTTGACTATCACAGCTTTATCACCAAGTCTGAAAAACAGAAAAGACAAACTATGTACTTATTCAAACACAAACACATTGATCAGTAATTCAGAATTATAATCTTGTTTTTTGAAAATGGATCCTAATTTATATTTTTTACTCACACCAGAAGCTTTTATTGCCTTACCTTTCTACAAGTATGTCTGTAATAAAATCTTTTCCGCACTTTCTCTTGCCGCTGAATAAAAACACCCGCTTAGGTACATTGCCTCTTCCTTGGCAGTTCATCTTCGTCCTGCACTGACTTCAGTTGAGGGTAAACAGGGAACACATCCTATTCACTTGCTTGGACTCTGAGACCTACTCTATATTCAAAACTAGTCTTCCGTACGCAAGCTCATGTTTATGACATTTGTGAAGCAGAACTTTGGCACGGAGCAGCAGCCAGCAGCAGCAGAAGAGAAAGCGACCAAAACAAACCGGCAGCAGGGGAGGGGATGTTCCTGTGAATAAGCAGAGGTGTCCTATCCTACTATGTGCACTATGAAGAAAACTGAGCAAACAAAAACAAGCAAAAGCAGGTTTTAGTCTAATGTCACAATGGATGTGCAGCAAAACATTTTGCGCACTAGTCTCTAGTCTGTAATGTAAGTATGTGTCATTGCAATTATAGTAATGTGGGTAATGTAATGTGCTCTTAGGCGCTAATCGATTTGTTAACTCGTTTATTTTTGGATATGACAGCCCTGTTATAGTTAATATTGACAGCTTGAATTGGGTATCCTATTGGTTATTATGGTATTATTTTGGTACAATTTCAACAGTTTCTGCATTCTTGTCATTTTCTTAGGTTTTGATTAATCTTCTTCTCTAACTTTCGAAGATGGACAAGGAAGTAAATCCTCCAATTGCCAATAATGTTATCCGAGCCAATGAAGATGATTCGTCCACCAATAAATTAGTGCCCGCAGCTAATGCGTGCTTGGGAAATCAGCAGGGTATCCGGCAAGTTGCTTCTAGCATTCACAACAAAGATGACTGGGAGGTGGTAGTTTCTCCTAACAGAACCTATGCAAGTCCCACTAGTGCAAGTGTATCTTCTCAGTTTCACCAATCAGGTTTGTATTAGTAGCCAATTTTCGCCTTCTCTTCAAATAATTTCTCCTCAATCTAGGATTTAAATAATCCTCACGCATTTTTCTCTGTTTCAGATGCAACTGATGAACATCACATAAAATCTGCTGAAAATTATAATTGGCAATCTACAAAGACTACTGTTAAAGAACGGTTTTCATACATGTTTAATAATGAAATTTTGGCAGACATTCACTTTATTGTGGGTCGAGGAGAATCTCAAGAGAGAATCCCTGCTCACAAGTTTGTGTTATCTGTTGGAAGTGCGGTATTCGATGCCATGTTTAATGGTACTTTGGCTACAACAGTAAATGAAATAGAACTGCCAGATGTCGAACCAGCCGCATTTCTGTCTCTGCTAAGGTATGTAAGCTAGGATTTTTCTTAAATACTTTTTATTTGGGTTAATTTCAAAGCACGTTTTTTGTTCTCAGGTTTCTTTACTCAGATGAGGTGCAAATAGGGCCAGAAACTGTGATGACCACATTGTACACCGCAAAAAAGTATGCAGTTCCTGCCTTGGAAAAGGCGTGTGTTGAGTTCCTTGAGAGAAACTTGTGTAGTGAAAATGCCTTTCTGCTTCTCACACAGGTCTGTACTGAAAGTTTATGTTCTGCTATGCTTTAATGACATGCAAATGGTTCTAACTTTTTTTTTTCCTGTTTCTTCATAACAATAGGCAAGGCTATTTGATGAACCTCAACTTGCTGATCTGTGTCTTGAGACAATTGACAAAAACACAACCGAAGCATTTGCTGCTGATGGCTTCACTGACATAGATCTTTCAACCTTAATCGTGGTGCTTGGGAGAGATACATTACGCATAAGAGAAGCAAAGCTATTTCAAGCTATTCAGAGGTAGTGTTGTCTTTGGTAGAATCATGAATTCTTATATAATCTAATGACTCATGAATATTAATTGACATTGTTGCAGGTGGGCTGAAGCAGAATGTTTGCGGCAACATATTCCTGTCTCTGGGGAGAACCAAAGGGGTGCCTTAGGAAGAGCTCTTTTTCTTGTTCGTTTTCCTTTGATGACAGTGGAGGAGTTTGCATGTGGAGCTGCCCAGTCAGGAATTTTGACTGATCGTGAAACTGTACAACTTTTTTTATATTTCACTGTAAATCCAAAGCCATCAATAAGCTTCTTAGACATACCTCGATCTTGCATGACAGGCAAAGAATTAACTGTTTCAAGGTTCTCACAAGTGGAAAGTAGATGGGGATACAGTGGCACTAGTGACCGAATAAGGTACATTATGTTAAACTATTATTAAAGAATTAATCATAATATTCTTCACATGCAAATAATAGCGGCTTTCTTTCCAGGTTCAATACTGACAAGCGGATCTTTGTAGCAGGTTTGGGCCTGTATGGCTCAATTCAAGCTGAGTATGATGTCGCACTTCAACTACAGACTCCTTCTGGAAGTATACTTGCTTCAAATCACTCTCATATTTTGTGTGATGGCTCAAGTTGTACTTTCAGAGTTATGTTCAAAAATGCTATAGAGATTCAACCACATGTTAACTATACAGTTTCTGCTACGCTGCAGGTAAGTTTCCTATACTCTTTCTCCCAATTTCATCATAGCCAATTATCCAAGTACTGTAATACTGTATTCTTTTCATCTTTTTAGGGCCCTGATTCTCATTATGGCACCAAAGGGCAGCGGAGGGTAGTTGTGGATTGCCCTGGAGGGGGCAAAATCACCTTTCAATTTTTGTATGCTGCAGGGCACAACAATGGAACATCAGTTGAAGATGGACAAATACCTGAAATTATTTTTTACACTTGATTCAGAGAAAGTGCTGTGCTGTAGTCATAAAATTTAATTTTTTATTTAATTATTTTTGGTTGATCTCATAAGCTGAAACCTTCATTTCTTTATTATCTAAAACTGGGCCCTTTTTTTTTGTTTGCCTGACTTGTCTTCTTGTTTTTGTACGCATTTGTTGAGCTCATTATATACTGAGTAGTTTTGAGCAGAAAACGTGTGGCTTTTCTGTTGAGAGTCTTTTCCTCTTTACACAGAATAGATAAAATCATAATTACCTCTCTAATATATGATACACCACTAAATTTTAGCAAACTGACGCGCCTGTATTTCTATGCACATACTGTGGCCACCCTCTCCTTGTAATAGTGTTTTTAATTTCGACATACATTTCAAGTTTTTGTGTTTCCAATTCGCCTCTTATCTTTTGACATTAGCTTTAGGACAGGGCTTGGAGTTTACTGAATGTGTTGAGCTGAAAGTATTGTCTCTGATCCTCTGTTAGTTACCATGATTATTCAGTAGATATTACCCATTCATGTGATATTATTTTGTCACCTATTGCAGAATTACCTGCCAATAAGTGTGTTTGACTGATTAGCAATAATGCAAAAAGCCAAATCCAATAGTGTATTTCTTGGAGTTTGTGTGCCATCACTAGGGAAATGAAATGCCATGAACAATGCCAGTGACCGTGGGTTCTAAAAATGGTTCCGAACTCACATTTTCTGCAGAAAAAAAGACTAGTTCATTTAACTACTTTACTCCTTTTGCCCTGGTACAATGAGTGAATCTTTGTGCATTCTGTCCCGCTTTCATATTTATTATTTCATGGTTGAATAAATTCTTTTGTCCAATTTCCTGCTGTGTTATCATTACTGCCGTCCAGTATTCAATCAAAATGAGATTTCATGACGTCCCGATATTAATTTCAATCGATTAGAAATCCAGTGTGAGCATTGAAAGTGGCACAGCAATCGTCCGGTTCTAGACCGCTTTCAAAAGTTCCTCGCTCTCCTTACCGACACTCCGCTTCCTACGCATTAACGTTACCAACACCTCGGTAGCAAGGTTGACGAGCTGTGACGACATTAAGAAAAATTCACGCTACTGGTAACAACGTTAATTTGATTTTATCTTTAACCAAATCAGTTTCTTGTTTCTGGCATGTGTTTTATTTCTCTTTTATCATTTTTTATTTTCTATCTGCTTGTAAAATGTTTTGGTCCGGGTAGTTGGTCATCCTCAGGGGGAAACATTTGCCGCAACTCGTTTGTCTGCTTCTTTCCAGTCCCGCATTATCTCCTTCCGGTTGTAAGCCAGCAACATGGTGCGTATCGTCGTGTCAAGTGAATTTTATCCGTAAAACATCGTTCAATCACTAGTTTCAACGGGAAGAAATAATGGTCAATATTTTCCGAGTCTTCGTCCTGTCTAGTTCTGTCAAATATTTGTGCCCTTTTCCCCCTTGAACGCCTCAGTGGTATCATGTTGCTGTCGCGGCTCTCGCCCTTGTTTCTGTGCATTTCGGCTTATGTATTCTAATTTACTGAGGTGCCTCACCTTGACGTTGTAGCCGTATTTAATGCCCTTCAATTTCTCTAAATTTCCTTGTCTAAGTACTCTAGTTTTCACTTCACTTACTCTTGTGTATCGTGTGAGTTAGGTTATGTGTCCTACGTGTTCAGGTTTGTTGTTGTTAGGTTTTTGTAGTCGTATGTGGCTAAGTGCTCAGCCACTTTCAATAATTTGTCGTTAGTCAGTCTTGTCTCACATTTGACCATTGTTTTCTTATCTCTGAGTCTAGTTGTGGGCGAAGTTGCGAGTGTCATGTACCCGGCGGATTCTAACCTGCTAAACTTGTCTGCTTCGTTTTGCATGATTAATTGTCATTTTCTTTTTACTACTCACAGGGTCGCGTCAGGACGAAGACTGTGAAGAAAGCCGCTAGGGTCATCATCGAGAAGTATTACACAAGGTTGACTCTTGATTTTGACACCAACAAGAGAATATGCGAGGAGATCGCAATCATCCCCAGCAAGCCTCTGCGCAACAAGATTGCTGGGTGAGTGTCTGAACTGTCATCTGGCTGCTGTGCACACACTAAGATGCATGTCGTGACCTTGTTATGAATGGGTTTCAGCTTTGTCACACATCTGATGAAGAGGCTGCGACACAGCCAGGTTCGCGGTATCTCCATCAAGCTCCAGGAAGAGGAGAGAGAGAGGCGTGATAACTACGTTCCAGAGGTGTCTGCTCTTGAGCATGATATCATTGAAGTTGATCCTGAGACCAAAGAGATGTTGAAGGTTTTGGTGAGTATTGATTGAGATGTGCAGTTGTTCATTTGGATGGCAGAAGTTTTCTGTGTTCAATCTCAATATTGGGTGCCCCAAAAGTGTCCCGCCATAGTGCTATTATTTTCTTTACATTGGACCACTTTCCTTATTTGAATCATTGTTGTGCTTGTGGTCATATGTAGCACTGTCGTCATTGGTCAATTTTAACAGTATCACATATAGGGTTATTTCTTAACTGATCCTGAGTGTCCATTGCTTGTCTGAGTGATTGTCATTGTTCTTAACTTCATGTTTATTTCCAGGAATTCAACAACATCAGCGGTCTCCAGCTCACACAGCCTGCTGCCCAGCCTTACGGACGACGTACCTAAATTTGTTGTATTTCATTTCTATGATTAAAGTGGTTGGATGAGACCCATACGTTCTTTGCATTACCTACCTGCCATTCCCTCTAACATGTTTCAGCGCTTGTTGGTTTTGGTGAAAGAAGGGTCTGCTTTGGCGGGTGCTGTGATTTGGGTTCATGAACACAGGGACTTTCCAGACTTGGCAGTGAACAATCAGCTTTTGATTCGTCCGTGGCATCGCTTTTAGCCTCCACAGTGTGGCTTCAGTGTCCTTTTTGGAAGGGCCCCGCCTACACTGGCGTGGCGGTGCTCTCACGCGACCGGCTCACTGGACGGTGGGCTCTCGGAACGGCGCGCGGCCTGGGCATGGCATGGCATCGCGGACCTCCTCATGACTGGCACGGTGCCGTGAACGCGAATTGAGTGCCGGGGAAGGGAAGGGGTTGCCCCTGGAGCGCAGCCTAGTTGACCTGGGAGCCGCGCTGGAGTGCTCCGCTCCGCTGGGCCGGCTCGCAGCAGCGTAGGGATACGCAACGCACTGATTGAGACTGACGGGACTACATTTCCCGGAGACCAGACCATTCTGCTGCTATTGTATTCCATCACCTTGGAGAGGGACGCACGATAATATGCCACTGCCTGGAAGGTTTTAGTCTCCGGATTTAGCCGTCTGTAACTTTGATCTGTGGAACTTTGCACCGGGAGCGATGGAATGCCCTCACTTGGAAGAAAATGTGAGACTTGAAAATGCCCCTTCGATCGCGGAGACGGACGTAGGCAAGGAATGGCATTGCGGGGGTGAGTTGACAACGAAATAAAAGAGCTGGCCATTTTTGAGTGGCAATTTAATTTACGCAAAACGGGGAGGAAGGGTTTGTAAGAGTGGGTGTTCGAACACGGCTGGAGACATTTCCGTCGCATCCAGATCCAGCCGAAGGTGGAGACCGCGTCCACGTACTGATAGTGGGAAGCAACTTAACGCTCTTTGTTCAATCAATTATTAAAATGTTCCGATTGAAAGAGGTCATGTTTTGTCGCCACCGTTGGCCCCACCGGTCTTGGTTGCTTGGATTCTTGAACAAGACAACATGCTACTTTATCAAACTTTATCAGACAAAGACCTGACCCTTCACGCACCCTGGCGTCGTCGATTCGGACATAGTTCGGCTTTCATAAATTAGTGCTCTCCAGCCCCGTGCGTTCATTGCCAGGGTGGTTTAGTCAGGAGAGCGATTAAATTTGATTCCTGAACCATTTTTGTGGGTGGGAGCGATGTATTAAGCGACTTGGCGAAAGAAAACTAACGACGTGTTCAGTAGCAGTTTTGCGAGTAGCCAAGCTTTGCCGAGCTTGTACTTTCCGTGACATGACCCTCGGTTTTCCTCCCCCTTAATACAAGTACCTTTGCGAAAATACAGGCATGTGAGTGTCGATTATCTCACTGAATTATTTTAATGCAGTTCCTGCTTGATTCTGGCTTTGACAGTGCCTCTTATGTGAGAAGGCAAAGTCATTAACCTCAGTCTACTATCGTACCTGCACGTAGTATGCATATTTAACGTATGTTGATTTCATGTTTCAACACAATTTTTGTTGTGTTATTCCCAATTTGGTCACTACACACAATTTTTTTTTTTTTTTTTTTGCCACCTCGGGGTAAAACATATTTAGATGGTAGAGCTGGAATTAGTGGCAGTACGGATGCACACAAGAAAATATGTAAATTTTTTTTTTATTATGTAAATTTTACAGAACTATTCTACAAAAGCCAACAATTTTTAGAAAATTTCTTGTTTAATGTACAGGGTTTAGGTCTATTTCCATTTATTACATCTTCATAATCTTCATAATTTTCTGTGCAGAATGTCAAAGTGCGCAGAATACTTGGCTGTGCTTGCATTGCGGAGACATTGGATGTGGTCGCTATATCAATGGCCACGCAAAGCAACATGCTCAAGACCATGAAAACCACAACTTGTGCATTGACTGTGAAAGTTATGCTGTCTACTGGTAAGCAGGAGAAGACATTCTGGCCTGAACTATTTTTCTCAGGTATTGCAATTGCACCTTTCCATTTGTGCTCTCCCTGAGCTGATTGTGGCCTCTCTTCTCCTTAGCTACATCTGTGATGAATTTGTCTTGAATGATACTTCAGACAATCGTATAGACCGAATGCGAACTATTCTTATAAGGCACCCAACTAAAGGCGAGGATGGATGTATCCTTGAAGACGGATGTACCCAAAATGACATTGAAGCCTCATCTATTTCAAATGAAAAAGACTCCGTTAGTGCTAATGGAGACAGTGACAAACACAGTGACAAACAAAGTGATAGACAGAGTAGACGCAGTAATCAGAGTGAACAGGAACGAAAGGAAGAGCTTGGTGTACGGCAGTTGAGACCACGGAGGAAGAGGTTCGACCATTGTTATTGCTTTTAATTTACACACCTGTATTCAGATTGTAATTTAACATAACTTTTAACTTATGTTTAGGTCCCATTCTGCCGACAGCAGCAGTGTAGAAAATCATGGCAACTATGGGAAGCGGCAACGAAAAGGGATGGTGACAAGAACATTAAGTAAAAATAAACAAGATAAAAAGGTTGTTGGTCTTCGTAACTTGGGAAATACTTGTTTCATGAATGCCGTTCTTCAGTCTTTGAGGTGATTGTCTGTTAGAGATGCCATTCTTATATTTGGGGATAACTTCGTTTTCTTTCTTATAATTGTTTGATATTTGAATTTTCAGCAACATAGGTGTGTTTTACCGCTATTTTAAGCATTTACCAGCTCTAGAAACCAATGCTAAAACTGGACGGGGAATTGAACAGTCTCGCAAGCTCACTGAAGTTTCTGATGCCTTGATGGCTGAAGAGTTGCGCAAAGTTCTCATTAATCTTAATCAAGGAGGAAAAAGTGCAATATCACCAGAATCATTATTTCATGTTATTTGGAAAATTGTTCCTCGCTTCAGGTACATATAGAATAAAAGTTTGCTAATGACAATAGAAATCATATTTTCAGAGAGAAATTTAACTAATGAAACTGTTGATTAACAGAGGCTACCAGCAGCAAGATGCACACGAGTTTTTACGATATATGCTTGATCGCTTGCATTTAGAGCTTTTGCATCTCCTCCCTGATGGGTCACTTAGAGAAAATTCATACTTGAACATAGGACCTAAGAGTCGTTCCTCTATAGTAACATCAGTTTTTGGAGGGACACTGCAGAGCGAGGTTGGTTTATCTTCTTTGCAGATCTAGCTGCTCAATGCCCTTTAATTTCAAGCCTGATAATCTCGCATTCCAGGTGCGGTGCTTGAATTGTTGTGTTGAATCAAAAAAACACGACCCTTTTCTGGACCTTTCTTTGGATATCCCTGAGAAGTTTCAGTATTTGAAAAAGTCATCCAAGGATACTACAGATGAGCCTACAACACCCTGTGATATATCAGGTTAGAATATTGTTGTAGTTTATATCTTTGGTTGGTTTACTGGAACATGTGTGTGTAATTTGTAATTTTTCTGTAAACCTAGATTGCCTGACAAGTTTCATTGAAGTTGAGGAATTGGCTGAAACTGAGCTTTATTACTGTAACAATTGCAAAAGCAAACAGCGCTCAACAAAGCGCTTCTGGATACGACGGCTACCAAATGTAAGGCTTTGAACTAGGTTGCTCAGTTTTGTGCTTGTAATTTATTTTATTCAACATTTTTGTCATAATGAATAATTTTTAATTTTATTTTTAGGTGCTCTGCCTTCACTTAAAAAGATTCAGGTGGAATAATTGCTTTCGTCAGAAGATCGACACAAGTATTATGTTTCCAGTAACAGCCTTGGACATGTCACAGTATGTCCTTAGCAGCCCTCATGAGACTAGACGGTCAGGGGCCGGTAGTACACTGTATGACCTTGCTGCTGTTATTGTTCATCATGGCACTGGGTAATTACCGCTAAATTCATGGAAATAGCTAATTGTTCTGGTTTTGTGTGGAATGCATCTTAGCTATAATCTTCTTTTTCCTGTTTTTCTGTTAATCTAGAACTGGTTCTGGTCACTATACTGCATTTGCAGTAAATGATGGTGAGCCACATTGAAATTTGGCTGAGACATTAAAATTGTCATGGTCTTATTATTTTATACTTTCTTTTTCTTTTTTCAGGAGGCCAGTGGTTTCATTTTAATGACAGTAGTGTAAGACAGACTGAAATTGAAACAGTAGCAAAGTGCAAGCCTTACATTATGTTCTACATCCGTCGAGAGTTTCGGCTTCCCCAACTGCAGGCTTAAATGATCCGCATTGTGGTCATTTACAGGAAGAAAGTGGAGAACAGTATTATGGTATTACCCTTGTGTGCTCTTGTTTTTAAATTTTGTGCGCGGCTTTAGAACATATTTGGTGCATGTATGGGTCCTGCCGTTACTCACACTAACTGGATACAGCATAGTAGATTGAATAACATTGCACTCAACAAGGCTTCAAGCTGCATGCTTGATTTGCCAAACCTAGTCAGCCCAATCCCAACGCGTTCACACACTGCTCAAGTACTGCAAGTTATGCAAGTTTTATTGCCACTAATCTTCAACTTGAGCAGTGGTACAATGTACATGACTGAGAACGTGTAGAGAAGGGGAGGGCAGGAAGATGTGCACAACTTTGCCAGATTCATTTGCTGTAAAAGTATGTGTACATATTTTGTTATTTATAAGTGTACATTGTACTAAAATGGGTGATCATATGTAGTTAAGGTTAATCTTTTTCTTTTTGGGCTCTGCTATGAATGTTTGTAAATTATGAAGTTTAAATTTTTATGTTCAAATATTGTACATTATATAATCGAAATTGATGAGTTTTTAAATGGAATGAATGGTCAGTATTTTATCGCAAGAGTCAGTATATTTATTTTGGAAGCTCTCTTGAACTATCCAAATCCCAAAGCCTTCCTTTGAAGTGTGATGAAGACCGTGTTTGTCAGGAGAAGAGTAATGAACTTATTTAGTAAATGATCTTGTAAGTAGGTATTAAATTTGATCTTGGATGTGATTTTCTCTAAGGCTACCTCTCATCTTCCCAATTGTCTTGTAAGGCTTACCCAACATGATGCAGGACTATCATACTTTCTCAAAAATTTGTGTTGCACAGAGAGAAGAAATCACTGTTTTGTTATATTTGAGCTATCTCGAAAAAGCTGTGAATGAGAGCTCTCTGTGTTTGTTTGGATGTTTGGTGCATTGTGAAAGAGGCCGATAACTGCTCACTCTTATTTTGTGACTTCATTTTGTGATCATTATACTTGTAAAATAGGTAGGTCTAGCTCTTATCTTATACTGCCGTACATTGGTTGTTTTTATGTCTGTGTAGATTCGCATAGTTTTGAGGAAATCCGCTTGATTGGTCTGCGTTGCCCTTTCCTTTGCAATGCTATTCGGTTTTCATGAATCATGAAATGAATTCAAAGATTGCCCAAGTAAGATTTTTACAAGGGCTTGTGGCAAGGGTTATTGTTTGAAATATTGCTTCCATAAGAAAAAGAGAGATGCATTGTCCAGCATAGCTTCATAAATCCCTGCTCACTCATATCTAACTGTGATTTTAAAAACAATTAAATGGAATCATTGTTTTATTTCTGTGCTATTATTGATTGTGTAAATAGAGAAATGTACTGACTTAACATGAGCTCATATGGTATTGCAAAGAATGTCAAGTAGCAATGATGGTTGATCAGATAACCATCCCCCTCATCTACACACACACACCCCTCTCTTTTTTTTCTCCCTTTTAAATCACTTACTTTTTGTTTCTGTGGCTTTAGTTCACAAATGTATATGAACTTTTATTATTAGTTTGTGGATAATTTGTAAACCTTGCCAAAATCTCATTGAACTTAAAACTGTGTGCTTCATTTCACATTTTTCTTAAGTTCTAGAATTTTATAATAAGTTTACCCATCCATTTTTGTCTGTATTTTCAAACTTGTTTTTACTGATTCGTGTATTCATTAGAATTTTTAATATCTATTGCTGTTTACTGGTCGTTTTTGGGCTCAGAGATGCTTCCAATGCTGTCTGTAATCCATTTTTCTTTTGAAGAGAGCAGTTCTTCTCTTGTGACACAATTATCACACAAACTGTGAGTTGCAGACTGATATATTTTTGTTTCATGGTCATGTTTTAATTTGTTTGCTCTTAGAGCAAAGGTCCATCACTGAGAATGGTCAGTTCAACTTCATTTAATTTATTGGGAGGCAAGACTAGAGATGTGATAGCAGGACATTTTTAACAATTATTTATTGTGACTTCCTTGTCATACTACCTTCTCTTTTGACAAGGAAACTTTATCTGATTGCAATGCAATTGTGGTCTTCTTCATTATTTCTCTGAATGCTGCATAGTAAATAAATGTTGCTATGTTTCATCCTGAGTTTGACGTGTTCTATTCATTCCCAGTTCCCTCTCACCTCTCCGCACACTCTTTCTGCAATTCTTGACCGGGAAGAGCCAGAACAAATTAAGACGATTCTTCGAGTGTCCATGCACCGGACTCCGCGCGGATGAACTGCAGGCTCTGGCAAACCTCCTCCTCCTCCACCTGCTCGTAAAACTCCATCGTGCAGGGGAACAGTTCGTAGGCGACGCTGCAAACAGAACACCCATCTCGATTTTTCGAAAACGAGAAATTTTGCACTTGCTGAAACAAAACGTATGCAGTTGGCCGAAACGCCTGCAGAGTGCGGCATAGGCAGTCCCGCCAAACAGGCGCGTTCGCCACGTGGCCTACACTGTGCCCGGCAGGCGCTGACGGCCCCTGCGGGGTAGGCCGTCCCGTCACGCGCCGGTGCACCGCGGCACTGCCTATGCTGTGCTTGGCAGGCGCCTTCAAGTCCCCCTGGTTTTTTTAGTTTTCACAGTGCCGGGTACTCACAAGTGCGCGGGCATGGGCAGCCTCTTGCCGGCCTCCACCTCGACGAGCAGCTGGTCGTGGCGCTCCTTGAGGCGGTCCCAGTCGGCCGCGGCGCCCTGCTCGCAGATGTAGGCGCGGATGCGTCGGTTGGGGATCAGCGACCAGTACAGGTCCTCGTAGGCCGACGGCGGCTGCGGCTGCACCGCCCCGCCGATGCGCACCTGGCGGACCACGGCGTCTCGATGGTCAAATACTGTTCCGGCTCAGTTTTATTAAAACTTTTACGAGTACGGTGCGCTCACCTCCCTAGCGATCCTGAGACCGCTCCTGTCCACGAAGGCCCAGAGGAACGTCACCACAGCCTTGGGGTTCTCGGCCTAAAAAGGCAACAAGACTTTTTTTTTGCACGGTTCGGCAGGCTTCAGTGAACCGCACTCGCGCACTCACCAGCTCCCTACACTTTTTGCTCCGACTGTCCGTCAGAAAGACGAACCTCCCCTCGTCCATGCGTCGCAGGCACACCGTCCGGGCGCTGGCCTGGCCCAACCTACGCAGTAAGCAGTAGCACCAGTACAGTACGCTACAGACTGACCTCTGACAGTGGGACCCGAACCGAACGTGTGACCCCACCAATGGGTTGCTCTTCGAACGGTGGGGTCACGCGTTCGGTTCGAGTCTTGTTTAGCGAGCGACTTTGGAGCTCAAATCGTGCTCTACCTGCTGCACGTGGTGATGATGGCGCTGTCAGGCATGACGAGCTGGGCGGCGCGGGCGTCGCATCGCCACCGCTGGAAGATGTCGTCCGGGTTGGTGACGGCGTTGACGGCGTCCTGGCCGGCGAGCTCGTCGTCGCGGACGTGCAAGTGGCGCAGCCTGTCGCACAGGCCGCCCGCGTCCATGGTGTCGGCTCTGGACCTCACCGCACTGGAATCACCAGCAGGAAGCAAGTCACGGACCGTGAAACAATTTTCAGAAAAAGACGATTTTTCTCCCAACCCCCACGGTTCCCATTACGTACTGCACCGCCCTATGTTACGCCCACTCTTCTGCCACCACACGGCTTCCTTCCCTGCCTCTCTCCTTCTCTCTCTCTCTCTTTCTCTCTCTCTCTCTTTCTCTCTCTCTCTCTTTATCTCTCACCTGGCCGCGCGAAACCCTGACCTTCGCCTCCACTGTTACACCGATTCAGCTGTCTGCGACTTTGTAGCCGGTGCAGGCAGGCAGATACCGGATTCCGAACAGCAGACGTTCACTCCGTCTCTCTCGCACGAGCCGCCCACAGAGAGACAGAGAGAGACAGAGCGCGACGACAGCCTGGTGACTAACAACGTCCGCCTGTTCATCGACCGATGTGCATCCGAACAGCTGTCTCTCTCGCACTCAAAGGGTGCGAGAGAGACTGCGCCGCAAGTCGCGCCAAATTCCCCCTCCCCCTTTTTGCTAATGTATCCGCGACAGCCGCGACGGCACCTGGGGAGTCCGTGGTCCGCGCTCCGGGGGACGGAGACTGCGGGACGGCGGCGGCCACACTCACCGTGCGTGTTCTGCGTCTGCCACACTGTGAGACTCACAGTGTGGCCGCTCCAGCCGCTGGGCAGGCCGGGCCGGGTGTCTGCCCGGTGTCGCGCTGCGGCAGGAGCACTGTCGGTGGAGCGCTGGCGCGCTGGGCAGCGCTGGGCGAGGCGACGGGGAGACTGCGAGGAGCGGCGCCGTGATGCTACGCGAGGCGGGCCCGGCCGCCCGCTTACGTAAGGGGCTTCCGAGGGGAAGGGCCCGCAGACTCGCCTCCGAGGGGTCGCTCTGTCTCTGTCGCACTCGAGGGGCGGCCCGTGGCGGTGCGAGAGAGGCAGAGTGGGGGAACTGTTTTCGGAATCGCATCGAAGTACGTCGTTGTCGTAGGCCATTCCGTTCTCAACCTAAGGGTCAAGACCCGTCTAGGGTCGCAGAAAAAAATTTTAGGGTCGCGGGAAAATGTTTTAGGGTCGCGGGAAAATATTTTAGGGTTGCGTGGGGTCGCGATATTGGTCAAGCAAAGAGCATTTCCCCCGGCCAAAAGCATTTCTCCAGGCCAAGACTATTTCTCCAGCGGCCAAGAGCATTTCAACAGACCGAGAGCATTTCCTCATTTACACAAGTACAAAAACGCTGTGCCTGCAGGCACGCAGCAAAAATATGCAAGATGCACATATGTACTTGCAATTTATGGGACGGGGCCTTCTCATTGGCGGAGTTGGCATGTTCCAGCGTCTTCCGAGAAGTGCAATGTGAATTCATGCAATGTGACGTCTCACTGGCCGACTCCGTCAACAAGAACTCGGCATCTCTGTCACTCACACCTCAGCTCTCAATGGAGGAGAACGGTCCTTGGCGGTCCTGGTCTAGTTTCCGCCGAGGGTAGGCCGGGCTGTAGGAGAGTATCGAGTGACACTGCGAGCCGCGAGCTGATATTTCATATTGGATAAAGACATTCTAGTGACGTTCGTCAGTAGTGAATTTTCTTTTGATTATCTTATTGCACGCGACTTCTTATGGTGGGAAACACGGGAAGTGAATAAACAGCAACCGACAATCTTCAGATTTCAAATTTATTTAATCTGGTAGAAACAGTACAACAATGATGACAACAAAAATAAATTCATCACAGCAAAAAAACTTACACACTACAAACATAATAAACATTCAACGTGCTACTTTTAAACCGAACTTACAAACTAAAAAATCGCGATACATCCTTAATCAACTTACTAGAATGAAATGAACACAAACACTGGACACAGCATTTTGGCTCGCTCCCCGTGCCGACTCTGGTAATCAAACCAAGACTAACACGATTTTCCGGTGAGTCCGAGTGGAAGCACCTTGTAGGGGTTGAGGATGCCGTTGGGGTCCATGAGGTCCTTGAGGCCCTTCATGACGCTGAGGGCGGGCGCGGTCTTGGACAGGTGCACGAACCTGTTCTTCTTGAAGCCGACGCCGTGCTCGGCGGCCACGGAGCCGCAACGCTTGGACGTCCAGTCGTACACGAACTCCTCCATCCACTCGAGGAGCTCCGGGTCGAAGGTGGGCGTGGTGACGCCGAGGTGCAGGTTGCTGTCGCCCATGTGTCCGAAGCCGCAGACGCGCGTCACGGGCCGCCCGTTGTCGCGAAGGTGGCGCGCCAGCTCGGGCACCACGTCGTAGTACATCTTGAGCGGCACGCTGATGTCGAACGTGTAGAGGCAGCCGTCCGCCCAGAGGCCCTTGCCGATGCGCAGCCGCATCTCCCACAGCGTGTGCATCTCGGCCTCGGACGACGCCAGGACGCCGTCGGTGGCGATGTCGGCGTCGCGGACCGACTGCAGCAGCTTGGCCAGCTTCTCGCGGTCGTGCTGCGCGTCGCTGCCGTTGGTCTCCACCAGCACGTAGAACGGCGAGTCGGACTGCAGCGGGTGGCGGTAGCCCAGCTTGTCCACCACCACGCTCATGCACTCGGCGTCCATCATCTCGCACGCCGACAGCGTCTCGGCCAGCGCGGCGCGCGACGCGCGGAAGGCGTCCACCACGCGCGGGAAGGACGGCACGCCCAGGAACAGCACGTGCACCGAGGCGGGCGCCACGCTGCACTGGATGGCCACCTGCGGGACCAAACGACACGGCCTGTCACTCTCACGCGCGTCAGCCTCGACAACGGGCAATTGCCACAACATTTTGTTCACATGTGCACTAGTTTTTTCTGCCGCACTGATTGCCCACCATAAAAGTCTGGAATCGTTCTGCACCCATTAGAGGGCGTGCATAAAGACGATAGCACGCGTAACAGAACGCGTAATAGTAGCGTAATAACGGAATTTTTCCGAATTTTACCCACTTTTTTGGGTTGTTTTAAATTAAATCCGGATAATTTTGGTCGAAATTTCTAGGGTGCACACCCCTCGAGTGTACAACGCTGGCCGCATCCCAGCCGTGCAGCTCTGCCGGCTCTGCCTCTCCGGACCCCCCCCGCCGCCCAGTGGGAGGGAGAGAGGCAGACGCTGCCGGCGGGGTGGCGGACGGCCCCTCACCTGCGTGATGACGCCGAGCGTGCCCTCGGACCCGATGAACAGGTGCTTGAGGTGGAAGCCCGAGTTGTCCTTGCGGAGGGTGTTCATGAGGCGGAGCACGGTGCCGTCGGCGCGCACCGCCTCCAGGCCCAGCACGGAGCCGTGCAGGCTGCCGTAGCGCACCAGGCGCACGCCGCCCGCGTTGGTGGACAGGTTGCCGCCGATGTGGCACTTGTTCTTGGCGCCCAGGTCGAGCGGCACGATGAAGCCGCGCTTGCGGACGTACGCGTCCAGGTCGCCGAGGACGCAGCCCGCCTGGCACGTCAGCACGCCCGACACCTCGTCGAAGTGCAGGATCTCGTTCAGGCGCTGTCGAACCAAACACGCCCGAATTCAGGAAAGATACAGTGGTAGATGCATGCGGTTTGGCCTGGTGCAGCGGTTCTCAACCTTTCTCGGCTCGCGACCCCAAATTTGAAGCCAAAAATTTCCGCGACCCCCAGGAAAAATTTCGCGACCCCACGGGACCCCTCCTTTAACATGCCACGGCGTCTGATCCGAGGCGGGCATTTTGCTCCCTCAACGGGCAACTGGTCTTTGGACCTTCCTTTAGCATGCCTTTGTTACGGAGTGCAATTATCAGTCTTAGTTTGGGAGCAGTATTGTCTCAAAGTTGGCCAAAACGCTCAGAAATGTCTTTGAAAAATCGTGTTTTGGGCCGATTTTAAGCAGCCACTGCGTCTGATCCGAGGCGGGCATTTTGCTCCCTCAACGGGCAATCGGTCTTTGGACCTTCCTTTAGCATGCCTTTGTTACGGAGTGCAATTATCAGTCTTAGTTTGGGAGCAGTATGTCTCAAAGTTGGCCGAAACGCTCAGAAATGTCTATGAAAAATCGTGTTTTGGGCCGATTTTAAGCAGCCACTGCGTCTGATCCGAGGCGGGCATTTTGCTCCCTCAACGGGCAATTGGTCTTTGGACCTTCCTTTAGCATGCCTTTGTTACGGAGTGCGATTGTCAGTCTTAGTTTGGGAGCAGTATTGTCTCAAAGTCGATCAAAACGGTCGCAAGTGTCTTTAAAAAATCGTTGTGACTATTTTGGTCAATTTTGAGACAATACTGCTCCCAAACTAAGACTGATGATCGCACTCCGTAACAGGCATGCTAAAGGAAGGCCCAAAAGACCAATTGCCCGTTGAGGGAGCAAAATGCCCGCCTCGGATCAGACGCAGTGGCTGCTTAAAATCGGCCCAAAACACGATTTTTCATAGACATTTCTGAGCGTTTCGGCCACTTTGAGACAATACTGCTCCCAAACTAAGACTGATAATTGCACTCCGTAACAAAGGCATGCTAAAGGAAGGCCCAAAAGACCGATTGCCCGTTGAGGGAGCAAAATGCCCGCCTCGGATCAGACGCAGTGGCTGCTTAAAATCGGCCCAAAACACGATTTTTCAAAGACATTTCTGAGCGTTTTGGCCAACTTTGAGACAATACTGCTCCCAAACTAAGACTGATAATTGCACTCCGTAACAAAGGCATGCTAAAGGAAGGTCCAAAGACCAGTTGCCCGTTGAGGGAGCAAAATGCCCGCCTCGGATCAGACGCAGTGGCTGCTTAAAATCGGCCTAAAAAAACGACCCCAGCATCGCCGCGCCCCCTTTAAAAAAAATTTCGCGACCCCGCTTGGGGTCGCGACCCTAAGGTTGAGAACCACTGGCCTGGTGCCACAGTGCCGCGGGCCGCGCTGCCACGCCACAGGCGGGTTCCAGCAGGCTACACCGCCGTGCCGCGCCGTGCCGCGCCGTGCCGCGCCGTGCCGGGCCCGACGGTAAGGTCAGTGCTCGCGGGCGACGGCGACTCCGCGATTCTATTCGCACAAACACTCGCCAAAGTTTTTTTTCCTACCGGTGGCTGTGGCTATTTTTGGCCCGGGCCAGTCCCAGACTGTCTAGGAGGACTCGGGCAGGGGTCAGGTAACCAAAACAAAATTGCTGCATAATGAGATCTAGGAGGCCGGCGGCGCACCGCTGCGTGAGTCAAGCAGCGCAATTCCGTGCCGTTTTAAGGGGCGTGGCGAAAATTAATTGTTACGCCTTTGCGTGGCAAGACAAAAAACAATAATAATAAAAATATTCAACGAAACTTTTTGGCGTTCTTTTCCGTCTCGTTTCGTTTGACGGTAGTGATCCGGCTTGATCTTGTTCGCTCTGCCTTGTGACCAAATATTCCGGTGAAGGCCGGCTTTACGATCCTGTTTTCTCACTTTACCTTTTGTCCTTGCCATAAATAGAACTATTTGGACTCCACCAAAAGGGACGTTCAGGCTGCTTTGAGCACTTTTGATGGCCAATAACTTTTTCGTTCTGAGTCCAACTCAGCCCGGACTCCTACACAGCCCCTTCGACAGTTCTGCGTCCGGGAATGCCTAGTAGGCTGCTTAGTAGGCAGTGCTTAGTAGGCAGTGCCTAGTAGGCAGTGCCTACCAAGACACCGTAACGCCACAGGGTCCATGGCACCCACTGAATGGTGCCGACTGGGCAGTCCTGGACGCGGCTCTGTCGGCCTCACTGCCTCACTTCACGGCCGTCCCCGGGCCTCTACGTGGCGTGCGTGCTGGCGCGGCGCTCCTACCTGCGTGGAGAGCACGATCTCGTCGAAGACGGGCACGCTGCCCCAGACGAGCCCCGTGTTGCCGCCCTGGGGCGTGACGGCCAGCTTCTCGCGGTTGCAGTAGGCGAGCACGTCGGCCACCTGCTGCGTGCTGGCGGGCAGCAGCACCACCGAGCCGCGTCCGCGCGCGTGCCGGTCCCAGTCGATGTTGTGCGCGGCCACCTTGACGGGGTCCGTGAGCACGGCCTCGGTGCCCAGCAGGTCCTCGAAGAAGCGCAAGTGGCGGTCGGCCAGCACGGCGAAGTCGCCCCGCTCCAGGTGCGGGAAGCGCTCCGTGGTCAGGTCCGGCAGCGCGGCCGCCGTGCCGTTCACCAGTTTCCGGGCCGACTCCATGTCCTCTGTTGTCTCTGTTCTCACTACCGTCGCCGCAGCGCCAATGTGTCCGTCGAGTCCTTGTCCGCCGACCGGCGCGCTGCGTTTTGGGCCCGGACCGCTCGCACCGCTCGGACGTGGGGGACGTGGGGACGACGCGGACGGGGCCGGCGATGGGGTCCGCGGCTCCACGGGTCCGCGGGGAGCAGGGTGGCGTGCAGAAACGCCCTGCCGCCCTGCCGCCCCTCCCCTCCCGCCGTGCCGCCGCGCCGAGGGAGGGGAGGGGGAGGCGTTTCGCAGGGCTTCATGCCTGAGTCACGTGACGGTCACGTGCACATGGCGGTCTAGCACTGCGCAGTGTGCTTTCGCCGCGCTGTCCGTCTCGCTCGCACTCACGGGGCGTCCCGCGCCACCGTTGGGGTGCGAGAGAGACAAAGCGACCGCTCTCCAGCCGCGGCTGCCGGCTGCTGACGCACGGAACACAAAGGAGGGAGAAGCTGTCCAAGGGAGAGGCCTAGTTAAGCCGGACACTAGACGCGCCTAGAAAACCGCAAAAGTGACATGAAGCCTGAATAACCGACACCCAGGGTGCACTATGCGGCGCAGTGCGGGGGCAGCAGCAGGAGCAGGGGCTATGCACTCTTGTAACCTTTGACCCGATTGTTACGTCTGTCACGCTCTATTGCACCTCAAAAATTCGGATTTCAGCTGGAAACAGCCCAAAGCAATCCAAAATTTGGTGAGATTCGGAGAATTTTGGCCACGACACGTGACTCTTACGCGCACTGTTACGCGTGCTATCGGTGGATAGAGTGACCCGGACCGAGCCCCAGACTATTACGCGAGTGCATACCCCTGGGAGCAAGCAAGATCGTTGCCAAGGAGGCGCGACGGCGCGACGCGGAGGTGGGAGGGAGGGCGAAGCGGGGCGAAGCGCGTCGGCCAGTATGAGGGGGAAGTCCCAAGTCAACAGGGTGTCAAATGATAATGCCCAAATGACGAGATCGTCGACGGCCAGAGTGGTCCAAGAGGTCACCAATGTTTTTGAAATTTTAGCTCTCATCGACGACAAAATGACCTTTTTCTGCAACATGGGTGGCCTTTTGGAGGGCCTAGGAGCTGTCCTTGGCACCTGATTCAGGATCAGATCTGGTGGTCCGGGCCGTTTTACAGCCCGGCTTCGGACCTCCAACGGTTCGCCCCTCCAGACCAGGATGGTGGAAAAACACGCCTCCACAGCCTGCCGGCATAACACCTCCTGGCGTCAACAAGTGGTAGCACTACCGAACTTACATTTGCGGACAATTAAAGCTTACGTAAAAGAATCCGTCACCATAATTACAATAATCCAACCATTTCAACCCGCGGAAAACCTTGCGACAGGGATTTCTTTGTAGTATGTAAAAGCAAAAATGTGACGCCGGCGCTGTAAGTCCGGTGTAAGCCTGTTGGAACCAGTGCGGGCGATGTGCGTGCGGAGCCAGTCCGCTCAACATTGTCGCTGCGGCCATAAATTAAGAGTCCTCCGCGCGGGAGAGGGGGGGGGGGAATCGCGCCATCGCGCACTCGCACGGCCCCGCCGCCGGCCCGGCCTGCCCGGCCCATCCAGCGAGGAGGGTGTTTACCTAATCAGGAGTGCGAAAATTTGCGCCGCAGCCAATGCAAGGAGAACAGGTACTAGTCAAAATCAGGTCAAAATGGTGACGAATGATGTCATTTCTACGTCTGATAATTTTTGACTAATTTTTGGGTCATGTTCCCATCATATGACTTAGGTGCTCCCAGAGCTCTGCGCCCCAACTTCGTGTCATTCAAATGACACTCTACTCTCAAAACACAAGTTGACATGAAACAGATAAAGGAAATTTACCAAGAGTCATGTGGTGCCGAGTTGTTTTGATAGAAAGTTGGGGAAGGCCGTAACTGCTTTCTTCTTTTTTGACCAGGCGAGGGAGCGGGTAGTTTCCACGGAAAACGAAAAGCGTGACAAACAGACGCAGCAAGTCGTGATGAAACTCGATGAATAGACTTGCGAGTTTCAATATTTTTTACGACAACAGTTTCAATATGTTTCGTTAGGTTTAACTTTGAATTTTTCATCCTTAATTGTATTTTATGTGATGCTTTGTCTCGGGGCTAAATGTAAAATTGTAATAAATCGAGGTTTTTAGTTAGAAAACAATTTAATCAGGCATCTTCCCAACAACAACAATGGTCCTCATAACAGAAGTGCTGCTCGAGACGGCTTCAATCGCAAACTGACTACATAGTGCGCAGAATGAGGGATCACGTCACCCCGTCTTTGCCAAAATACCTCCTGATGACTTTGTCAATTGCGTGCCTTATGTAACGCCAAAATAAGCTGCTTCCCCTCCTCCCCGCCCCGCCCCCGCCCCGCTAAGCCCCCCTGTCCTCCGGCCGAGCAGAGGCCTCGGTCAGCCTCGGCGACGACGGCCGGACGGACCGCCGCTAGGCCGCCGCCGCCGCGCCGGTGGCTCCGAGCGCCGGCTCGGCTCCGGCTTGGGGCCTCGGTTCGGCTGGACTCGCTCTGCTCGGCTCGTCTCGGCTCGTCCCCGCTCGTCCGGGACGGGGGCCGGCAGGCCGGTAGGCCGGTAGGGGGCGGCGGCCGGGGGACGCCGGGGACCCCCGTGACGCCAGTGGCGCGCGGCGGAGCAGCGGAGTACCACGCCCGGACACCATGACGGTCACCACGGAGTCCGAGCCGCTCCTCGACGATGGCGGCGGCCACAGAAGACCGCCGTCCAACTCGGTGAGTCCATGAGGGATTTGGCGAGGGGGCGGGGCCAGGGGAGGGGGGGGGGAGGGGGAGGACGAGAGGGGAGGGGCAGGATGACATTCAAAGCGGTGCGTTGTTGTTGGTGGTGTTGTTGTTTTTCCGCGGTTCGGTTTTCGCAATCCTCACCGATCTTCGTTTGTCTTCGGCATTTTGGCGCGCAGCTCGGTTGCAAAGGACTATTTACCCTTTTCCTTTAAAAAAATAGGTCGAACTTTTCTCGATTTTTCATAACAGCAAGGCGCTTCCATAGAGGTTCCTCGAAATTCGCGAATTCGGGCGTGCGAAAGCACTGCAGCCATGCCGATCGGAAACTTGATTCGGAGCTGCTTAGCCGGCGGTGCCGGAGTGGCTGGAGCGACCACCGCACGGCGCGTCAGCGCGTCTAACGCGACGTGACGGGAAGCTTGATGGAACTTGACAGCGAATGAGCGTGGATAGCCAGCTGGACATCGTTTATGGAAGAAAGTAGAGGCGCCAGGCTGACTCGTGTTGAACTTGTCCCAGCCACTAATACGGAGACTCTGTTCGGGATTCTGTAATCCAAGGGAATCCCCAGTAGGGATCCTCTACCGTTTTATTATTTTCGGACTCGTACTTCAGGTGATAGTAGGACCATAATTCCTGGAAAAATTAGCAGAGCTGCGATTGCGTACGCGATGCAGAGATAGAATAAATTTCTTGCTAGAGTTTGACCGCTTAACTCTCACCGGGACACGAGACACTGAACCCTTCCCCGAGTGTGGGTGTGGGAGAATCCCTGAAACTGAAACTCTATATCCGATCCGCGGCGTCCCGAGGGCGGTCCCCGAGAAGGCCGCAGGGCTGACCAGGCTGGCTAGGCTCGCCAAGGCGCCATGTGTGATGTGGTAGGTCATTGGTCGCTTACGCAAGCCAGGCGAAGCCGCGGCCGGGAATGCCTGTGCGGGAGGGAAGCCCTTCTTTGACGGCCGAGGGACAACTGGAGCCTTACGCAAAGGGCCTCGCGCCCAACGCCCAGCGCCGCCTAGCGCCCTGCGCTGTGGGCAGTGTGGCCAGTCAAAGTCCTTACTGAAACGAGGTGTGTACAATTTCGCCAGGGTCAGAAGACACACATGTCCCTTGAAAATCAATTTGCTAGTGCAATGAACCTGCCAGAAGCCAGTGGCCACAGCACACACTTAAGTTTTCATTGTTGTTTACGGGCCTTCCACGTAAAAGTGGGATGCCGTGCGTTCGTTGTTTCGTAACCGCGCCACGGCGACACAGTGTAACTCTGACTCGCTCGGCATGGCTTGGCCAGGCTTGGCACTGGAATCTGCGGAGCTACAGCGCGCTAGCCAAGGGCAAGGAGTCGGGGAGTGGCCTCATGGCCTCATCGCGAATCCCCGCTCCGCCTCGCCTCCAGAGCCGCCCGATTCCGTAGAGCGCCTCGTCGCCCTGTCTCTGTCGCACCCATGGAGCGCCCCACGGAGCGACGGGCCGAACGGTCTTTCGTAATCAGGCAGCAGACGACGTTTCGGTTTTGTTTCGTGTTTATCCCCTTTCTGTTTGCATCCGCCGTCGGCGCGCCAGCGGCATGGCGGCGGCGGCATGGCTGTGGCATGGCCCCCCCGCCGGCACACCGCGGGATGTATCGCTTTCCAGTTTACGGCCCTGCCCAGCCGCTTCCACTCTAATTTAAAAGGGGCGGACAGGGCGAGCGGCAAAACCGAGTTATTCAAAATGTATTTCATTTACTCGAGGGTTCAAGCCTTAGTAAGAAAATACTGCACGGATTCTTGTTTTTGCTGGCTAAACGATGTTGAGAAAAGTTGGCGATATGGCGCAACTTCTTTGGTTAGCAGCGATGAAAAAAGATTGGCTGACTTTATTCAATATTTAAACTTTTTGGCGGGCAGGCGATCAAGGGCCTAGAGGCTCTGCTGGACCGGAAACAGCCTTTGAGAGTCACTCGACTGCAAGGCAGGCAGTCTATCCGCGGTGGCGGACGTCACCGTGCAGCGAGTGCAGTTTAACTGGGCCTTCCTTCTGTTTTTAGACACGCCATGCATTTACTCACTGTCGCGGTTACGGTTCTGTTTGTTCCTTTTGTTTTTGTTTCGCTGTTTAATTGGTTTGCGGACGAGGCGTGCGCTCCAGCAGCTCCAGCTCCGAGAGTTGTTGTCGTCGCTCTGTCTCTCTCGCACCTGCGCGGGACGACCCACGAGTGGGAGGGAGACAGAGCGACTCTCGGATTGAGTGTTGACTAATGGCGCTGTCCCGCTTCCCCAGGACGCTGGCGGCGGCGCTCGCGGCCGCGGGGTGGCGTGGTGGACGGCGGACTCCACCGACGTCAACGGCAAGGACCCGGCCAAGGACCTGGGCTACGGCAGCTTCGCCAGCTTCGCCAACGGCGCCAAGGGCCACGACGACGAGGTGGCGGGCGGCGGCGGCGGCGGTGGAGGCGGGGGCGGCGGCGGCGGCGACTGGCCGGCCCACCAAGCCGCCTGCACGCCGCTGACGTACACCTGGACCGCCCTCAACGTGTTCGCTCCCGGTGCGCGGCCCCGCAGGGCCTCCGTGGCGCACTGGTTCCACCGACGGCCGTCCGCGCCCCGCAAGCATCTCCTTAAAAACGGTTAGTTTAAGTCGCTTCTTTCGACTGAATGCTCGGAGACTGACTGTCCGGCTGTTGCAGTGTCTGGCGCCGCGCTGCCCGGGGAGGTGCTGGCCATCATGGGGGCGAGCGGCGCGGGCAAGACGACGCTCCTGGACGCCCTCACGTTCCGCTCGGACAGGCAGCTGACGGTGACGGGCGCGCGCGCCGTGTCGGGCTCCGTCGTCACCAGCAGCAGGGACTTGGCCGGCGTGGCGGCCTACGTGCAGCAGCGCGACCTGTTCGTCGGCTGGCTCACCGTGCGAGAGCACCTCGTCTTCCAGGTAGCACGCCACCGTCGCCGCGCTGTGGGCCAGAAGACCGGTGGAGGCGGCCGAAATCCCGGACGGGTTTGGAGCTCGAGGCACTAAATGACACTCGAACCGAACGTGTGACCCCACCAATGGATTTCTCTTCGAACGAGGAATCCATTGGTGGGGTCACACGCTCCGTTCGAGTCCCATTTAGCGACTCTGGAGCTCAAAACGCGTCCGGGATTTTGACCCACTTCTGGCCCACTGTCCGCTGCGGCAGAGGCTTTATCCCGCGCTCGTGTCAAAGGGAAAGGATTGAGCCGCCGACCCACCGCGATCCCACGGAAGCTGAAAACCAAACCGGCTCGGCTTTCCCATGTGGAAACCGCAGCGGATCGGATCGGAAAATGGATGCAAGCGCCGCCCGGCTTCGGACTGATTGTCTCCCTCGCACGCAAGGGGCTCCCACGGGTGCGAGAGAGACAGAGCGACGAAAGCACAGTTGAGGCGGTCCTCCTTGGCCCAGGATCGCGTGTTGGCGGCGCCATGGCGGCGCGAAGGCGCGATCCGTGTCCCGACACCGATCCGATGAAACAGGACCAAGGGACTCAGTAACCCGAATCCTTGACGTCAGAGTCGTCTCCCGTCCTTGTCCCGCAGGCGCTGCTGCGAATGGAGCGACGCATGCCGCGCAGGCTGAGGCTGCGCAGGGTGCAGGAAGTCATGGAGGAGGTAAGCCCTTGCCGTCGGAGCACCGCCATCTTGCAACTTTTGACCCTTTACAGTGTGCTTTTTAAAAGTTCTAAAAGTTAATTCCGTTCTCTGCCTCTCGTCCAGCTGGGGCTGACGAAATGCCAGGACAGCATCATCGGCGTGCCGGGCAAAGTCAAGGGCATTTCCGGGGGAGAGATGAAAAGACTGTCGTTTGCGTCCGAGGTAAGCCGCCGATTTTCCAAGAAGTCTCAACTTTAGCAAGTCGGCTTCCCTCCCAGTGACGGTCCGTGTCCACGCGCAGGTGCTGACGGACCCCGCCCTGCTGCTGTGCGACGAGCCCACGTCCGGGCTGGACGCCTACATGGCGCAGACCACGGTGGAGGTGCTGTCTCGCATGGCGCGCCGCGGCAAGACCGTGGTGCTCACCATCCACCAGCCGTCCTCGGAGGTGTTCGCCCAGTTCGACAAGATCCTGCTGATGGCCGAGGGCCGCGTCGCCTTCCTGGGGTCGCCGCGGGAGGCGCAGGACTTCTTCGCCAGGTACACCGCAAGCTCTACCACGAAGGAAGGCGAGCTCGCCCCCAATGAGCCAGAAGACCGGCGGAGGCGGGTCTAAATCCCGGACGGGTTTTGAACTCGAATGGGACTCAAACCGAACGTGTGACCCCATCAATGGATTGCCCTCCGAACGAGGAATCCATTGGTGGGATCACACGCTCCGTTCGAGCCCTGCCAGGGGCGCCGGAAGTGGGGTGCAGGGTGGGCAGGCTGCCCCCCCTGGAATTTGGCAGGGGGGCCATCGCCCCCCCCCTCCCCCTGGACTTTGGTGGGAAGCTGCGAAAATCGAGCCAGGCGGGCGGGCACCGGTCGCGCAAAGTATCTCCGCAGTGAGCGGCGAGACGCGGCGCGGCGGCCTCTTCCCCCTCCCCCTTGAATTGAATAATTTATATTAGTATTAGGGTCAGTTGGAGCAATTGTAGGACACGGGGTAAAAATGGGACAGCATATTCCAAGGGGTACCCGACTCAAGATAATCATTGCGCGTCTAGTTGGTAACCAGTGAAATAATCAACATCATCCAATGAAATGACGATCATACTTGCGGGGATTCAATCACTTTTGACAATTTTTGCGAGACCACTGCTCCCAAACTATCAGCGGTCAAAGCCTTCCCGAGGCGGGGCATGAAAGAGTAGGGTCTTAAGAATAGTAAGGCGTCGAGGGAGGCCTTTGACCGCAACTAAATTGGATGCAGTGACCGCTCAAAGTCAGCAAAAACGATGATTTTTTGAAATTCTTTCACTTTTTGACCATTTTTGCGAGACCACTGCTCCTAAACTATCAGCGGTCAAAGCCTTCCCGAGGCGGGGCCTGAAAGAGTAGGGTCTTAAGAATAGTAAGGCGTCGAGGGAGGCCTTTGACCGCAACTAAATTGGATGCAGTGACAGTTCAAAGTCAGCAAAAACGGTGATTTTCTGAAATTCATTCACTTTTTGACCATTTTTGCGAGACCACTGCTCCCAAACTATCAGCGGTCAAAGCCTTCCCGAGGCGGGGCATGAAAGAGTAGGGTCTTTAGAATAGTAAGGCGTCGAGGGAGGCCTTTGACCGCAACTAAATTGGATGCAGTGACCGCTCAAAGTCAGCAAAAACGATGATTTTCTGAAATTCATTCACTTTTTGACCATTTTTGCGAGACCACTGCTCCTAAACTATCAGCGGTCAAAGCCTTCCCGAGGCGGGGCATGAAAGAGTAGGGTCTTTTTAAGCACCTTTTTTGGTGGGGGAGGGGGGTAATTAGGAACGTAGGATTTAAAATTGTTTGCCCCCCTGAGGAAATACACTTCCGGCGCCCCTGAGCCCTGCTTAGCGGCTCTGGAGCTCACAACGCGTCTGGAGTTTTGGCCGCCCCTGTGTGACGCACGCTTCGCTGCTTCCAGGATCGGCGCCCCCATCCCGCCCAAGTACAACCCCGCCGACTTCTTCGTGCAGCTGCTGGCCGTGGTGCCCACCGAGGAGGCCGCCTCCAGGGACCGCATCCACCGGGTGTGCGACGCGTACGAGCGGTCGGACGCGGCCGCCAGGACGGCCGCCATCACTGACTACCCGGTGAGCCTTCTGTCGCAGCGCCTGGCGGGTAGGCAGTCCCGTGGCGCGGCGTGGCGGCCGGGTTGCCTACTCCCGCGTCGTCGGGCGCTCCGCTGTGCTCCGCTGTGCTCCGCTGTCCCTGCAAGGCCTGTCTCCCTGCCCGCAGGTGAAAGGGTGGCGGCCGCTGCAGCGGGCACTGTCATCCTCCTCGTCCTCGCACTACCAGGCGTCCTGGGGCACGCAGTTCCTGGCGCTGCTGTGGCGCTCGTGGCTGAGCGTGCGCAAGGAGCCGCAGCTGGTGCGGGTGCGCGTGCTGCAGACGGCCGTCATCGCCCTGCTCGTGTCCGTGCTCTACTTCGGCCAGAACCTCGACCAGACCGGCCTCATCAACGTCAACGCCGCCCTCTTCACCACCATCACCAACATGACCTTCCAGAACGTGCTCGCCGTCATCAAGGCAAGCCGGCTTCGCGTTTTCTCACTTCCAAGTTCAAATTGGTTTAAATTTGGTCCACGAGACTCGGACAGCTTACACTTCTCCACCTTTCAATGACTGTGACCTTCCCCACGACAGGTGTTTTGCACGGAGCGGGCGGTGTTCATGCGCGAGCACATGGCCGCCATGTACCGCGTGGACGCCTACTTCCTGGCGCGCTCCACGGCCGAGCTGCCCATCTTCATGATGCTGCCGGTGCTGTACACCTGCATCGTCTACTTCGCGGTGGGGCTCAACCCCGACCCCGTGCGCTTCTTCACCTGTGTGGCCATCACCAACCTCATCGGACTCGTCGCCACGTCTTTCGGTCAGTTTTACAACCATTTCGTCGCATCTTACCTCTGTGCTTCCTTTGAATGGATTTGTTTGATTCGTATTCCAGGGTACTTCATTTCGTGTGCTGCAAATAACATGTCGACAGCACTCTCGACCGGAGCACCGGCAGTTATCCCTCTTCTTCTGTATGGAGGTTTCTTTGTAAATCTGGAGTAAGTATGTGAACCTTAATTTATTTTCTTTTGCACTCAAGAATCAGAATGTTTGTATTTACGGTGCGCTTGCGTCTGTCTCAGCACCATGCCTTCCTATTTTTCGTGGATCCAGTATATATCATGGTTTCGTTATGGAAACGAAGCTCTGCTAGTCAACCAGTGGCAAGATGTGCCCGAGATATCTTGCACGGGATCTTTGAACAACAACTCTTGCATACACAATGGCCACTACGCCTTGCAGGTGTACAGCTTTAAAGAGGTGAGCATGAATCAGTGGTTGCATTAGTTTGGTCGGGAATGATTGTGCTGATCGTAAATTTTTTCTTTGCAGGGGTCTGTTTGGAGTGACATCGGGCACTTGGCTCTTCTTGCGTTGCTGTTTCGCAGCTTGGCCTTGCTACTCCTCATCATCAAGACGAGATAAACAGTGTCCAGGCACTTTCTTTAGGAATATGATTTGTCATCAATGCTGCAGTGTTCAGTTTCTTGTGATCTCTCATACTCTAGGATTTATATTATTTTATTTTTAATAAATTCAAAGAATGAACGACTGTTGAAGAGTTTCTTGACCAAAATTTGAGTGCCATTATCCCGATTCCACCCACGTTTACACAGATCATGCAAAGATTCGTGAAATGAAACAGGCGATCGAGGTTCAAAGCTAGGTAATGGAAGTAAAACTAGGTGAACAGCCAGAAAAAAGAACGAAACTTAAAGTGGGCATTCCCCCGGGCCGGAGATGACTTAGACTAGCCGCGCAACTGGACCTGTCGATCAGCCGAACAGCAATATGAAAACGATTCCTCATTCACATTGCCATTGCAATTGCATGCAGGTGTGCTCGGCGGGTAGTGTGTGTGTCGGGGTGTATTGCTTTGAAAAATGATATGATGTGTTTGTTGGTTTGTGTCCCGATGACGCGACCGATATCCCTGTTATATGCATCAAATTGGAAGTTTTCTCCAAGCTGACACGATGAATAAGTCACTCAGCCCCATTTCTGACCCTCGAAACGAGAGTGTTGAAGTCTCACGTCGTCTGTACAGGTTCGTGTTACCGACCTTCGCGCAACACATTTCGTGTTGCGACATCACATTTACCGAACTCCTTCATATTTAAACGTCTTTCTAAGGGTATGGTTCACGGTAGCCTTTCATGTCGTTTCAGTAAAATGACAGTTTAGTGATGGTGTTGTCTGTTTAAAGTTGTTTTGGGGACTGTTTAACCTAACTCTGTATAGGGTTCTCTCTGTGAAAGAGAGGGTGCTGTCATTTTAGAACAGTTTTACTTTATTTAAATTCACTTATGCACCAATTTTATTGTTTCTTATAGAGTTTAAAACTGTTCTTGGAGCTTTTAGGATAGTTCGTTATGATTAGATGGTTGGTGAAGAACGTACTTAAAACTTCGCAACTGCACAAATTCATAATCTTCCCTGGTTTTGCTATCTCTAACAGAAATTTAATGGACACTACACGTCAACTTGACGAAATAAGAAGCCATGCAAAGACAACAGGAGATTTATTTTCTGTTGAGGCTCAGGTACTTAGAAACAAGCTCAAAGAGATTGCGGAGCGACTAGTGTTTTCAAGTCTCCTGAGTCAAAGGCGTAAAGTTGAAGAAGTTTTATGGAGGAAAGGCTTCTATGAAGATGTCTCAACTGCAAAGCGGCTGAGAAAGGTTTGAGCTCAGAATATACTTTGCTGTAACAGATTTGAAATAAATTTTTTCTAATCCTGTCGCAGGACTTCTAAACTAGATGTTATTTCTATGTTGCAGGATTGTCAGTGGATGCCTGATGAATGCTCACAGCTCCTACTGCATATAAAATGTGGCATAGGGTTTTACCACCATCTCCTCCAATGCCTTCAAATTGAATATGGCATTACATCAGGATGCATTGACTTCCCCATGGTGTTTCCAGACCAAGATTATGGGAAAAGTAAGTGATGCCTTAACTATGTCCAGTGGTTGCTAGTAATGGCTTCTAACTATGAGTGGCTTCATTCCCTTCCAGGCAAGCTGCCCCCATCCTCCAAACAGCTCGAAGCTGCCCGTGATTCTGTTCATCGATGCCTTGTGTGCTTGGGAGATCTAAATAGATATCTCATGGATATTCCTCAGAGTGGTAGTTATGATATGGCATACCGTTACTATCACCAGGTATCTTATCTATCTCGATGATGATAATATTCTGCTATTACAGCAATAGTGTGATTCAAGTGATTTTTTTTTCAGGCACTTTCTTGGAATCCAGCAATTGGAATGCCACACAATCAGTTGGGCACTTTGTCATTGAGTACAAATTGCAATTTAGATGCTGTGTACTATTACATGAGATGGTAAGAATTTGCTATATTTGTCTTGTCCTGAAATTGAGATGTGAAAAGGTACTTACTATTTGTTGTCCTCTTCCTTTCAGTTTGATGTGCTCTCAGCCATTTGAAGGGGCTGAAGGTAATTTGAAGAGATCCCTGGAACGAAGTGCTTTAAAAGTACACCAAGAAAAGGCAGTGAGCTGTGGGTCAGCTCTATGGCGATGCGTTTGCTCCAACCCAGGGGAAGGTCAGCTGTCTGAAGCTCAGGACCACATTCAGCAATTCCTTGCTCACTTTCTTTTACTAGCTGATCTGTGGTTTTTTGATAAAAAACCTGTCGCCAATGTCAGTGATGTAAGTGCCATGAGTTCAGTCAGATGTCCTGTTCAAAGGAACTCCTTATTAGCTCTACATTTTTCTCTGGTTATTGAGCCTAAAAAAACTTCTTATTTTTCTTGTTCTGTAGTTGTGCCATCAAACATTGCTTGATTTTCGTCTGTGCCTGAGTTTTGTTGAGCCACCTGAAAGTGAAGCTACGTACTTCACGAGATCACGTGAAAACTTCCCCTCTCACCTCTCTAAGGATATGGTTTTAAAGGTAGTTGTGGTATCTTTAATCTGCCTTTTACAGCTTAGAAAAAAAGGTGAGGCATCTTTGCATTTTGTGTGGCATTTTTGTGATGTTGGACCAGAACATCATCCTATATTCTCTGCTTCATTCCAGGCTCTGACCATGTTTCATCGTTAGTTGCTTTCCTATTGGCAGTATTTTGTATCTTGGTACAACAAGTTCAAGAACATTTCGTCGATTCAGTCTTGAATTTGTCTTTGCCAACTGTTGAAGAGCTGAATGTCAATGCACCCAAAGTCAATGGAAAGTGCAGTGACACAGATGAAATTGCTGTAAATGATGTAACCGAATGCAGAAAGGAGAATGGTCACCATGACAGTATAAATGGCAATGCAGTAAATGGTGAAACGGAGGAAGCAATTGATACAAAGCCAAAGAGGCGCAAGAGAGTTGTTAGGCGCCGTCAAAGGCAGTGTGACTCTTCTGATGATTCTGGTGAAAGCAATGGTATAGCTTATTCTGTCATGATAATATCAAATACTGCCAAATAGATTTTTCATTAACTTTTATTTCTGCAGATGAGGAATTTAATATTGGCTCTGGATCATCTGACATAAGTGAAGATGAGGAAATTGTATTGGATCTAAGCTCTGACGAAGAAGGATTAGAAAATCGCAAAGAAAATGATGACAACGATGATGATGTTGTTGTTTTGGAAGAAATCGAGTCTCTTGCCAAGTCTGTGTAAGTTTGGAGATGTGATTGAATTTAGTAAAGAATCAGGTGTTCCAAAAACCCCAAAACAAATTGGAAGTTTTCAGTCCTGTCGTCTTGTGGTACTAGTGCATCCAATTGGTCTTGGAATTTTTGGGCTACCTGGTTATCATCCCAGCCTGGCTTACCCTTTGCATGTTAACATTTTAATTTACAAATGAATTTCGCAGCTCTTTGACTAATGGTCACACGGGTAAACACATTCAGCTAGAAACTTCAACTCAAGAGGTAAATTTATAAACATTATATTTGCATAAATCCATTGTAATCAGTTTATCTTAAACCTTATCTTGTTTTGTTTTTTTAAGCCTGCAAATCCTGCTGATGTCCTAGAGCAGGTATGTGGAGAAAGTCTTCTCCCAGCCATAAAAGTTTGCATTGATTGGTTGCAAGGAGACAAGCCTGTTGTTGAAGCTTGTGGCAAGGATTCACTGGATGTTTTAAAAAAGCTTGTGGATCTTGTTAATTTTGTTAACATTGATATGAAAGACTTAGAAAAAGGTGAGGAAGGGCCTAGTACTTTTTGAGTGATCACCTAATCCATGCATTATTTGTTTATTATCGTGTCTTATTTTTCAGATGCCACTGCTGCTTCTTTTCTGAAGCATCGTTCAATATTCGAATCTAAATGCAAAATACCTCTACCAGAAGATGTGCAGTTACAAAAATTATCAATTTTGGCATCAGCTCATGAAAATTTAGATTGGGAGTTGATTCGCCAAAATCGTTTGAACCCGAAGGAAGAGGTATGCCACAAAATATATTTATTGCCCTTTTGAAATTGTATCTAACTTAAAAATGTAATGTATTTCTTTTTCCTATTTCTAGGCTCTTTTAAGGACTCGAAGACTTGTCTCGTTTTGTGATTTTCTTCAATCAGTGCCTGAAACTGGTGTGAAATACGATGAGGTATCCCACAAATTTAGTGTCTGCAAGGAAACTAAAGATTCTGTGAGTAAATAAAACCTAAGTTAATAAAAGTTATCAGATGTGTGTTCTAAAGGCAATCTCTTCAAACCTGATTTTTATTTTTTCTATCCAGGGACAGCCTGTTAGCCCGGGTGTAGATCTGCAACGAAGAGAAGAGGTGATGCATAACATGGGGCAACTTTGGCTGAGAGCAGAAGTCCAGAATCTAGAGACTTCTGTCAAGCGGGGTAGTAAAGGAGCATCATTTTCCCCCTATTTGGTTTTGGATGTAGATGCCTTAACGAAGTACTGTCAATTGGTTGGTCAACTAATGGCCAGTAGAAAGTTTATCATGGTTGTGCCATCAATTGGTAAGATATTAACATCACATTAGAAAGAATAACAATTGCAGGTGTCTTGTGACTAATAAATATTTATTTTAACTTTTACAGTGTTGTCAGCATTAGACCAGTTGAAACGGGAAAGTGTTTTAGCACGTGATGCTATTCGCTGGCTGGAGTTCCAATTTCAAAAAGGTAGCCGTTTCTTACGAGCTCAAACTTCTCATGAAGCATTGCGTTTGCCACTTGTTTCATATCCAAAGCAAAAGGCTCGTGAAGCATGGTAAATATAACAAGCCTTCATTTCCTCTGTTTACTTACTTCATAGTCAATGAACCTGTGACTGAGCTATCATTTTATTTTCAAGGTCATACTTCCAAGTGCTAGAATGTTGTCATTACTTAAACCATCAAAGTAGTCTGTCTTACAACAAGGACTCAAGAGCTGGCTTTGTGACTCTACTTACTGGACATGACTGGATGGAAGCTAATGGCTTCAGCGGCTTTAGCCCAATTGGTGTTTCAAAAGCTATTGGTAAGTACCACGGTTCAATTATGTGAATTTCCTTTTCGTGTGAACAGTATTGAATAATGTATATATTTTTACAGGCATTTCAATAGAGCACATAGAATCATTTTTTACCAAGTGGAAAACATCAAGTAAGAGTCATGGATGAAATCATGCTTGGTACATTTTGGAACTAATGCAATGAAGCAAACTGATTGTGAGGGTTTCAAGTTTGCGGCGGGTGTCAACAATGCAGACTTCATTTGCATATTGATGGAGAATATGCTGTTTTTTTGACAAAATGGCTCAATGTATCATGCTGTTTTATTTGTAATCAGGGATAAAGGGTTGCATACATCTGGCAAAGAAAAATAGGAAATATTTTCATACTGGTGCCAGAATATGCCAGCAGGGAAAACAGGAAGACTTTAGTATCTTGAGGGGGATACTTGAGGCATTTTATCAAAATCATTTAGATGCATGTGTGGGTATTGCTCAGCACCTATGTTGGAAGAGTAATGTAACATCCATTTGGTAGTTTTTTCGATCAATTGCTCCAATTGGATTATATTAAATGTATTTTTCCAACTGAGAATACATCATTGGACTGTCTCCTGTGGCGGAGCACTGAGCTTGTCCTCAAATGTGCTGGAAAAGCACATCATACCTTCCTGTTTCATCAGATCTTGCTCTTTGGAATCCATTTTTCTACAAAGAGTGAGTGTGTTTGAGCTACTCTGTTGTTTTGTATGAAGATTGTGTAATGCATGTTCAGTAGTGAAACAGGAAACTTGGACAAGTTTCTTGTGGTTGAATATTTGAATGGCAAATTTATTTTTGCCTCCTCTACATATGTGTCAATAACCATATGCCTGTTTTGAAATACTTCCTTTCTTTGTCGTGTAACTTTTAAACATAAGACGCGGAAATCTTCTGCCATAGGGATGTTGATTTTATTGCTGGTAACTTGTATGTCTTACAACTATTCATCATAAAAGAATTATTTTTTTTTCCTTTTATTATTCATAAGCATGCGATCTCCCATGTTTTGAGAAGTCTCTTTTTGATGTTGCTCATTCAGACAGATAATCTTTTCTTGTGAAAGCATTTTTTTCTTACAATAATTTTAAAAATGATATGAAGCAATAAATGTTTTTTCTTTCTTTAAACTTGAAGTGATTCTTATTTTTTCCTAATGCTCCTTCCTCTTTGGACTTACGGAAGCGGGGAAGCCCCGATGCTTTTTCTACTTTGCTGTTTCGTTTCAACTGCATGATAGAGTGTATGACAAATGCCAAACCAGGGCGCGTCCAGCAAAGTTAGCGAAGCAGACCGCGGATCCGTCCTGGTCCTGAGCCACCCGTTTCCAAAGCCGACATCTGTACGGAGTTGCCTTGAAATCCCCACCCGTCTGGAATGTGAATCAGTCTTAGCTTGCCAATGAGGTGACGTCCAAAGCCAGGATGCTCGCGGGGCGACTACGTCGGGGTCGGGTTGCTGTTCTCAGCAGGCTTGGACAGCGAGCAGGCTCCGGCGCAGACCGTCGCAGCCCCCTGGCTGGCCTGGTGCTCTCGGATCAACTTGCTGACGTACTCGGTGGCGGCGGGGGTGAGGCCCAGGCTGGCCACCTCCTCCTCGAACTGCGCCGCGCCGCCCGCGCCCACGACGTAGCCGTTGAGGCGCGCGGCCACGTGCGAGGACTGCAGGGACTGCAGGGACACGGCCTTCTTGGCGGTGGCCGTGGCGGGGTCCGCGCTGCTGGGGCCCGTCAGACCCACCGCCTCCATCAGCCACGGATGCTGCTGCAGCCGGTACTTCTGGTTCTTGCTGGAGCGGAAACGAATGTAAGTCACACGGTGATATGCGATGTCGGCACTGGCACACCAGCGCACACCCACCTCTCCGCGTCGTAGAACACCGCGGCCGGCAGCACCTTGGTGCGGACTGTGCCCTGCACCCTCTGGCACCGCTGCTCCGCCACGCTGCGCTCCGCCAGTTCGCGCTGGGCAGCGTTGTGGTACAGGATGGCAGACGCGTACTGAAGCAAGGCGATTGCTGAGACTCCATTTCAATGAGCGCGACGACCACACGGACAGACCCTGACTCACCTCCGTGGGCACGTCCAGCGTGGGGTCGTGGTGCAGCCAAAACACGTCCAGGAGCTGTCGATAAGAGATGACCGAGGGGTCGAAGTCCATTTCAATAGCTTCATGGCACTCGTCCCTGAAAGAGTGCCACACCAAGCAGGACGTTAGCGGGGGAAGGACTGTAGCGCCTGCTAGGTAGGCCACCAACCCGTCGCGGCCCACAGAGCGGGCGGCCAGTCTGGTTGACCACGGGCAATCCCATCCCATCCCAAATCGTTTTGGTACGTGCGACTTACTTCAAGGAGGCCGCCTCCGGGCCGGCGTGCCCCACCCTGGTGCGGATGACCCCGGCGAGGACGCCGAAGGTGCACTCGGGGGCCCAGTAGCAGCCCATGCAGAAGGTGGCCTTCTCGGTGGGGACGGCCACGTCGTGGAGCGGCGTCATGGCGGCAGCCAGCCAATCTGCGAGCAGCCCAGCAGTCGGGGAGTTAACCGTCTCGGCCCGCGACCGATCTCGGAGTGGCTAGCGTCGTCCACTCCAGCCAGCCCAGGCCTTGGATCGCGTGTGGTCCGACTGGGCGGCAGTGCCCACAGGGCTGGGTGGGCTGGGGATGCCCAGTCGCCCCCTCCTCCTCCACCATGGTCGCGTACGTCAACATGACCCGACTCCTCTGATGAATGGGCGACCAGGCCAGACAAGCCGCTTCCTAGTGGTGTTACGCGGCGGGGTGCCGGTGCCTCCGGTGCCTCGCAGCCCCAACGGTGAGGGCCGCGGATCCACACTCGAAAAACGGACGGGCCGTGTCGCACTCTTTGCCCACTCGCAGGCGGACTGCGCGATAAATTGCCTACCCATCAGGCGCGTTATGAGGGGCAGGGCGAAAGGGGGAGGGGTCATGACCCCCGCCCCCCGACGCGCCTGCGGTGAGGGTCGAGTCGAGAGCCTCGACAAACAAGTCCAATGTTTACTCGGGAACCTGCCTGACAGGTGCTGGCAGCTTGTCATCTTGAGAAGTCTTCAAACTCCCAGAAAGACGCTGACTCTGCATGGACTGGTTGCGCTACTGGGTGGTACCACCCAATTACAAAAGGAGTGTGATTGTCTTTAGTTCTGTCTAAGCGGTCTGTCTTCAGACCTTTTGCTAAGTTGTTTTGGTAAAGAGGGTAAATAAAAGGATAGGAAAATGGAATAAAAAAGCAGAGGCACAATTTTTTAAACCTGTACTTAAGTAATAAGGCACACATCAAAACGAAATAAACATGATCAAATCAGAGAAACAAGTAAACAATTAATGAACTGGACGATTGAGTTAACATTGAGGTAAAATGGAAACAAGACAACAATTAAAAAACATATTAAAAATAGTTTTAGAACTTAAATCCTTTTTTTTGGTAACTTTACTTGAACTTAGTTTTTTTTACATAAGCACTAAATATTGCCATAAAACTGCTAGCAATTAAATGCAAATGTAAACAGCACATTTCAACTGCAGTTTTTTTCTCTTTTTCCCAGCAGAAACTTACATTGATCAATGTTGTTGATAAGACAAGATTTACTAGTGAAATCAAAAGCTTAAAAATGGTGGGCAAGTATTGCGATGATTATTGTCACTCAGTGAAAGAAAATAAGTTCATTTTTTTTTCAAACAAGATTTACTTAAACCCATGCTCTTCAAGTCTAACAGAACGGACCAGCATTTTCGTACTTAATACAAAGTTTGCGGACAAAATCAGCCACTTCATCGCTGAGCCCAAGTCTTGCAACATCTCTTTCAAACTGGGCAACACCTCCTCGGCCGATCACATATCCATTGAGACGTGCTGCAACATGTGATGTCTTCAGTTTGGGCCCGCACTTCATCCCAATAGCCTTCATGAGCCAATCGTGCTGTTGCAGACGGTACTTCTGGTGGTAGCTATAACATAGACAAAATGTCACAAAAACAGTTATTTGGAGAAAATTATTGGAGAAAAGGGTGAGAAAGATAAGTTAAAATAACAGGAACTGTCACTTACTCTTCAGCATCCCAGAAAGTTCCTGCTGGTAGAATTTGTGTAACAATGGGAGATTTTTGTTTTCCTTCTTGCTCTTTTAGGGTCTGCTCTGCCAGTTTTTTCTGGTCATCATCATGGAAGAATATAAGGGAAGTGTACTGTAAAATTGATGTTTAAAAAAATTATTATTAAATTGTTTGACACCATCATCACCGTCACCATCACATTAATAATCTTCAAATACAATCAAAACTTTCATCACCTCACCTGCTTAGTTGTTCGTGCTGTGGGGTCGTGATTGTTCCAGAAAATATCCAATAGCTTATCATATGTGATAGCTGTTGGATCAAAATCAACATCGATCGATTCTGTGTGGTCACCTCTGTAAACAATAAACCCTGATAAATTACAAAACGAAAAGACAAAAGGAAAAATTGAAGCTATATCGCAACCTCAACTTACAAGCTGCGGTAAGTCGGGCCCTCCTTAGTGCCTCCAGCATAACCCACTCGGGTGCGAATCACACCAGGAGTGGCTCCAAACAATGCATCTGGTGCCCAAAAGCATGCCATGGCAAACGTTGCCTTCTTCGTTGGTACATCCACATCATGCAGCAGCGACATGGCCTGCGTGACCAAGGTACTCTATCATCAAATGTAACTTCAAAACTATGACAACTATTCTTTTTTCTACACAAGGGCAACCATTCGGGGAAGTCCACGCAACAAAGTCAATACGAGCAATGATTCAGTAAGAAAGACACCAATATGTCTTGTCCAGCACAACGTAAATTAATTAATGTCCAAGTGCTATCGCACCACTTACACTGTCACAAGATCTACCACGGGCGCCCAAGTTAATACCGATACGGGAAAGGCCGTTGGAAAGAGCGTTGAACATGCTCGTGTGGAGTCAATGACGCCAGTCTACAGACAAGTGAAGCAACACAACGAGACGCGTCTTATATAATTGTTTTTCTTTTCACAACACCACCGCTTTCACCAGTGTACCAGCAGACAGCATAAATTTGAGCGGGGCTCATGAATGGACACACGAGCAGGGCACCAAGCACGCGGCACCTCGTGTCAAAGAATTAAGCAAAAGGTCTTCAGCTGCAGCCTTGACTCACCGAGCCTAATCTTTGGAAGTTTCAGATTCCGAAAGTCACAATGACAGCAGACAGAACTCTTAACCCTTTGAGACCTATTAACCCCCACCACCCCGACCGACCCCTTGCCCCTCCCACTTCCCCTCTCCCTTCTCCGCACATGAGAAATTGAGAAACCAACGATTGCTGAATTTTGCATCCTCCGCTTTCATGCGGCAAGCAACAGACGTAAGACGTAACCTCATTTTAACGTTTACAATTCTTTAGACTTCAGAAACTACGACACTCAATGACATCTCGGTAGAATTCATAGAATCGCTGTGTTAACTCGTTTGAAAGGTATGATTAGATACGTTACTCCATAAGTGCCTATAGTTCGATTTCCTGCTGGCAGTTCCGTTCGGCTTGCTGTGACTGCTACTACTACTGCTGGGTGAGCGCTTGTAAGCACAAGGTGAGCGTTTGCCCACATTTGTATATTCCAAGATGGTCTTTAAATCCCACAATGAACTCGTTTAAGTGTACGTTCATCCAGCAACTTTAGTAACAGTCCTTTTTTCCTGCGCTATGCAAGATTGTGTGTGTTGAGGTTGTGTTGCTGTTTACATGTTCCATGTTCCTCCCATTTTCAGCCGACTTTCAGACACGTTTGTTTGAAGCCATACATCATGAATTTTGAGTAAAATCTGATGTTATAATCGAAGTAGCCACATGGGTGTTGCAGCCGATAGTCAACCAAAGTCTAAAAGAAAAAGAAGAAAGTTGTTTGTAGAAGATCGGTCCTTCTTTGGAGGTAGGTCTTTTGTATTTTATTTCCTGTCTTTTGTATCAACACAATTAGTACATTTTTCTTCTTTATTCTGTTATCCTGTTATCAGATGAATCTTTAACATACCCTGAAGTGGATCCAAGGACAGTTGATGGAGATATTCTCAAATTGAAAGTTCCGTCAAAGTCTCAATCAAGACGTACAAGAAAATACAATCATGTGAGTAGCTGAAATACTCAATATATATTTATTTGAGTTGATGGATATAGTGAGTATTGTGTCCTCTATGTGTTTAGGGCAATTCACAACATTCCAAAAAAGTTATCACTGTCCATCATGATGTGCCTCTGCCTTCTGTAGACACTGAAGAAGCCAAAATGGACAGGGTCAAAAGAAAAAGACAAAGCCCCCCGGATTCTGAGGGTCCTGCATCGAAGAAATATAAAACTGGAAGCCTGGATGCTGATGCTCATGTTGATCACTGTGTACAACTCGATGAGTACTCTCCCATTGTTGACGTTGGTCATACCTCAGATCTTAGTGAACCTAGCAACATACCTGGGCATCATGAAGAATGGAACTTTTCTTCTCTAGATAACTCTGTGCTTAAAGGTAATTCTTGTTCACTTAGAAATAACTCAACTGAAACTCAGTCTGCAAAGAAGGATTTTATTAATCGATTCCTCAGTGATGCTGTATCTACTTTGGGAATGTCAGAGAAATGCTTGGAAAGCAGTAGTGATGAATTTAGTTCTAATGACATAACTGAAGCTGCTGATTTGATCTCTTCTCACAATAGAAATCAGTCAAGGAAGAAAAGAACTTCATGTAGAAGTTCTAGAAAATGTAACAACAAATCTGGATCATCTAAACTTTCTGAACTCTCTGACCTCTCTGGACCTTTTGAACCTTCTGACTTGAAGAGCGATAAGTGTTCTAAAAAAAGAAATGAATTTTCAGAGAAAAGCCCTTTAAGCTCTAGCCAGCTGTTATTATTAAAGCAGATTTTGCCAAGTAACAATGGTCTATCAACTGCCAACCAAAAAAAAAGATGTAGTAGTCCAGTCAATGCTACGCATTCAGACACTGATGAAAGTTTGCAGATTATAGATCATATTGAACCACCTACTGCCACCTTAATAAATAAAAAGAGTAAAAAGAAAAAGAGGGTCAAAGAAAGAAAAAGTCAAAAGACTAAAGAGAAAAAAAATAAAAGAAAAAAGAAAAAAAATGAAAGGGACCAGGAGAAGTTGTCTAAGAAAACTATCAAGTTGCAGAAGAGCACTGATGAACTCCTGAACAGTGGAATTGAGCAGGATTCCATGGATAAGCATGAGCAAATTGTGGTTGAAAATGAGAAAGGGAGGCAACTCAATCAGGTGAAGGAGGAAAGGAAAACGGACAATAAGAGGAAAACTAGTTTGAAAAGTGATGCTATGTGTGCATCAGATGATTTGCCAACATGCACAAGCTCAAAGTCACTTAATAAAATTGGAAGTTTAAAGAAGGTCCACAGCAAGAAAAAAAAGGTAAGTGTTGAAATGCAATTAACAAATGAAGAGATTTTGCACCTTCCATCTGGAAGGCATCCAGAAAAAAACTTCTCTAGTCCCAAGTGCCAATTAGGAGATAAAAGATTGAGTTCAGTTGAAAAGAAGAAAACCAAAGATGGGAACGTCCCTTTGGATTCTGAACAAAATTGCAGTGACAGCGACCACCTTAATGAAACTGATGACTACCGTTGCACGTCTGATGATACGAATGAGTATATTGATGTTACTACCCTTGAAGATTCTACAGTGAATCATGAAAATTCATTGAATGAACTCAAGAAAAATTTCAACAGGGTAGACCGGAAGATGAAGAAAACGAGTCAAACAATGGAGGATTGCAAAGTAGCTTGCAGTGAAACCCTGCAACAATTAGTCGAGAAAGCCTCATCTTCCCTGAAGAATTGTGAAAACTTGAGTACTAATGAATACTCTCCTGATTTGTTTGATGGTACTGTAGAAGACTCAAACAGCTTAGAAAGAAAACAAGAAAAGAGAGCACAGCCTGAATCAGCCCTGGAAGAAATATGCAATAATGATAACAGCTCATTGCATACGCATAAGGAAGATGATGCTTCAGTACTTGAGGGTCATTCAGAAAATGTACCTGCACTGAATGAACAGCAGATAGGTTTAAATACTGGAGAAGGCAAGATCCAAAGGAATAAGAAAAAGAAAGAAGTTTCTGACCTTGATAACTGTGAGACATTGCAAGAATTGGTCGAGAAAGCCTCTTGTTCCTTAAGGAATTGCGAAAGTTCAATTACCGATGACTGCTCCCCTGATATGTTTGAAGCTAATTCAGAAGCTACTAGTAACGCCATTCTCATTAAGAAAAAAATACGGAAGAATCCAACACATGAATCAGATCCAGAAGAATCCTCCCTTTCTCACACTGTCTCATCAAATAAGCAAGACAAGCTATCAGGAGAGAAAAAACATCAAGCTAAAAAAACTTCATGGTTGGAAAATGTATCACCTGATAGCTCACCAGGAGTAATTGATTTTTGTTCTCCATGGCACAGGTTAGTATGCTGCCTAAGGGCTCGTCCTTTTATTTTCTGATGCTTTTCCCTTTAATTTATTTCTTCATTCATTGCTGGAGTAACATTTCTATTACCTATTCCTGATGCAGACTGACTCAAGATTCTAATGGTTCTTTTACTGCTCATAGTGGGGAAATTTCCCAAGTTTCTCTTCAAGGTATCTCTATTTACCTGTGTCTCTTTTCAATTTTTTATTATCAGTTATTATACTGGTTTTCTGGTGCTTCCCTATAAACAGAGAGCCATATCGATGAACACGTTCTTAAACCACATAGTTCTAATGACCATGTAGAGATGAACAAAAGCCGTCGGAGTCAAAGACTGAATACAAGTCGTGTGGTTGAAACAAATGAATCTTCTTTGGACGAAACATTGACTTCAGCTGCTGCATTAAGCCTGCATCTCAACAAACCTAGTGTGTATGTTGATAAGATTCTTACTAGTCCACTACAGTCATATTATTATAAGGTTTAATAATAATATTAATTTGGCTTAATTTTCAGCCTCCTCCCACAAAATAGTAAGTTTGATGAATCTGTCAAACAAAGGGAGTTAAAAAGGGGGAAAATCTTAGATAAGATTCCTGTTTGATCAGGTCTTTGGTCCTGATTTCTCCCTTTCTTCATAGTTCCCCTGGTCTTGCCTACCATGTCCATGTTCAATTTCCTCTCGTGGCTCTATCTTTCATCATTATTCTCCTGCTCTTTACAGGCGAACTGGCACTTAACAGTGAGGCCATTAAAAAGCATGTATCAAAGGAAGGCTCCTGTTTAAAGAACAAGTTAAATATAAAGTTAGCAAAATCGAGAAACTCTCAAAATAAATCTGAACCTGTAGAGAAGTCACGAAGTCCTCTCACTCGAAGCAAGAGCACTGCAAGAGCAATGCAAAGTAATAAAAAGAATGCTGAAAAAATGGTTAAATCCAAGGGAAAAGAGTAAGTATTTAATATATTCAGTATTGAATTGTCAATTCCTTTCCTGCCTAAAAGTGAATCCTGTCTTTCTTGCAGTGTTGTTAAGCAATGGAAAATGAAATGCACTCGATGTCGCTCTTGGTTTGACACTGAATGGTCGATGGCACTGCACAAGTGCGTTAGCGGCAGCAAACGGAGAACTATAGAAGAGCCCCACAGAACGAATTATGCTCATCATAAATGTAACAAGTGTGGAAAGGCCTATATCAAGAAAGGAGCCTTGCATGAGCATGTAAAGTTAGTTCATAAGGGTCTCCGCGCACACAAATGTGATGAATGTCCAATGTCCTTTGGTGTGAAGCAGACATTAATTGTTCACAAGCGTCTTCACACAAATTCCTTACCATATGAATGTCGTATTTGTTCAAAGCAAACAAGAACTAAGTCTAATTTGAATAGACATTATACTCAAGAACATCGTCTGACTCCAAGCTTCCCCTGCAGTCTTTGTCCACATAAAAATATTCGCTGTTTCTTTGAGGAGGACCTTAAAGAACATTTGGGAAACTATCACTCCAAATCTATCATCTCCACTATAAAAACACTTTAAGTTTGTCAAGACTTGATAAAGTGCTTAAGTCTAGAAGGTTTTTAATAATAAGGTTTTAATCAATTATGCTTTTATGTTATAACTTAGTGTAATTTTATTTTCTGTTGAATACAAGATTTAAGGAGTGCTTCATGGTATAGAAAACTGATGTGTTTGGCCTGGCTTTTGTTTTAAGCTGCAACTCCCAGATCTCTGGTATTAAATGTTAATCATTTTCTACATGCTCACTGTCAGGTAACAAACACAGAAATACACGCAATGATCGAAGCATCTATTTTGTACTAAATTAATTTCACCCCTGTAACATGATGAATTTCTACAAAAAAAAAAATCACTTCAAATTAGACAGCAAAGTCACAATAATTGAATACAAATAGAAAAGAATTAGAATAGTAGTACTTCATTGGAAAAGTTACACATTTTTGGCACAAATAAGCATAATCAGGTCAGGTAGATCATAACATAATGACATTTGAAAGCAAAGAGTGGAGGATCATACTCCACTGCAAATAAATAAAATAAAGAGGCAAACCATGAAAATGTTATGAACAGGTGAAACATGCTTGTAAAAATGGGTTCACATGCAAACTTGGCACTTAGGAGGAAGCCAGTTCTTAAGTTTTTACGTGACTAGACAATTCTATATTTTTTTTGTGTGGTATATTTCTCTACCCATTGCTAACAGTTGCCACAAAGTACTATTAAGAGATCAAGACCAAATTGATTACCACAAGACTGAGTGAGACTTTAGGCTTAAGTAAGCGTGTTTCTAGGAGCAAAACTTTGTACTTTTGGAAAAACAAATTAAGACATCAGAAAAATTTCTACTGAAAATAAAATAATGATACAGTTCGTAAAGAGAACCAGACTTTGTATCAACATTGAATTATCACCGCATCAATGGTGATTTGGTGTTGATTCCAAACCTGCTTCTTTCTAGGTAGAAAGCAACAAAGTTATTTCAATACAAATCACAGCCATATTTAAAAGTTCAATATTAAACATTAAAATAATATCTTATGGAACGAGGCTAAACAGACAAGAAATTATTAACAACAACAAACTACTAAATGAACACATTTCAAAAAGACTAGACAAATATGAGAAGAACTGCCCCTGGGAAAAAAAAGCAAGTGGTGTGACCTAATGGCAAGTTGCAAAGTAGTTAATAAATAGCTAATAAATAAGTGACATAAGGTGGGCAAATTTCTACAACTCTGCCAAGTCCTTGCAACTATTTACTGCCACCTATGTCACACCTCCCCACCATCTTTTCTCCCCAGGGGCAAGCGTATTAACAACATAAGAGGGTAGACAAGAGAGACACATCTCTTTAAAGTGGAATTTTAGCAGGCTAAACTTATCAGTAATAAGGAGGGTAAGTGTGGTAGTGCGCTGGGCCTGGGCTGGGAGGAGCATTGGGGCTATTAGATGAAGAACTAACATGAGAACGTTGGAGAGGTGAACTCTGGTATGGAGTGGGATGAGGTGAATAGGTTGAGACACAATGAGGTGAATCGTATGGGTGAGGAAGAGTTGTACTGTACCCTGGAGGTGAAGGAGTAAGTTCATGGCCATCATGAGCATGACTACGTGGCACAGAGAGATCAACACTGCCACCCAAATCCTCATAAGAATTGTACTCCTGAGAAACACTTCGATTGTTCACAGTAAGATCAGTGACGGAAATATCAGAACGTTGACGATCAGGTGAGAGATCATACAAATGGTACTGCGGAGATGACACTACCATAGCTCCTGAGAAACTGAGATCATTTTGATGCGGAACAGAAACATGGTCTTGATATATGGAAGGACGAACTGCTAGCTCGGAATGTTGACTGGGCGCACTGTAGATTGTTGAAGAGTCTGGATGAGAACCACTTTTGTCTTTCATATTCAGGCTCAGGTTTTGAGCACATTCACTTCTTGAGTTGCAATCTGAGTCAACCCCTCCATCTTCATCACTCGAAAGTGGCCGCTAAAAACAAGAATTTATTTTAATCTTACAACTTAGGTTTGGTTACAAATAATAACCACACTGAGGTAAGAAAAGTCCACAACCAGAAAAGTCGTTTGTTCTACCTGAGGAAGAGGAAGATGATGTAGTTGGTGACTATCATGAGCACTATACAGCCTAGGCGGACCCATGTATGTATCCAACTGATGAAGATGAGGATGTGAACTTGAAGAATGGGTCATTAAATAGGCTGGGGCTGAAGAGGGGTCTGGAGTATAGTAGGTCAAATTTGGGGGTTCTTCATGCTGGGGTGAGCGCACACAATAAGTATTGTGAGGCAGAAGGATTGGTTCTGGAGAACGAGTCAGGCCATCTGGTGAGGACTTTGTAGAAAGAGACGTACAACATATATCTCTTTCGGCTGCAACCAAAGCAGCTTCCACCAACAGGCTAGCAGACTCTGGATGATGAAATGGTGCTAATGCAGAGGCTGTTTTACTACGTCCTAAACCTGTGTCAATTTGAATATCCTGAACATAAAAAAAAGAAATTTCATTGTAAGAGTCTTAATAATAATAATAATAATATGCAAGTTTGCAAATAATTATTTAAAAAAGGACGCACCTGTCTCACAGAAGTTTCCATGTACTGCAATTTACTTTTAACTTTGTTATCATCAAAGTCATAAAGATCTCGTTTTACATGAGGAGAGAGCCGTGGTGATAACCGCATGGCAGCAGCAGCTGCTTCTTCAGCTACCTCTATCACTTCTCCCAACCACTTCTTGTGACCTTTATTTTCCAAACGAAATTGACTAATTGATTGCAGGTCTTGACTGGGTGAAGTACCGATCTCATGTTGAGGAGAATGACTCTGGGAACGGCTGGGCATGACTGAAGCAACATGGTGGCCATGATAGTCCTCATCCGCATGTGGGTGCACTTGTATAGTGACATTTCTCAATGGAGTAAGCACCCTGCCGCTGGCGCTTTGCCTTTCATCGGAACCTTGAAGAAAGGGTATATTAATGAACAAAATTAACAGCAACCACTTCATTCAAAAAAAATTTTTGAATTCAGGAAGACGTACCATGAGATAATGGATCAGCTGAGGAAAGAGGGTTTCCATGAGGTACATGATCAATATATTTTTGTGACACTGAAAGGTCTGAAATTGGGACAGGATCGACTGTACTCATGAATGAGGTACGCTCCATTAAATGATCAACCTGCAAGGAAAATAATGTTCAGTTATTAAAACGTATGATATTTAGATAAGATATATAGATAGAATTATCAAACAATACCTGAAGAGGTTCGGCACACTCAGCTGAATCCTGTTCTGCAGTTTTATGTGGACTCTCAGATGTCTCCAACTGATTTTCGGAATGTTCTGGTTGCACCTCTGTAGTGCAATGTTTTTGTGACTTAGCACTAGACTTACGGCCTTTCCGTAAAGTTCTTTGGGGTTTTTTGGCATCTTCTTTAACAGGTTTTCCACTTCCATCAGCACCTTCACCAGCATATGCATCAAACGTGTACGCAATTGAACGCTCAATCCGAGGTAAAGCATCTTCAGATAGACCATGAGCTTTCTTGTAGTGAAACTGCAAGCACTGTTTGGTAGTGAAAGCAGCTGAGCAGCCATCTTGTTGACACCTGTTCCAATTAAAAAATAAGAGGTAAAAATTGACATACAGATGCATTAAAGAAAGATGGGACATTGCTAACCAACATTTCTTTTTACCTGAACGGCTTGACGCCAGAATGAGTAAGCATATGTATTTTAAGATTGCTTCGATTCTGAAATGATTTTCCACAGCGATCACAGTTTGATGTAACCACAACATCTCTGTGGTGAACTTCTTTGAAATGCCTTTGAAGGGCGGCTCTTGATCCCAAAAGTTTCAAGCAGCTTTTGCATTGGAATTCACGTAAAACTTCATTCATATCACTGTGCATGCGTTTGATATGCACCTTCAATTTTTGAGGTTGACAAAAATAACGGCCGCAAAAGTCGCACAAAGGACGTGTCCGATGTGGATTGGATGAGCACCCATAAGTCCTATGCATCTCCAAATAGTTCAGCCTTAAGAAGAACTGTAACACATAATTGAGGGTTTTCAATATTTTCTTCAAATTATTAAGGAACAAGTAGGAGGTTGTAGAACATCACCACTTGTACCTCTGCACAGTACACCTCACCTTATGACAATATTGACATTGGTAGGCCCCACGACCCTCATGAAGATCGGCTGCATGTTTCATGATGTTCTCTTTCCCCATCACTGCTTCCCCACATATCTTACAGTGATACTTTCTGATAGTTAAGCTGTGAAGTGGATCATGGAAAACAGCGCAGTGAGTTCTATAGTAAAGAGGATGTGCAAATCGCATATTGCAGCCTCCACAACCTGTAATACAGAAGTAACATTATGTGGGCCACAAATTTTACCCCCAAAAATATTTCTTTAAATATTATTACATACTTGATTTTAAAATTTTCTTCTTAGACCATGATGTTATATGGTCATCAGCCCAATACAGTAGTTCACTTCCAATAGAAATATCAACAATCGAAACAAAGAAAAGTTTCTTATTCCGCACTACAAGCGTAATATTACGGCTTTCTTTTTCAGGTGCTGGTCTCATGAACTTTAACCAATTTGACTTTTGTGAATCCTCTGTATTCAGATAAATAGCAGTTTTGTCCTCCAGCACCTACAATACAATTTGAAAGTTATTCAATTTGTCATGCTTATAACAGTTACGATAATAAGAAGTTCCATAATGAACAGTACAAACCTCCCATATATGTCTCATGTCTGATTCGTCAGATATTTCCTTTTCATGAATTTGAGACCCAACAATCGGGCCGAACTGAGTGTACTGAGCTATGGCCGTTCTGGCCACAACACTTTTGCCATGTTCCTCATCAACAACCTTTAGCTCCAGCACTGCCGGCAATGATTCTTCAGCAAAGGACCGAGTAGACTCATTGATGACTTTGGCAGACACAGGCCCCCTAGAATTTAGAGAATTATAAGCAAAATTCTGGAAGGAACAAATAACATGAACTAGCTTCTAGCAAATTTAATGCTTACTTGGTCTTTTCATCTTCGTCTTGGGATCCTGGAGCAGATTTTTTGATTCGGCTCAGTTTGGGACGAGGAGCTTCAATAACAGAACAACGTACTTGCACTTGGCATTGCAGTTGCCACTGTTCAAAGGTTATCAAATCTTCAACAACCTGCATTTGACCCACATTTTAAAATATAGAAGTAACTCAAAAGTTAAGTCTTAAGAGAAGCTATTAAGTTTTAGGATGATTATACTCACATGGATTGGATGAAGTACAGGGCAAATTTGTTGAGAATGTCTCAAATAGCATTGAGAGCATTGTTTAATTTGAGACACATCAAGATCGTTTTCATTGCTGTCACATTCTTGCGGAATAGTTCGTGACACACCACTACAAGTCTCCTTTTTTAAGTTTTCTTCCTCAGTTAATTCAGGCTCTCTTACAGTTTCCACTCCTGTGGTTTTACAATTATTGCCTTCTTCATTTGTTATATTGGATGAACTGAAAGGTGAATCGGGGACTGATTTCTTGTTTTTAGAATCCATCTCATTATCATCTAGGTCGTAATTTATCAGGGATTTTCTGTAAAATTTAAAGGTTATTATAGAGGTAAATTTCAAGGAGTGAACACTTAGATGACTAAAAATCCAAACACCTACTTCCAATTTCTCCTTTGTTTACGATGATGCCTTTCCAAGTCAGTTGTATTCCAATCTCCTATACTGGTAGCGTCATCTTCCTTAACAGGGGAAGTCGTTGAAGATGGGTCACTTGAATCTTGAAGAAGTTTCCTTCTTCTTCTTTTTAACTTGACTCTTTCACCAACTTCAATAAAAACAGGTTCACTAGAGGGTGAAGTTTTACTTTGATTTTCTTTACCACTGGAAACAACTTCTTTTTGTGCATCATTTATATCCTCTTTTTCTTTCACTGAGTCACCTCTCTCAACAATGTCTTCAACTACCTTCCTACTGCTGGGTTCAGCAATTACTTTGTCGAGCTTATCCTCTTGTTCATTGCTTGAGACTTCCCCATCATCTCTCTTGGAAGAACTTGTATCTTTAGAACAGGTATCAGATATTTTATTTTGAGAATCCAAGTAGGCAGTCAAAATGCGATTTTTCTTAAAAGCTTTAAATATTTTTCTCTCATTTTCTGTATTGTGGTGAGAAGATTCTGCAGTTTTTTGCTTAACTTCAGGATGCTGTTCTTCTTTAGGTAAAATAGCAGCATATGACTGTTTCCATTTTCTTTTATCTTTATGATATGATTTCCATCGGCGATGGCTGACTTTTTGAGTGTTACTACTATTTTCAGCAGAGGAAGACCTGTGTACCAATCCACTTTCTGACTGAGAATCATCTTTGAATTCATACAGCTCAATTTCATTTTGTTTCTGTGGTTGCAGTGCCACAGTCTCAACAAGAAGGGCAAGTTCTTCATTCAGTTGATTAGCTTTGGCTACTTTATCTTCATGAGTGTTGGATTGATTAACTGCTTCTGACTGGGAATCAAATCGTTTCTTGCATAAGAGAGCACTGTATTCTTTATACTTTGACGGTCTTGAATCATTTTCAATTATTTTCTTATTTTCCTCAGAAAGTGTCACAGAGTGGCAACTTTCATCAGAATGGTACTCTTCACTCTCAATTAACTCAGCATTAAAATCAGATTTTGAAACTTGTTTACGAGAACTACGACGAAGAACAGCTTTCAAAGATGGACCCCGTTTCTTCCTTCCACTGCGACTAGATGAGCCCCATCCGCCATCCAACTCCTGATCAGATGTACTGAAAAGTAGACATAAAACTTATTATTTCATAATTATTTAAGCAGATCGACAACGAGGGGATGGAGAAGAGAAGCATGGAATTCACAACCATTTCCCCACCCATCAAGACATGTTTGTAAACAAGAGCTTTTCTGCTAGTATTCACCTCGGTTGTGGCTGCGCTTCGCCTAGCGTAAGAAGATAGTCGACCAGCTCTGAATCTGACTTGAAGGAAAATTTGTCTCTTAGGCTCGACCACCGCTCAGCACATGACGCACTCAAGAAAATGGGATTGGGTCCTGTTTTCTTGTCGGTTTCCCGTCTCAATAAGTTTGTTTTCCAGGGACGTCGGAGCCCCGCGGAAAACTTGACCGACTTCCGTGTCATTACGGCATGTCCAAGCGCACCGAGAACACCACCAGGACGGCCGAAGCGCGTTTACAACGTGTCCGTAAGCAAGAGTAAAGAAAACAGTTTCGTACACACTGTAAACGCTGTCATTATCGATCGATGGCTCGTACAAACAGCGGCTCGGTTCGCAAGGACAGGACAGATAGCAGACGACTCAAAACAAAAGCCGAACGTTGTGTGTTTGTTTTTTACAAGACGGCAGTCTAGCGACGAAAACCAAAAGTTGTAGTCTTGTGATCACATTAGACGGGCGAGGGGGAAGACGAGGCAGTGATATTAGATTTGAATTGAATGAAGCTTCATCACCGATGCTACTTGGGGAATTTTCTGCTTGGGAGCTAGTAGAGAACCTTATTTTTGTGCAAAGGCTCGCAGCTGCCTGTCTGCAGGGCGGGATGCCCCGCCCGCGCTTGAATGGTGCCAAGGGGCGAGCTCAAGAAAAGGGCTCAAAATTTTTATTGAACGAGTGAAAAAATGATGGAAACAGACCGGGAGGAAAGGGGGGGGGGCTGAATAATTCACAAATGTTAAAAACATATTGAGCCATTTAATTATGTAGAGATCACATTCAGTTTTAATCACATGAAGTACAATATTGACAATTCTGATATTTGCACTATTCAAACATGCATGCCAGCAATCAGATGGAACATTCTCCAAACATTAACTAGAATTACAGAATAACAACTCAATTTTCTTGATGATTCAAAGAAAAATCAAAGGAACAGAGGCGAATACCCTCACATCCTTGGTAAACTTTTACAAAACAAAAAGTAAATGATTTTTAAGATTGACATACAATTAACATAAAATTAATTTGACAAACAACTAGTCCGCCAGTTGGGACTTGGAATATTTCACCGCAACATTCTGCCACCAAGGTACAGGTCGAACACCACTATTTAAAACGGAAGTTAAATACTGAAGGAGGCGAGATGAGAATCCCCTTGATGGACCATATTTGGGGTTCCAGGATGCTAGAGCAATTGCTACATTCTCAACGTTATGACGAGAGAGGAGGACCAGTCCAAGGGCTACCACTTCCTGCATTTGAGGTGTCACTAAAACAAAATATATGAAATATGTTAGTTTAAAATGAGCAAAAAGCAGGGTTGGAAAATAGGGTTACACTAAAACGATTATTGATTCATTCAACTTACAAGTTGTATCTGGCTTTAAGAGTTCACTAATTAACAGCTTCATAAGATTATCAGAAGTATTACCATTCCGCTCGGGTGGTATTGCTCTTAATATTGAACCTGAAAAGTACATAATGAGAGCAAGGTTTTGAGATTAAAAACAGTAATATACCAATAAATATTAAAAAATTAACAGTTAAACTAAGAAACTTACTCAAAATCCAGATAACTCGTTCACCAGCCAAATCGTTAAGAGATTTTTTACACCATTTATCTAGAGCTGGCAGCAGCCTCATGCTTACAATATCTCTCATTGTCCAATTTTCTTCTTCACGTTTAGCAAGCAAAACTAACGCCGCGACGTTGGTGTCAGCAGCACCACCTGTCAAAAATAAAAATAAAAACAGAATGTAACATTTGCACTAATCTGGATGAAGTCATATATACCAGGAGTATAATAAGTCAAAACAATACTAACTGATTAAGTTGGAAAAAATTGTTGATGCTAGAGTTGAGGAGTTAATACTCAGCGACTGCATTGCACTAGACCTCAGCAGCCTCTTTAGCCAACTATTATCAAAGTGGCTTTGCTGAGCTCCGTTTTTATCCTCCACAAAACTACGCAGGAGATGTAAAAGCACTTGGGCGTTGGGACATGCTGAGGAGCAAAATAAACCAAATGATTACAGGATGGCATCATTTACTTTGAGACTTTCAATCCAATCAACTTAAAACGTAAACGAAGAAATCAAACTTACCTTTTTCAAATGAAGGATTAACAGGAAAGAGGTAAGGCCATACATCCATGACTGCTTTTACAACATAGTAAGACCGACCTCTTAGAGTATAAAGAGAGTCCCAACAAAAGATAAGGGCTTGGGTGCGAAGACGATGTATCCGACATATTGCTGCATGCAATTTTGAGCACCACACTAAGCGGTCCCCCTGCCACATACAAAACAGCATATCAGCAAACAACAGATAGCATACTGATACAAAGCACTGGTTTCCCATTTCACAAATTAACATACCTCAGGTGTTACTCCTAGCCTAAACACTCTGTACTCTAGAAGTCTTAGTAGTTGATGGGGCAGTTGCTGCAGATGTTGATGTTGACTAGAGAGTTGTACAATAAGTGTCACTAGTTGCTGTTGCACTGGGGTGAGTGGGGGAACGTAAGATTGCTGGTTCCCAAGACGCAGTGGGGCAGTATCAAAGTCATCATCCATCATTTTTACAATACTCCTGAAGAAATAATATTCATGAAGATGAAAAATTAACAGATACTTCCAATAAATTTGCATGTAAACAAAAGTAATACAGTCAAAATTAAAAAAGAGCATCAAAACTTACTGCACTATGACGGGCATGATGTTATACAAATTGGGAGCTGAAAGTGCATCTACGGCTTTTTGTAACACAGTAGAAGTGAAAGATGGTGCAGCAATGAAGTCCTTGAGAGTTGTAGCCACCAAAACTTGAGTATGTATTAATTCTGAAATTAAAATTTCCCATATTTGTTTTACAGTGTATCACGAAGAAATGGGTTCTGTACTTATCATAAAGGCTACCTCAATTTACCTTTTTTATTTGAAGTTTCTGGTCGAGAATTTTCTTGTTCACTAAGAGCATAGACCAAAGGACTATATGTAGATATTCTCAAATCAATGTCAGAAATAAAACATGATTCATAGGTTTCGGTTTTGAGATGCACTGATACTTCTGTGTCCTTCAGAGACTGCTCTAGTTTTAGCTTCGGAGCATTTAGAACAGCTAGGCCTTGACAATCTTCCTTACGAAGACCAGGGCTTTCAGAGGTTGAATCAGTGCTTGTGGAAGGAATGCGGTCCATTGACCTTTCAGTTGCATGGGAAGGAGTACTTCTTCCTAACGCACTCACACGATCTGCTGGGCGTACAAGTGGTTGAGTTCTAGCCACTCTGGGCAAAGGTTTAGTTGGCATGTAATCTAAAACAAATAGCACAAAATTTTTAAAACAATGAATCATTATTCACAAAATGGGCTAGCTTTCTGGCTAAGGAAACCAATCAATGGAAAAAAGAAACAGGAAGTAAACAAAATGAGATCAAAAGGCTGAGTTAAAAGAAAAGAACAGTGCTTTAAAATTTTAACATACCAGCAGAAGCGTTGGGTAGAGGTGGTCTTTGATGCCTCTTGGCGCCTGGCTTGACTTGAATGAGTTGTGCAGTGCGACCTGATGCAGCAGCAGCCATTCTGATGTTTCCTCTCCCTCTAATCCTTTCAATAATGGAGGCTTCATCTTCAAAACCTTCAACTAACTTAGGATTTTTTGTACTTTCTGATTTTGAACCATGAGGATGCTCCGTGGATTGAACTGACTCTTGAATGTGCTCTTTGGCTACTGCTGGACTTCTAGTGTTTTTTGTTCCTTGAACCATGGGATGCGCTTTGCTGACAGTTGATCTCAGTTTCTGCAGCTTGGATGGCTTTCGAGCAATGGAACTCTTATTAGTAGTGGTGGCTTTGGTATTTTTTGTTCCAGCATGTGGCTCTTCATCGCATTCCATATCAGTATCTGAGTCCTCCAGCCCATTTTCAGCAACTGCACTTGAATTGGAAACTTTTTGGACTATAGCTAATCTATTTTCAACAGAGGGTCTTGCAATTGAAGGGTGTTTGAGGCGTTTAGAAGATTCTTCCTCTATTGATTCATTTTCAGCACTCCTTTTAAGAGATTTATCACTCAGTCTAGTGTTCGACTTCACTCTTTGAACACTTTCAGGAACTGGTGATACGGAGTTGGACTTGGCTTGTTCATCCAAATTTTTCGCTGCAGGAGATTGGAATTTAAATGCAGATAATTTGGAGAGACTGTCACTTATTTTCAAATTTGGAGAGTTGTCAATTGGTTTGTTCTTCCCAGTTGATCTGCCACCTTCAGAAGATACAGACGTTTCTGCTCTCATAGAATATGAGTAGCCCTTTTGGTAACCTTGCAGAACTTCAGATTGACCATCATGAGCCATGCGAATCTTCTTCATTCTTGGAGATCTACGAAGAACAACTGAACTGTCATTCACGCCAGGGGAGTTCTCTGCAGTGCTGCTCTCACTGCTGCTAGATTGACGACGTTTCCTTAAAGACATCCGAAGAGGTTTAGGTAGAACAAAATGGTCAGTATCAGGAACAAGGCTTTCACCCTCATGGACAAGTTGCACAGAGGGCACTTCAGTGCTAGCATTACATTCTGATACTTCAGGCAAAACTGTTGTAGTACTAGGAATACTTTCATCAATAATAAGGGTATCGTCCGATGAATCACTCTCATCTAAGTTAGGTTCACTCTGAGACACAACATTTGTCCCATTTGGAGTGGCTGAGCCCAGTGGTCTTTTCTCAAATTCCGAGGAAGTTTCATCAATGGGGTTGAAATCTTCATCAGGGGCATCACTTAAAGCATCTTTTAGAGTACAGGAAGCCCTTGCATTTTTGTCTTCAGAGGAATTGCAACCATCGCCGACCTTGGGTCTATCATTATTCTTAGCGTGGATGGCTTCAGGAACAAAGGATTTTCTAGTCATTGGGTTCTTAGCAGAGATATGAGATTCGATAACATTCATCTGCTCAACACGTTTGCCTCTCACAACACCTTCTGGATGGGGCATAGATTTTTTGATCGAACATTCGGAAGATATGGCAGGTCTAACATTAAAAGACTCATCACTATCTGTTATGTCTACATTAGAACTATTATTTTCAGACAATTCTTTCATTGAGATGGAGTCTTCAAATAGGTCTGTTAGCTGCTTCTTCTTTGTCTTCTGACTAGAATCATCTTCTTCCAGGATCTCCTCTTTGAATGAAGGAGTGGATAGGCTTTTATGTCTGCGACTGCTGTGATTTAGCCTTTTCAGTTTTCTTCGTCTTTTTTTCTCCCGTGAGCACATGGTCTTCTCTACATTTTTACCTTTGGCTAATAAATGCAGATTATAATGCTGCTGATTACATATCTCTGCAAACTCGCAAGGATTAAAAGAGCAGTAGCTGGTATCAAACTGCTTTGAATGTACCGGTTTTCTCCTTGGAATAACATCAGTTTTTGATGTTTTGTTTAGAGCCATTTCTAAAGCTTTTCTTAATTCATCAACTAATGACTGGTCCAACACACCACTAGATGAAGCACCTGTACTTAATCCAAGAACTTCAAGAGTTTGTTGCAGCATTTTGGCTTCACGTGACCAAGACTCCTCTTCATTTTCAAAATCATTTGAAACACTAATGCCAGAATTAGATGTATTTGTAGCACAGTCCAACTTCTTAACTTGCATAGGACTGACAGAAACATCTCTAAAGAGAGATCTCGAAGGACTTGTGGCAATACTACTTTTTGTCGTCCTAACTGGACTTACAGCAACATTCCTAGTAAACTCTGCAATGGGCATCACACCAATGTTTTTGCACCTAATTTTCATTGGACTGGAAGCTCTATCGCAGGAAGATAATTTTGGGGGGCTAGAATAAGCATTTTTCAATATTCTCTCATGCTTGAAGCCTTTGTCAGGTGATAACGATGAATCTTGGACAAATAGGTGTGAAATGGGGCTTGAAGCTGTCGACCTTAAGTGTGTTATATCTGTGTTGGTGCCCACTGACGTAGTCACTAAGCACTTTATGGGCGAATTTTCAAGCAAATTATTGGATAAAATGCTTTCAAAGCCACAGGAATCGTCAGAAAAGGGTAGAATGGGTGTGGGAGGATTCCATTCATGTAACATGGAGTCCAAATCCAATTCATCTTCTTGAGACTGCAAAACAAAATTAAAAACCAATTTTAAAAATCATGGAACAAGTTATTAGTTGCAACAATTACAGAAATACACTCAACACAAAATCACATACCTTGGTGTCTTTAATACTGTTATCACTCAGGTCATGATGAATATTTGCAGAACAGCTTGGGTTATCAGATGGAGGTTGATATTTAAATGCAGACAATTTTGAGATAGCAGCACTAATTTCAGACTCCAAACAGTTATCACTTGGTTTCTTCTTCTTAGTTGATCTGCCATCTTTAGAAGGAATAAATGACTCTCCTTTCACAAAACTTGCATAGCCCTTTTTGTAATCTTGCAAAACTTTAGAGAGTCCATCATGGACTAAGCTAATAGAAGAAGAGGTGCTTTTTTCAACCGGACTCTTTCCATCACTGACAGCATCAGAAACGTCAGATCTGTGACAGAAGTCTTTTGAATTACCGGCAGATTCTTCTTTCTCAACTCCAAGTGGTATCTCTAACTCTTCTGAAGCTTCCAACGAGCAAAGACTGTTTGCGGAGTTTGTTAACTCCACAGGTGATTTGGGAACTGAGATGTCCAAAAGTTTGCAATCTGATTTGCCTGTCAAGGTCTCACTTGCAACTGAAGAATTTTGGTCAGATTTGCTTGGTGCCACTTCATTAGAGTTGGGGCAATTGTCACTAGGCGTAGAAGAGGACACATCAAAAGATAGTTCGTAAGTGTCATTTTTTCTTTGGCCTTGGAAACTAGCACTGACATCACCCCCTGGTGGGGAGAAGAGTGAATCTGTGATTCCTGCATGAGATGTATTAGCAATAGGCTCAATAGTTGTTGGAGGGGGTTTTACTGGAGTTGATTTGGGGCTAAATTCTGATGGGCTGGACAGAGGACTCATCACACTCGCATGGTTATTGATATTCAAGTCACAACCAGCTATGTTTGGCAGGCCTTCTGCATTGGCTGAAGACTTGAAATTATTACTGGTGACTACTGGTTCTTGAGCATCAAGATGATTACAGCTGCCAGATGCTGAGGTGAAAGGCAATTTTAAGTCCATGTCAGAATGGTCAGTTATTGAATCAGTAGAGATGGGGCAAAGAGTGCTGTCTCCATCATTAACTGAATCATTTGAGACATTGGAGCCACTCGTGTTCTGTATTAAATCAGCATCAAGTTCCATGGTTGGGAAGCGGTCTTCTGAAGGACTAGTGTTGGCCATCAACATTTTGGAATGTGTCGGAGTATCGGACTGCAGTTCCATGTTTTCAAAGTCTTCATCATTGTCAGAGCTCATTTCCAAATCATTTTCTAAAACACACACAGACAAAAAAATAGTTATTAGAAAAACTTGTGACTTCTTAACATACTAAACTGTGTACAAGGCAAGCTCCACCTGAAACATAGTTCTAGGCAAACTACAGGCTGTGGTGTGCCTGACAATCACTGCATGCTACCAATTTGCAGTGTGCCGAGAGGCATGCTACCAGTGGTGTGCATCACGTACAGTTGAGTGTCAAGAAAAAAAGGAATAACAGAAGATTATCATACCAAGAGATGGGCAGCCAAAATCCTCATCACCAGAGAAGACACCAGTGTCTGAGCTTGTCGTTCCATCAGGAGTCATTGATGGAGTGTCTAACATGGCCTCAAGCTTGGCTGCTGTTTCATTTTCTTGGAGTCGATTAAATAATTTCTTAAACCTTTTTAAGGGCTCTGTGAAAAAGAGGAATGTAATAGTTATAGGAAATAAGCTTAAATAATATTGTTGCCCCAGATTGTCATTAAAATAAAATATACTTACCACCAGCAAGAATTAAGCCATCCTTAAAGATATCTACAATATCTTCCCTCAGCTTGTCATACTTTTTCTTGTGATTACCAGGACCTTTCAACTTTGAATTTAATTCTGAAACAAATAAGACACACATTTTTGATACTACAAGGCATCAAATGATAAAACACAACAACCAGCTGAACAGCCAAACATACCTTGCTGTTTTAGTACTTCAGCCTTCAGCCTGCTAATTTTCTTCTCCATTTTAGCATTTATGCTGTTTAAGTCGTTTGAAAATTTCTCCTCACACTGTTTGGATTTGATATTCAATGAAGTAATTTCATTTTCTTTTCTTTCAACTAGATTTTCAAAGTGACATTTTTCCTAGAATATAAAAGTTATTGAGTTGGTACAAACACTGAGTCATTTTGAAAACAAGGTATTTCAAAGAAATTTTAGCATGATAAAACATGTCAGGGATTACCTGGAGAAGAGTGGCATTCTTCTTTCGCTCAGCATCAAGTTCCTTCAAGAGGTCTTGACATTTAATGTCAGAGGAAACAAGGCGCAACTGGAACTCAGCCGCTTTCCTTTTAGAAATTTCTTCAGCCTTCGCAGCATCTTTGAGCTTACTTCGTGCCTCTGATAGCTTCTTGGATTTATTCTCTAATAATTTAGCAGACTTTTCATAGGATGTTTTCAGAAGAAGAAAATTTTTGGTAATATCACTAAAGAGGGAAAAATATATGAAAATTAATAAAACAATAAAGCATATGAGAGAATTGTCAAAAATATTAGTACTTACTCGGTCTTGCAACATTTTTGTTTTAAAAGATCAAATAGCTCCAATTTCTGCAAAGATTAAGGAAATATTGATGTGATTAGTTCCATAGGATTCCACATAACATTCAGGCCTACAGGTCCATACAAAAGACAAAGCTCTGTTGAGCTACAATAGCTCCATTCCATAATTCTTGCCAGATCATAATTATTTGTGCTAGCAGGTATGAATACACTGAGAAATGACCAATTAAGAATTAATTGTCAAGGCTTTTAACGTCAAAAGTATAAAAATTTGAGTACTTTCATACAAAACAATGGTATGAACCAACCAAGGTAAGAAACATAACCTAGCTGGAATTCAAGTTCATGATAAAATTAATACGGTGTGTCAGAACATCGCAACTTATGGCAATAAGAAAAAACGGCATTGAAAATAAATTTTTATAATGAAACAGTACGTTTACAGTTATCGGTCAAGTTAATACTATACATTTACACGAACGTGTATCAAACGAACACTGATCAAAGATTTTGTTGTCATCATTCAGTGACGAATGAAACACGCTGTACCAAAAAGCTGGACACAATAGAAACGGACTAAGTAATTAGTCCAAATATAAAAAGAACCAAAACATTCTAAGCTCTGTCAAAGCACCACTTTCGTAAAGAATTCGTAGAATGGGCAAACGCCGGATAGCACGCCGTCGACTTGTACTTGCCTTATTCAGCGCCACACAGTTCTGGCAGCCGACGCTCCCTGTCCAGTCCATTATGGTGGATCATTTGCAATGTCAAGAACACAAAGAGGTCATTGAATTTCCTCAAAATATACACGAAATCACATTTGGATGGGGGCCGCTAGAAAACAACACACAGACCGCGCTGCCGCCGTAGACACGATGCCGGACAACGATACTATCGAAGCGTGAGCGATACTCTCTCATACACTACCTGGTATCGATACATCGACATATGCCAACTTTTCGGAAATTTGGATTTCCTTCATTCAACCTTATTCAACTCGTTCGGATAACTTCATTCGACTTGATATCAATAATGCCCAGGAAAATGGTCAAGGTGTCAAAGGCTCAGAGCCGGGAAAGGGGCCTTCCCTGGTATGGACCGAGAAGTTTCTCATAGCAAGAAGCTTATTTTCTCATACTCTTCGTACTGACCACAAGTGACCGCGGTGCTCAACAGCTTTAAGAAAGTACCCACACCACAACAAAGATTCAAATTTGGCGGCTCGCTGGGGTACCATCAAATAACTGTCAAATTCTAATTCAACCGAGTTACCGAGTCCACCCAGTCCTTTTTCCGGTGAGTAACGAGTCTGAAGCATCGTAACAAGTGCCTAGTATGTTTTTCTGTTTGAATCAATGGGGTATTCGGAGCTTTACCGGAGAGACTGCTATTTAACATATGTTGGTTGATGGTTATAACCTTGTCGCTATCGTCGTGTTTTGATTGTAGTTTAGCAATGGAGAAGCCGCCTCGGAAGAAAAAGGGTTCCAGTCTGCGGGTCTCCCTCGGCCGAAAGTCTGTCGGGGATCTGACCGCGCTTGAAGTGTCCAACGCGTCTTCCAACGAAAGCTGCCACTTGAATCCGGATTCAGCCGTGATCGACCCTGACTTCGCCGGTAGTCGTGAAATATCTTTCAGTGTGATAGTCTCGCCTTGGCACTCTGATTTGAGCATTAAAATTAATGATGGTCTTTGTAATTTCAGCAAACCCTGATTGGTTTAAACACCTGGGACCTAACTGTTCGGTGCTCGTCTCTCAGGACAGTGTGAATGAAGCGATTCTCAATGAGAGGGACGCAAACCTGGTGAACAACTCTGATGTAGAAGGGCTCAACTTGTCAAAGTTTGACCGGAAGAAAATCAATAAAATATTGAATTCATCAGTTGTGGTCAACACATCTGAAATAGAACGGCTCACTAAAAGGTTCATAACACTGCTTTTAATACCAATGAATCCTTTTGTATTTTTTATTTTTAGTATTCATCAGATTGCACCCTTGTTTTGAATAAAGCTTTACTGCTATTATACAAATAACATTTTTTTTGCCTTTTCTTGTGTCACTTTCAGGAAAAGCCTGGCCCAATCTGAGGAAGTGGATGCTGAGTTATCTGAAGAAGATGACATCTCTCCCCCTAAAAAACCTCGGAGACCCACTACCTTCAAGAGAGGTACTCCAAGGGATGGAGGGAAATCACTCGTTGCTGACAAAGCTTTCCAGGCAATTTTAGATCATGATTCAGAGTCAGATGAAGAAACAGTTTCACCTGTCAAAACTTCCAAAACATCATCTGTCAGGTAGGTCTTCAAATTTTCAAAAGTGGACTGACTGCTTGCTATTTTTGTTATCAATCCACAACCCTTAATTGATTTCCTTCCGTAGGAAATCTTCATTGTTCCCAGACAGTGAGGTGTCTGTTGAAATAATCCGTAAAAGGCCTAAATTCTTGCTAAAACGCAAGCAGGGAACGGTTGCCAATGATGAGGCAGATTTAGCTTTGCAGAATGTGTTTAAGAAGGTGATGGATGAAACTACTGATTCTGAAAGTGGGTCTGATACTTCCAAGGTAGCTGTACCACCAACAACCGATGAGAATGAAAGGTAAAGACTACTGTACTTCCTCTGTCCTTCAATTTTTTTAATTTTTTTTTTCACAATCTGACTCTTATTCTTTATTCTTTTAATTTGATTATTTCCAGGAACAACTCTACTTCAAAAGATACATCCTTTGAAATTCCTCGTCGTAGACCCAATTTTTTGAGGAAGAGTCATAACAAAGACAAGAGAACGTCTCGTGATAGTTATAACGTGTTCAAAGAAGTGGCAAATGAGACTTCAGATTCTGTTGAAGACACAGTAGCTGTTAACACAGTACCTCAAGAACTTGTAGAGCCAAGAGCTGGCACCTCACCCAGAAGGTTGACACACTTTTTATTTAAGTTTGAACCGCTTTTTTTTTGTGTGTGTGTGTGTGTCTTTTGCCTTTCAACATTTTCTCTCGCAGATCTGTTTCAGCTGCTGCAACCCCTGCAAGTCCCAAGGACAGTGATGTATCTTTGGAAATCCATCGCCGGAGGCCAGCGTTTCTCAGTAAGAAATCTAAAAAGGATTTCATCCCATCGCAGGATCTTATTGATAAGTTCAAAAATATAATGGATCAAAGCACAGATTCTGAAGGGAGTCATGTTTCAAAGCAAATCTTGTCAAATGATGCAAATAACAGGTAAGTTGTTTTAAAAAAATATACAAAAAACAATTCTTGCCCCTCTGTTGTTGTTTTTACCTAATCTTCTTTGTCATGTCTCATCCTCTTCAGATCAAACATCTCAAAACCATCAGCAGTTGATGATGTGTCTGTTGAAATTCCTCGGCGCCGACCAGCTTTTCTGAAAAAAGGATTGAAGTCTACCAGAACATCTCTTGATGATCATAATCCCTTTTTGAATGTGACATCGGGTTCTGAGGAAGATGAGGTTTCTAAAGAAAATCTACCTTCTGTGAACCATACTCCAGAGGGTGATACTTCTCTACCACTGGGAGCAGAAGCGAACAACATCAGGTCTGTGTCTCATCAACTATTTCCTAGTGATTTGTTTTGAATAAGTATGACTTTTAAACAAGCTTGAATTCTTGTTTATATCTATAGCACGGTACCAGAAGTCTTTCAAACCATGAAAAAGCATTCCCTTTCTCTAAAAAAGCTTCACTCAGGCAATCAAGTTGATTTATTAAGCCAGGTAGTAGAAGAGAACACTATCTTAGATTCCCAATCCAACTTACGACCACTAAATCAGAGGTAATTCTTTTTCTTTTTTTAAATGTGACTTTTATTTAATGTAAAATTATGCTCATAATTTTTTACTCTATAGTAATTCTAGACGGATGGTACCTGATCATGGACATGTGAGTCGAATATCAAGCATTGCATCCATCACTGAAAACACTAGGAGCGCCCCTTTAAGAGTGTCTCACTTGAGCCAGCGGGAGCGCGAGAACCTTCCTAATGAAGAAATTGGTGTAAGTCCTTCAGTAAAAGAAACTAGATTATCTCGAGGCAAACTTCCATCCCTGGGGAATGCTGAGCAACCCAATATCAGCAGTGAATTAGGAGGATCTATGAGAAGCAATGCCCCATCACCAGCAGCCTCAAAAGAACAAGCAAGTTTTAAATCTATCATATCCTCACTAAGAAACGCGTCTATGCCTTATGTTCAAGATGTGATTAACTCTCCAGTGAGCTCCAAAGAAACTTCGGCTACACACAGTGTAAAGAGGAGTTTGCTAGGAGGTTCTATGACTTCTCATAAAATCTTAACGGCTCAAAAAAGTGGTTCTGAATATGATGGTAATATCAGTGATGCAAGCACGATATCCTTGCCATCAAATTTAACATTGTCTACTGTGGCACCTCGACCTCCAAGTCGGGCATCTGAGTCAAACAACAGATCTGCAACCCGGACTGAAGAAGCCAACAATTCAGTTCTTCCCAAAGAAGCATCGATTTCTAAAAGTGTTAGTAAGCCGCAGCAATCTGAAGCAGACACTGAATCTCCTGCCATGACTTTTTTAAATGACACAGGCTCAGATTCCGTGTTCAGTTCTGGAATTTCCAAAGCACAAAGTTCATCCCATGTCCATGAAAACTCTAATGAGAGCTCTTGGACTGAAAATCCTTACGTTAGTATTAGAAGCAGAACTGAGTCTTCTGGTGAGGAGGCAGAGCCTTTTGATGAAGAACTTTCTTCTATTGAAGCTGTTAATGATGTTGGAGACAACGTAGGAGATGATGATTCCTTTGATTCCCTAGAGGAAAGCATAAATAACAATAATCAAGAAAAGGTTCAACACAAGAATGAATCTAGGGCCTTGCCTTCTGGTTCAGCTCATCATGTGGAAGAAGCTGCTTCTCCTATTGGTGGTACACCCACAAGAGAACATGCCAATAGACATTCTATTTTCAGCCCACTTTCAGACAAGAAGTCATCGTCAGCCAAATCAGTAAGACCTCCGGCACCTGTTGTGACAACTGCTGCTTCTTCTAAAACTAATTCTATAAAATCTCAGAAGGTACATGATGGAGATTACAGGCAGAAGATGAGGTTGTTTATGAGTAAGTGGACTGAAGAAGTTAAGAATGGGAAGCATATCAGTCAACCACTACCTCCCAAACCTGATCCAATTGTAATCAAGAAACCAAACCCGAAGTCAGTGCTAAAGCCAGCAAAGAAAAAAGAAGTCTGCCCATATTTGGCAGATTACCGTCCCCCAAAAAGAGTTAAACCAAAACCGTATGTGACATCTAAAATGTACAAATTTCTTGAGGCTAAATTACAGCCTAAGTTTGGCTTGGAATCTAGAATCAAAGCAGAAGAGTTTGTGCAATTTTTGTGTCGCACAGTTACAAGTGTTACCACCAAAAAGTCAAAGTATCATCAATTAGTTTTTGACCTACGAGATAAAATGGTTTCGCTAGGACTTATCAGGACTCAACTTCAATTCCATGTATTTATTGAAGATTACCTTCCAGATTCATTCAGGGTAAAGTCCATTCCTTGTTATGGGTGTCCTAAGGGGCCAAAACTAGATTCTGATGATTTAAATGTAGATCTGTCTGTTAAGTAGTCATAGTGTAAAAATTGTTTAAAGAAGTTATTCTTTTATAGGTTGTTTGTCACAGAAGCCAAACATCCAGATTTCATATTGTTTCATTCTTTGTTTCTTTTTACTATGTGCTAACCAAGTGTAGTGGAGCAAAATAAATGTTAATTTTCACTTCTATTTTGAGAAATTTTGAGACCAAGGCTGCATGGATAATGGAGATCATGGCACCTACACTACTATAATTGTTGATTAAGACAGGGGAGAAGAAAATCATAATTCTCATAATGTTATAATATTTATTTATGGTAAATAGCATCAACAACAATATTACAATTTCCTTAAGTGAATTTTTCAAGAAATACAGAAAAACGTTACAAATGTTTAAAAATATGTTTGAATTCGTGAGTTAAAAAATTTCAGCTGCTAATTATAAAAGTATAGTCATGTCATGACTTTTAATCTTTAATTATTTTACAAATACCCAGAGCTCATGATGAAAGTCGTATTTCCTAATGTGGTTGTGATATCTCAAAATCACAGACAGACAAATGGGACGAGATGCCTCACAGGCACATTATTATCAGGGATGAGGACAAATAAATAACCACTGTCACATCATTCTTCTCTGGGATTTCTATTAGTCAGAATTTACCATCTATTTTTACAATATTTTCCTGTTAGATGTAAAATCAAGTCCACATTACAAAATTGTATTGACTAGCCTACATTATTTTGACCCAATAGCAGCTGATTCTTACCAGTCTTGAGCATTATAAAGTTAAGAATGTTACACAGTATAACTGCGAACACGCACACAAATTGCACAGATGAGTGATTTCAAATACTGCTCTTTATTTGAGCAAATTTTGTGGATTCCACAAAACACAATCAGTTTGATGGGGCGGGTGTAGGCTGTACAAATGTGTAACATCCGTAACTCGATAAAGCCTTGGTTTCTAGGCATATCGCTTAATCTGTAAAACCCTCACTGCATTATGTTTAAGGTCCATTTAGGTCATGGGTCAAAACTTTCAACAAAACCAAAAATTACCCTACCACTAAAGCAAACATCACTTTACAGCTTGTTTTCTTGTTCACATGGGTATCTGTTGGCGCTTCAAAATGAACACGCTTTCAGAATAACTAGCAGCTAGCACTTCTTACGATGTCCTTCAGGAACGCACTCTTAAGAACGGGGAATGGCTCCTGCCCCTGCTAGCAGAGCTCTGCATGGCACTCCGTTGGCTCTATGGCGATCCCGGGAGCGGCGAAAGGAAACTACACTAAAACTGCTTCTCGATTTCGATTCCCGGGCTCGTTTCGGGAGACGCTGCATGCCGAACAAAACTGCGGCACGTCGCGCTCCTCAGCCCCCTTACCAGTGTACCTGCCTCGGCCGGGAGTCGAACCCGCGAACCCGGCGTTACTTGCGGGTGTTCCGCACCTCGATGACGACGCCGCCGTTGACGCCGTGCTTGTCGGGCTGGTGGCGCCACTGCCGCGCCTGGGCGGCCAGGCTGGCCGTGTGCCTGGGGTACTTGGAGTCCATGAGGATGCTGCTGGTGCTCGTGTCGATGCCGCTGTCCCCGGAGCCTCCCCGGTAGCGGCTGCTGCGCTTCGTCACCGTGGACGTGTCGCTCGTCTCCACCACCTCCCTGGCGCCGCCGCGCCCGGACGGCACCGTGCGCCGCGAGTAGTTCTGCACCGTGTTGGTGACGGACGGCCGCAGCGGGTCGCTGCACTTGGAGGTGATCCTCACCGTCTCCGAGTAGTCGCCGCCGCTACCGTTCGAGTTGGAGTTGTTGGAGTCCCTCCGGTAGGCGTCGCGCTCGCGCAGCCCCTTGGAGGCGGGGCCGCCACCTGTATGGGGCAAGAACAAGGTTGAGGCACTCGGGGAGGGGCGGGGTGTCCACGTGACCAGGGGCTTCGAGGAGAAGGGCGAGAAGGGCAGGCTGTCGATAGACAGGAAGACAAGACCACCACCATCTCGGACCGCAGGGTGCAGGCAGTGCCCGCCAGGCACAAGCCGCCAGCCGCCACCAACACCGAAGTCACCTTGCCCGGCCTGGCCCGGCCCGGCCCAGGGAGGCGGCGGTGCCCAGGTGCCCGGGTGCCCATGAGGCCTAACTACTGAACGTGATCGTCCTCCCACCTGACGGCGACGCCCTGTCCCTGCTGTCCCTGTCCATGGAGCGGAACGGCGCGCGCGGCGGCGGCGTGGCGGTGCTGGACCGGAACGAGTTGCTGTAGTCGATGACGCGCGGCTCGGCGTGCTGCTGCTGCTGCTCCTCGGGGTGCAGGGTCTTGAACAGCTCGGGCGCGCGGTCCAGCAGGCCGCGCATGAAGGCCTTCTTCTTGGGGTCCTGGCCGCTGCCGCCGCTGCTGTTGACGCCGTTCAGGTGGCTGGTGCTGGAGAAGAGGCGCCGCTGGTCGGCGGCGCGGCGCGCCGGTTTGGTGTAGAGGTCCTCGACGTGGTTCTCCTTCTCGCCGAGGTCGGTGAGGTCGCGGGTGCTGCGGCTGATGCTGGCCAGGATGCTGGGGCTCTTGAGCGGCGGCGGGCTCTCCTCCAGGCGGTGCAGCTGCGAGCTGGAGCGGTAGGCCGTGGGCGCGGCCTGCACGTTGAAGCTCTTGCTGCGCGTCAGCGAGGTGCGGTAGGTGCGCGCCGGCTTGGCGGGGCCCTCCCACGACACGCCGTTGCTGTGCCCGTTGCCGTGCCCGTTGCGGGTCGGCGACGGCGCCTGGTTCACGAAGGACACGTTGATGAGGCTGCCCGTGTGCGGCGACGTCGTGAGCGGCGACGCCAGCGGGGACGACCGCGGCGACGAGCGCTCCCGCGTGAAGCGGTGCTCCCACACCTGCGGCGGAGAGGACCGCGCCGAGGAGCCCGTGCGCTCCACGTTGCTCTTGGTCACGTACACCTGGAACCACAACAAGCACGTCGTGAGGGAAGGCAAGTTTGTGGCAACATCGAGCGCCTGCCACTCGGCCGATGCCGTCCCGCGGCACAGCCGTGCGCGCTGGCCGGCGGGCGGCCTACCCCGCGGGCTGAACGGCTGAACCCTCGCCGGCGCCGCCCACTTGCCTTGCCTTGCGCCAAGTCAGTGAGTCACAGTGGCGGCGTCGACTTTTCCGTTATTTCGCCTTTCGCCCGACTCAGTCGACTCAGTCCGCGGATTAGATCGCACGGGTCGCACTGCTGGCGGCGGCGCCGAGCTCCCGACCGGATCACTCACATTCGGCGCCAATTTCGGAATTTGGCTCTCGGGCGAGCTCTGCGCGCTGCGCGCTTTCTTCTTAGCGGAAGATCGCCAAGTGTTGCCGCGGAATGCCGTGGATATGGTGGGGAGGGGCGGGGCGGCCGCGGCTTGCCTGGACCCGGTTATAAAATTTGCATACACCGCCCACCTCGCGTCGCGTCGCGGTTGCTGGAGGGGTGCGGGGGTGGACAGGGGAGGACATTGACTTGTCGATCGCGTACGTCATCCGTGCGGCCACCTCATCTGCCAAAAAAAGATTATTTTTTTTCGGGGTTTCGAACCCGCGCCTCACCTGCTTCTTGGCCCTGGGCGTGGAGTCATCGCGGTCCCGCAGCTTCCTGGGCAGGGTCTGGGAGCCGCCGCGGCCGGCGTGGTACTCGGTGCCGACGCGCCTGGTGCCGCCGTTCAGCATGGTGTTGTGCTGCGTCGCGGCGCCCGAGGACGTCAGCCGCGACGTGGACTTGCTGAGGCGCCCAAGGCTGCAACCAGAGAGAAGAGAACCGTCAGTCCGGGGTTCGAATACCGGGGCACTGCTTCGAGTTTCGGTGAGAGTAACACTTTTCCTCCCGTCGTCGGCCCGTCTCTCTCCCGCCCAGGAGGGCGAGCAAGAGAGGAGAGACCTCCCACTCGGAATCATGGCGCTGACCGGCGGCAGTCGAAAACTATAAAAAAGACGATCGCCACACGGAGCACGGTGCCGCAACTCTTACGCACTGGACCGAGGATTCTGTGAGTTAGCGAGCAGTTGCCCGCAGCAGTCAAATCGGCGGCCGATCGACTTCGAGTCCCTACCAATCGATCTCTCGATAAAGTCGGCACGTGGCGGCATTACGACATAATGACACTGTTCGCCGCTAGATGGCGCTCCGGACAAAGAGCCGCCGGCCCGGCCGGCCCGATCAACCAAATGTCTCATTTTACGACGCCATTGTCGGCTCCGTTTCGTCAGGATGCTTCGGCGTGCTTATAGAATGCGCTGATGACTGCCTTGCCTGGTTCCGATAGTGTCCGATAGGCGGCGGCGTGCCTTTTGTTCGGCCGGGCCTGCATACACTAACTACACCACAGGTACAGGCAGGCCGAAATTATTGCAAAACGGCCGCCAAAAAGGTAAGACAGTCATGCTCGAAAGTAAGGAAGCCAACGTAATGAACATCTTGCAGATTTTCGCCAAAACATTTCTATCTTGTTAGATATTAACTTTTTTTTTCAGAGCGCTGCGTTTGGACATACATCAGGCCCTTTGAACACACGCGTGTTCGCTTCGCGCTTCGCGGGCGGTCCCCCACCTCCGAGCTGGCCGTGGTCCCGTTCCAGTTTTCGCCAATTTCCACGAGGGCGAGCGATTCCGACCAGTCGTTTTCTGTCCCTGTCGCGCCCATGGGGCCATGGGGCGTCCCGTGGGGGTGCGAGAGAGACGGAGCGACGGATCGCCCACCTGGTCGTCCGCTGTCCCCGCGGGAGTTCCTCCTAGTTGTTCCGTGCCAGCGTGCCAGACCCGACCCCCTCCATCACCACCTTCAGCCGCCTTCAGCGTCGTCTTCAACGAGGCCAGCCCGGAGTAAATTGTCCCCTAACGGCTCAGCCGCAATCAAACGAGATTAATCCAAGTTCAGCTTCAGCACCTCCTCCTGGCCCGCCACTGTAACGGACACCAGACGCTGATTGGCTGGCTGCAAGTTCATGCCGCCAAAATGCCGCCAAAATGGTCTAAAATTTCAGAATTTTTTTTAACAGTGAAGTTGAAGACGGTCGGTTTCAGCAATATTGCCCAGGCCGACTTTGGCGAGGCTCTGAGGCGCTCTGAGGGCGCGGCCGCAGAAGGCCAAGGACGGCGTCGCGCTGCCGCCGTCTGTCCCCTACACTGTACTGGGGCACACCCACGTGACCAGCGCCGCCGTTTCCGCTTTCCGCCCCCCCCCCCCCCACTCCACTCCACTGGGACAAAATTAGCGCGGGTAACAAGGACTTTTCGAAAATTCAGGAGGCTTCGTTCAAAATATTTGAAGGCCTTGAAAATAAAATTCTCCCCGTCTTGCAAAGCAGTATGTATTTTAAGCGCACATTATTTTGTTTTAAATTTCCAAACCGATTTTGTCTTACAAACAAACTAAAAATTGTGTTCCTGACATTTGCTCAAAAGTAACATCCCCCAACCAACCTCACACCCTTCTGCCGCAGCAGTCCCGAAACTCGATTATCTCGCCGACTAATCGACTAATCTTCGTTTCGACGTGTTGTTCGCGCGCGACTCGAAGCGCGCACGGCCAGCAGCACGGCCACGCGTGGAGGCGAACACCTACACCAATAAGGCGTTCACATCACTGCAGACGGAGAGAAAGAAGAAAAAAACACGCTTAGTTCGCCTCCGTGTGAGGCCGACGCGACGAGCTTCAAGAAGAAGTGACCGCTCTTTCATAAGCAGGCCGCCTTGTTGTTGTTGTTGTTGTTGTTGTTGTTGTGTCTGAGTGAGTGTGTGTTACCGCGAACCACTTTCATGGTTGCAAGAGACGCGACAGAAAGCATGCGCTGAATTCGTGATTGTTGTGGTGTCTGCTGCTGCATCTGTGTGTCTGTGTGTGTGTGTGTGTGTGTGTGAGCGCGGTGCATCCAGATGCACGTCCAGGGCTGCGCAAACAAGGACACTGCAAACCCCTTATGTCGCAGCCAGGAGAGAGAGAGAGGGGGGGGGGAAGTATGCCTAATCCTGGATGACCCCACCGCGGTCCTGCCGAGCCATGCCATGACGGCGTGGTGATGTGCAATCGCAATCATCAAGCGATGCTCCCCGCGCGGCTGTCGCTGTCCCAAAATTCACGTAACACAGTACCTCAGGACGATCTGTCACCTCGGCCTCCGCGACCCACCCTAATCGAGTTACATCGGGATAGAACCGTGACCGGCGACGCGGCTGCAGGTGTTACGTGCTTTAGTGCACGGCCCCCCAGCGTGACCGCGACCAATGCACTTTGCCTCGCGCCTCGTGACAGCCACGCAGCGCGGAGAAGCACGGCGCCAGCCAAGAACGTCAACCGCGCCAAAAAAGGGGTTGAAAAAAATGGCTGCGGTGGGATTCGAACCCACGAACTGCCCTGCGCTCTCTGTGCTGCTCCAACCTGACCCTCAGCGTGTTACAGAATATCGACAGAGGCGGACGGTGCAACATATGGCGGCTTGGCCAGGCTCGGCCCTGGCAGGGTCCACGCACCTAGGGCTCCCCCTCCCCTCCCCTCCTCGCTCTTCTGCCCCGTCCCGCCGAAGCGGCAGCAGCAGCGGTCCTTGCCATGTTTGGTGGCGGCGAGGCCGGGTGCTGCCCGGCAGCTGCAGCCCCCCTCCCCCTCCCCGCCGCGGTCCTTCATGACATCATAGGGGTGGCCGATGATGAATCTCCGGGACGGATAGGTCATTAATAAGCCGCGAGGAGCGAGAGAGACAGACAGTGACGTGACACTGTTGCAGCAGAGAGACACTCAGTGTGACACAGTGGTGCAACCGTGGGGCGGGACGCAGAGTTCCTTCCGGGTGCTTCCGGGAATCGCCTGCACTTGCAATTAGTCGAGGCGACGGTCTTGGTCTCGGCGGGGCGGGGCGGGGCGGGGCGCGGCGTGTGCGACCGCCTGCCGCTTAAGGGACGACGGCGGCCTTGGTTTTATTGGTCAGTGGGCCTGGCTGCCTGACTGGCCGCCTGCTGCGCCGCCAGCCAGCCAGCCAGCCAGCCAGGCTGCATGCTGCTGCATCTCCCCGCCTGCAGCTCCGGCCGTAAAAAAATTTGAAGCGACGCGCCGCGTGCAAGAGGGAGGGAGGCAGAGAGACGCGGCTCGGGGATTTCACTTTAAATTTATTTTACGGTGCCGTTTAATCCTCGCGGCAGCACCTGTGTGGGCCGCGCGTTACCGCGTTACCGCCGCGTGGTGCCTCGCCGTCCCGCGAGACGCGAGGGCGCCGCTATCGGAAGGCCGTTATGCCGGTGTGGTACCGCCGCAGTCAGTCCAGTCAGTGGGGCAGCACCGCGAAGCACGGCGACCCGCGGACGCGTAAACGCTTTAACGGCGCCCAGCACACTCATTCCGAGAGTCGCTGTGTCTCTCTCGCACTCACGCGGCGTCCAAGTAGGTGCGAGAAGGACAGAGGGAGTCCGTCCACCGGGCGGATAGGCCGATACAGGCGCGAAGAGGAAATCGGCGACACTGCCTGGCCGGCCGGGCCGCGGCGGCCGCGCCAGGATCGCGGAATCGTTGCCGCAGAAGACGCGGGGGCGGAGCGCGGACCGCGGCCCCGTCGCCTCCACGCGCGCGCACCGCCGGCACACCGCCGGCACACCGTCGGCACACCGTCACACGCACGCCGAGCCCGCGGACGGAGCACCCACGGCCGCCGGGCTGGCTCCGGAAGGCGCTGTCTCTCTCGCACCCACGGCGCGACGCATGCAGGTGCGAGAGAGACAGCGCGCCGTTCGGACTGACACTGCAGCGCGGTGCCAAGACGCGCAAACCGACACCGTCGGCGCGCCCAGCCCGCGCCTAGCCCGCGCCCAGCCGGTACCGGGTGTCAACCCGCCACACTGGCGAATCTCGTCTCATGGGGGAAAGCAACGAGAACTATTCATCTTCGACGGCAAGGATGAAGTAAACGCGAGTGCCTCTCTGAACGCGGCGCGCGGTGCGCCAAGCGAGGCCTGACCCAGTAAGCCGAGACGGCCGAGCCCCCAGCGCAGCCAGGGGCAGGCCGGGCAGGCCGGGCAGGCCCCCGCGTACACGGCGTCTCGGTGTCGTCCCGCCGACTGCCTGTCAGCTACCTGTCAGCTGGCTGCGCGCTGCGCGCTGCCTGCCTGCCCGTCTGCCTGTCGGCGGGGCCCGGCCGCGCCGAGCGTTGCCGGCGTTGCCACACACCCGCAGTCAATGCGACAGTTTTGCGCGGTCCGACTGCCGTCGCCGCGGCCCGTGACGACACGCGGTACTCGCAGCGACGACTCGCGATTTCAGGAATGTTTTTTGCAAATTCACGCGGACGGACGGACGGCGGCAATGACACACATCGAAGATCGCATTACGTCGGGAACGGCAGCGCCTACACCGTGAGCGCGCAAAACGGGAAGTTTATCCCTTCCTTTTCACTTCTTTTGTGCGAATGGCGTGTTTCGGTCGCCGCCGCTGCAAAGCAGCCTGCTCCAGAGCAAACGCGTGCCTGTGCGCGAGAGACTTAATGTGTGAGTGTGGGTGTGTGGCCGGCTTGTTCGCTAACACGGACAATGCGCAGTCGTGTGTGCTCGCTGAAACGCACCGCGCCGCACCGCGCCGCACCGCGCGCCTCCCACCCCCGGCAGGCTGACGCGCTGACTCACAACACGCGCGAAATTTTGGTGCCGTTGCTGACCCTGCTGACGCACAGCGTAAGCCGTCCCGGCAGACTGACCCAGACCGGCCCGAACCAGCCGCCTGCGAGGTAGGCCCGCGCGCGGCCCGGCGCACACCCGTGTTCGCGCGTTGCCTGCCCGCCAGGCGCTCCCCGGGCCTCGGAGCGCCCGGCGAGTAGGCAACCCTAGCGCACCCGTGTCCAGCGGGCTGTGGGATGGCCTACCTCGCAGGCGCTCGCCCAGTGGGCAGACTGAGGTTGGCAACCCTACCGGTGCGCATCGTGGGAATGTTTGCCTTCTCGCGTGGCAACACTTATTCTTTCCACAGCCGTCAACCAGGTGCGTCCCCGATGGTGCGCGACGCACGCCGAGGCTCTGTCTGCGTCGCACGCGCGGGGCGTGCCGTAGCGGTGCGACAGAGACGGGGCGACGCGACGAGGCGCGGCGATAGCGATCGACGAGTGACGCGGCGAGAACGTCGCAAGGCGGCCACTTACGCGGCGCGGGCTGTTTTGAGAGGGAGTGACGGACGGACTGACGGACACGCGGCGGACACGCGCGCGCCAACAAACGAACCACAATCACCGGCCAGGGCGGCAGGGCGGCGGTCCACAGTGGGCCAGAGACCGGTGGAGGCGGACAAAACTCTAGACGCGTTTTGAGCTGCAGAGTCGCTAAATGGGACTCGAACCGAACGTGTGACCCCACCAATGGATTGCTCTCCGAACGAGGAATCCATTGGTGGGGTCACACGTTCGTTTCGAGGCCTGTTTAGCGACGCTGGAGCTCAAAACGCGTCTAGAGTTTTGTCCGCCTCCGCCGGTCTTCTGGCCCACTGTGCGGTCCGGGCGATCGGAACAGTAACACGGCCTGATTCGCGTCCTGATTACCCTCCGTGTTGGCGGGCCGGCCGGGCCGCGGCGCGTCTCTCTCGCACCCCTGCGGGGCAGCAGGTGAGTGCGAGAGACAGAGAGCGACCCCGCGTGGTGTATCTACCGCGCCATCGCCGCGCAGCCAAATTGGCAATTTTCATGCAAAGACAGCTCCAACGAGGAGGAGGGGGGCTGCTTGCCCGGGCCAGCGTTCGGCCGACCCCCCGGGGGGAGCGAGAGAGAGGGGCCAGCCAGCAGAGCGAAGAGAAAAGACAGTCCAATTTCATAATTCGCGCGCAGGGCGGATACACACGAATCCCGTCGCCGTCGTCCCACCTGCGCGGAGATTGCTACGGATCTATCCAGTCGGACAAAGGCGCTCACACAGACACACGCACACACTCTCACACGCGCCACTGTGATCACAGAGTCGCTCCATCGCCCGCCGTCGGTCGGCCCTGGAGCGGAAAAACAGCTGGCTTTCGGTTCCGAGAAAGTAGTCTCTGTCTCTGTCGCTCCCGTGTGGAACGCCCCCCGAGTGCGAGAAGGACAGAGCGACGAAAGCGTTGCCGCCCGGAGGCAGCCTGCCAGGCGGCCGTCATTTCGTGGGTGCCCCGCTCGGCCTGCCACGACACACCTCCACCTGGACGAGCGTGGTCCGTGGTCGGGGGTGCAAACACCAGCCCGTTAGGACGCCGCTTTTTTCCGCCACTTAGCACGTACTTGGCGAAAAGGCATTCGCGAAGGCTCAGCGGCGCTACTGCCAGCCCCGGAAATAGACAAGACCGTCGAGGTATTTGACGAAAACGCACGACGCCCAGGTCGTCGGCCTCGCCGCCCAGCCCCGCCCCGCCCCGCCACCTCAGACAAAGGGCCATTTTCGCGAGAGGCGACGCCGGAGTGCCTGTCCGAGCGTCACCGCGCGGTACGCAGATGGAAGGCAAACTCACACACACAAGCACACACACCGACGGGCGGTCGGGGGATAGTTCGCAAACCCGGCACGTAACTCTAGACCGCGGCCCCGCGGCTCGGCGAGGCAGCGCGAAGCTACGCGACACAATCAACGTCAAGGAGGACACCAACCGCATTGGGTTGCAGTGCGGGCCGCGGCGAGCCGCACGCGTCACCGACGTCTCGACTTGCCGGCGAGTCAAGTCCATTTCGTCATTGGCGCAATTAGTCCACTGCAAAATGGGAAAATGAGCGCGAGTGGGATTCGAACCCGGGTCCCCGATGAGGCGGCGTGCGCTCGGTGCGGCCCGCCACGGACGTGGTGGCTCGGCGCGCCCACGCCCGGCACGCGCACCCAGCGACCCGGCGCGCGGGGAAGGGAGGCTCTGATTCACCACCGGCGCAAGGCCGAGTCACACTAGAGGCCCGGGTTCGAATCCCAGCACTCGGTTTTCGATTTTCGTTTTTTTTTCGGACTCACCTGGAGTGGCGCTCCTCCTCGGACTGCGAGCCGCGCCGCACGTCGCGCTGCTTCCTCCGGGCGGGCACCACGCCGTCGTACTCCCTCTCGCGGCCGTAGATGGAGCCGCCGAACGGATCCTCGCCGAGGTAGTACTTCCTGGTGGTGCGCGCCTCGCCGTCCACCGTGTCGCGCCCGTCGCGGCCGTCCAGGTCGTGGCCGTTGCGGTGCGGCTGGGACCGCGACTGCGACCGCTTGAGGCCGCTGCGGCCGCCGCCACGCGGGGGCGCCACGGGGGCCACCTCCTCGGGGGAGTCGCCCTCCTCGGTGCCGTCGTTGGGCGACGAGCCCTCGCCGTCCTGCGCCGAGCGGCGGCCGCTCTTGCTGCGCTTGGTCCTGCTCATGCCGAGCAGCGAGCCCTCGGCCGCGCGGTACGTCGGGCTGGGCGACCGGGACCGCGACGACCCGCCGCGCGACTTGTTGCTCAGCTTCCTGGACGCCTTGTTCTTGCTGCGGTCCGAGCTGCCGGACCGGAACTTGCCCACCAGCTTCCGGAACGAGTCCCCGATGATCTGCGACGCCGACTGCTGGTGCGACTTGACCACGGTGGCGGGCGCGGACGGCGGCGGCGTGGGCGTGGACGGGTGCCGCGACGACGACGAGTACGCCGACGGCGGCGGGATGTCCGCCGCGAAGCGCGTCCGCTGGTACAGCTTCTTGTTGGCCGGCATGGGCGGCGGGCTGGGCGACGGCGACGCGCCGCGGTGGTGGTTGCCGTGGTGGTTGCCGTGGTGGTACTCGGGGGAGGAGGGCGGCCAGTCGCGGAACGAGTCCTTCTTGCGCAGCGCGCTGCTGCCGCCGCGGTACCGCTCCTCGTCCTCCTGCAACAAGCAGGCCGTCAGGCACGCGGCTGGGGCAGGCGCTTACAGGCTGTACACTGTACACGAGAAATCACGAAACAAATGGACACTTCAAGACCTTCATCTCACGTCCACCGTCGCATTTTCAAGTTTGTTTTGCATTTGGAGCACTCGACTGAGTCGCTGCCGCTCCCTCCTCCGCACGGAGGCCTCGGGGTGGGAGGGGCCAGGGCCGGCCAGGGCCCGCTGCGGTGTGAGCGAGCAGCCTCGTCAAAGCCCGCCTGTCATAGATCAAAGTCGTAGATTCGGGGCTCCCCGGACACTCTCCCGTATCTGGGAAATCAAATGGACAACCCGGGCCGCCTTTTAGGCGGAAGCAGTGTAGGTTTGTCGCGCTGTGCTGCAGTGCCCGTCCACTGCAGACAGTGGAGGTGCTGCTCTCAGGGCGAACGCGGTGGCACCCGAGCCAACGTCGGCCAGTCCAGCCCAGTCGGGCCAACTGGAGTGGACGCTTGGCCCGCTTCGGACGCTTCGCGGGATGAAACCCGACCCCCAGTGTGGGAGACAGAGGCACAGCTGGACGCAGATGGACATGGCCGAGCTTTGCGACCGGTGTTCTGTGTTCTCGTCGCGGCTTCCCAGAAATCGCGCCCTCGCACAAGGACAGGACGGCAGCCAGGAGCGGCTGTCTCCAAACGCGGCTTCCGTCGTCGCTCTGTCTCTCTCACACACCTACGGGACGCCCCATCAGCGCGAGAGAGACAGCCGGTTGCGTCACGGCGGGAGTCTAATCAAACGAGCTGCGAAAAAGCCCGACCGGGTAGGATTCGAACCCGCGACCTTACCAAAATCCTCTCGAGCGCGGGCATGTTGAGGCGAGTAATCCAAGTCACTGTCTCACGGGCGGCGCGGGGGCGGCACACTGTTCACACTGCCGGCCTGCCTGGCGGCCGTCATCGCGTCCTCCGGCACCACCTCTGCCAGTGCCGGCACCGGTCACATGTTCGGCGGCCTGGCTCCACGGGGTGCCGGCGGGGTGCCGGCGGGGTGACGCGCGGGGTAAGGTTCGGGGTAACGCGGGGCGCGGCTTCGGCCGCGGCGGGGTTCTGCGGATAACTGGCCGCGCTGATCGGGTCGCGCGCCGCGCAGAACAGCACCGCGCCGCCGGACGGGGACGGCATCGCGGCGGTGGAGTGGAGGGGTCCAGGGTTTCGCTATCCTCCTCCTCCCACTCGCGCCAGGCCTTCTTGGGGGCCTCCGACGGCGTGCCAGGCGCGGGGCGCGGCGGGGCGTGGCGGGGTGCGGCGCGGCGGGGCGCGGCGAACGTCCTACTGCCTCCGAGCGCTGCCAGTAAAGCCTGCAAAGCTCGGTGCGACCGACCGCCGCGCCGCCGGGTCATCGGCAAGGTCCCCGCCGGGCCCCTCGCATTACCCGGCATGACGGCCGCCGCGCCGGGACGGCCGGAACACTTTGGACTCTAGCGCTTCGAATTTGGCGACAGCGAGGCAGCCGCCCCTTTCCGCTGTCTCTGTCGCACGCACGGGGCGGCTCTAAGGGTGCGAGGGAGACAGAGCGACGGGCGAAGCGCGAAGCCAGCGGAGCGGAAAGAGTCCCACCCAGCGATCATTTTCATTTTCGCCAAAACGAATCTCGGCGAGTACGCCCCCGACTCCGGACGGCTCCAGATTCGGCTGCCGGGGGGACGCGGCGGTGGAGCTTGCCATTAGTTCGTCCGCCGCTTGCCGGCCAAGTGGACCGCAGACTGGTCCTCGTCGCGGGGTGACTTGCGTTTCGCGGCCGGGGCAGCCCGGCGCGCCGCCCCCCGCGGGTAGGCAGCCCATCCGACGCCTCGGACAGGGCCAAAGGCGCCGCCAGGAGCCTCGCTCTGTCTCTCTCGCACCCCTTCGGCCCTTCGGCACGCCGCACCAGTGCGAGAGAGATGGAGCGTGTTCGGAATGAGCCTGCAGCGTCGGACGGCCTTGACTGACACACTCCAGAAAGGCCGCCCGGGCAGGCGGGCAGGCGGTCTGCACCATATGGCGTGCCTCCTGCAACTAGCAGGTGGTATTGGAGCAGTCTGGCCGCTTGTGACCCGCGTTGAATTCCGCCAGTGGTGCAGTGGAGAAGACCTGCACCACCGGGTAAAGAAACAATAACACAAACTTTCGATTACTCACGAGTTTTTGTTCCTTCCGATTTTGTTATGCAACAGCCGATCACCGGCGGCCGTTCCGCATTTAGAGTGAGTCGCGTGTGCTTCGGTCCTACAGTGTTGGACTCTAGAGTTTTCGAGTGGGAAGGCGCGGCCGAACGCGAATGGCGATACCCCGCGCGCGCCGATGCAAACACAGCCGAAGGGCTCCGCGACGGCGACACCCCGCGCTGCAGGGACTCTCACTTTGAATGATGCTCGTTGCTTGGAGGCCCGTGGCAAGGTGGACGGTCCGGGGGAGGCCGACGGCGCACGCACACACACACACTCACCTCGTGGTAGCGCTTTGCGCTGTACTTGTTGCGCTGCGGGGGGCTGGGGCTCTTGTCCCTGCTCGGCGCGAACCGACCAGGCGCCGCCGCCCGCTCAGAGCTGATGCGCTCGCGCTCGAGGAACGCCGCGTTCACGTTGCTCGCGCTGGGCGCGTAGTGGCCGCGGCCCACGGCGTACTCGTGCGGCTGCAAAAGAGGGTTAGCGCCATGCGTGGCATGCGCAGGCAGGGAGGGTTAGCCGAGCTGGACTCGTCCAAGGGGAAACAACTTGGAATTTCAGTCGACAGAATTTTAAATTAATCCGCATGAGTTTTGGATTAATTTTAAAGAATTGCAGCGAAATCGGTATAAACTTCACTGATTTTGGAAGAATTTTTTAAAATTTCACCTAAATTTCTCGAATTTTGAAGAAATCTGACTAAACTTCTGGAGTCTGCAAGTGTTTGGGTGTACACTTTTTTTTTAAGTTGCTTTCCCTTGCGTCGTTGAGTGACGGATCCTCTAAAGAAGAGTGAGTGGTGATGCGCGGGAAAGAGACGGCGAGGCGTTTGGTTCCGGTGAACTCCATTCACAGTGTGGCAGGAAATCCAAGGACGAACGCGCGCCTCACCTTGCCCCTGTCCAGCGGAGCCGAGACTCCGCGCCTTCGCGGGGTCCGGGATCCGGCGGTACTCCGCGCTCCGCTCAGCAGCGCGCAGCACGGGGTATCGCCGGCACCCGTCGCCTCCGGGCGGCACGCACGGATGTTGGTTGGAAACAACAGAGGTGCGGTTAGGGGAGTTAAAGAATTCAGTCCGCTGAGAGCGGTTTTAGTATCAAAGAAAAGTCGCGATCGTTTCACGGACAGTAAAAAATAAACAAACTGGAAAAATGTGTGCCTACGGGATGCAGAGATTTTTAACTATCGGGCTTGCATTGAACGTGCGCAATCGTATTTACAGTGGTGTGCTGGCTGAATCAGTGATAATCGAATTCTAGGCGAGAATGAATATTAAATGGATTAATCCGCGCGGCTCTGCGGGGCTTCGTTAGAAGTGGGGGATTAGCTTGCAGTCTCGCGGAGCAAAACTGAACGCGGGAACGACTCCGGCCGGCGGCCAAGTTGCAGGTCTCCGTCGTGGTGGTGCTTACAGGCAGTTCGTCGCTGTCGTCGCGGTACGGGGAGTACGTCGGCGAGTCCCTGTACGGGGACGAGCCGCCTCCCCGGTACGCCGACGGGGACCCCACTCGGTGCACGCTCGTCGTCTTGTAGAGGCGGGTGCCGCCGTTGGCGACGGGCGTGGACGTGGCGGTGGCCTTGAAGGTGTGGTCCGGCCCGGTGGGCAGCACCTGCACGCGGTCCGGACGACCAGTGTACCCGCTGCCCACGGCCGTGGACGTCGGGTCGGACGGCGAGAACGTCGACTTCTTGTTCCACGACGACGTGGCCGTCTCCCTGACGTCCTGGCGGTCCTGGCGGTCGTGGCGGCGCTCGGACCACTGGCTGATGCCCTGCGGACGAAGAGGCAAAAGCGGCGGCCGCGACGTGCGGGTCAGACAGGCAGGCGACGCGGCGGCGGGGGCGGGGTTACGCGAATCGCAATCAAGGGGTGCGTGTGGCACTATGGCAATGTGAATGTGGCGGGGCACAGCGCGAGCAGCGAGCGGCGTACCTGGAAGTAGGGGCTCTCGGACCGCGGCTCCGGCGACGACACAAACACCCGCGACGACGAGGTGGTGTTGAGGCCGTTGAGGCCGTTCGTGCGCGGCGTGACGGGGCGAGACTTCATCGTCACGTTGATGAAGCTGGTCGTGGTGCCCCGCTGCACGTCGTCCTCGTCCTCGATCGAATCCTAGACAACAGCACGACGCTTTAGGGCTACAGCACAAGACTCGGCGGCTCGGTGACCTGTTGCGAGGGCGCCACGCACCTTGGAGGAACGCGACTCGCTGCCGAAGTGGTGCTCCAGCCATTTGGACGTCTCCACCTTGCGGGTCTCCTCCTCCTGGTCGAAGTCCAGGGGTCGCTTGGTGAGGGCGTCCTTGCGGTCGGCGGCCGCCGCGCCGGTCAGGTTGGCCGCGCCGGGCGCGGGACCCAGCTGCCCCGCGGCGCGCGACTGCAGCAGCTTGTTCCTGCGCATGCGCCGAATCCGCGTCGACAGGCTGTCCCACTCCTGCTGGTCCTCCACCGCCAGGGCGGCGGGGTCGCCGAACCGCTCGCCCTCCACATTCTCGCACTGGTATCTAGAAAAAAAAATTCAATTAGAAAAACTGAACTAAAAAATAAAATTGATTTTTTTAATTTTTTTTTTGTGAAAGTTTTTTTAAATTTTGAAACTTTTTGTTAATTTTTCAAATGTCTTGTTAAAGTTTTTAAAATTTGAAAAAAAAAATTAAAATTTTGAATTTTTTGATCAAATTTGTAAAAGAATTAAAAAATTTTAAAAACAAGGCGGTTACCTCATCTCCTGGCCGACTTTGACGCCGTCCGCGAGGTACTCGACGAGCTCCTGGTCCTTGCTCTTGCGGAAGCGCTGCTTGCTCTCGCGGTACTTGTCCTCCTCCTCGAGCTCGCCGTCATCGGGGTCCTCCTTCTCGTCCACCTGCGGACGGAACGGGACGGGGCATTCAATAATGAAGCCGCGGTGCGAAAAAGGACAAAGAAAAGGGGAAAAAAAGAAAAGCGCCGGAAGAAGGCTTCTGCCAATTAGATTCCCTGGAGAAAGCCTCGGCCGGTCCGAGCTAAAACTTCTTGCGCCTCCTGGACGCCGAGGAAAATGGTACATCCGCCCGCATGGCCGCCGCAGTGCGGTGCCGTCGCCGAGCTTTCTCAGTCCCAAGTGACAAGCTGTGCAGCGCCGCCGGCCACAGCGCATTATCGTTGCAGTATCCCCATTATTATGATTTTTATTATTGCAGTTTTATTTGTTTATTTTGAGAGTGTACTGCCGACGGAGCTTCCTCCGGCTGGATTGATCCCTGCATGCAAATGTCTCCAGAGGCGACTTTCACTCAAGGAGTCGCCGAGGTGACAGGAGTGATTTAGAGATAAGCATTCAATCCGTCGCGTCTGCTAGGTACACTGTTATTAATACATTTTTTGGCTCTATTTTTCCGAAGCCAATTCCCGGGCGGCCCCCTGTCTGGCGCGGCGTGAGCAGCAAAGTGGAGCGCAGGCGAATATCGACCATCCGTCATCGGACCATCCGACGTCCGGCCGCCGTGATTGATTCGCCCGATCATTTAAGAAAGTCGGAAGTCGAAAAAACAAAAAAAACAACAAAAACCTACCTCCTCGTGCTCAGTGGTGCGCCGCTTCTCGGTGACCACCCTGCCGTCGGGCTGGACCTCGGAGATCTCGTGCGTGTTCTCCGTGTCCACCACCTTGCGGCCCTTGGAGGACTGGTGCACGAGGCGCGGCCCCGAGTTGCGCGGGTCCACCACCACGAGCTGGCCGTCCTCGCCGCGCACCACCTCCTTGCCGGACAGCAGCGCGCGCCGCACGTCCTTGTCGTCGCGCACCGCGGCCAGGTAGCCCTGCAACAACAACAACAATGTAATGGCAGGGCGCAACAACAACAACATTTGGTTCGCTCGACGTCCAAGGTACATATAATGCTAGCTGCTGGTATATGGATCCCTAACCTCAACTCTTTTCCCCCCATGATGTCAACAGCAATTTGCTAAAAAAAAAAACAACAACAGTTAATGTTTTTTTCAAACAGGTCGTCGCGAAAGCACTGCCTCCAAAGTGCGACTTTGGTGCCGTTCTGCGGGGCGGCAACGCATCAGCATCATCCTCAAACAATTACCGTCACGTCGCGGAGTGTGTTTGCCGGCCAGGGTCGAGCCTGCCCGGCAAAGGATGAAAAAAAAAGAAAACATCAACCTATTAGTCGCTGAACCACTCGCGAAAAAAAAAGAAAACTCAAGCATCGTCTCGATTGACACCCAACGAGGTAGTACCGGTTCGCCTGTCGTCTGCTCTGGCCCGTGAACCACTCTGGCAGTGTGACCCGCCCCGCCCACCGCCTCTCTCTCTCTCTCTCTCTCTCACGCACACACAGAGACCCTGCCAGAACTGTATCTGTCCCTCCCGCCTACGAAATGGGACGCTGTCGAGCAGAAATCGAGCCGTGTCCCTCTACATTCTCATCTCAAGCCGGAAATGCAAACACTTTTTATGTTCGGAATAAAAAGATTTTCGTTTTAACAAACAGAACAGAGGAGTGGGAAGAATTTTCACCTATTATTATTGTCTGTGGGAATCTACCACTTCCAGGGCCGCTTAATAACTATATAAAAGTGGCGTATCGGTCCCCCAACACAGAGGCAGTTAACCGGCTTTTAGTGGAGCCAAACAGAGTGAACGACCGATTATGGGAGCCTTAAACGTCACCGATAAAAGAAAATTTGTTGACTTTTAAACACGTATCGGAAACGGTTGCATCTCATTTGCTCGTGTGTGCGTGCCTGTGAGGGTCGGTCGACTTTCCCATCGGGTCATTCCACGGGTTGAATGGGTGGATCGGACGCAATCAAGAACCACGTGACGGAACATTCAAATTTAATCAACGGCAGTCGGCGGTTTAGCGCACTAATCGGACATCTGGGCATCTGCAGGCGGAGGGCCATCTTCACATCGACTGATTTACGCCGCCCAGAACGCGCGGCAAACCCGCGGGCCAATTGGAGCGTTCCGTCTCTCTCGCACGCGTGGGGCGGTCTGGGGCTCGTCGGGGTGCGAGCGAGACAGGCAGACCGCAGGGCGGTGTCCTGCCTAGGATCTAGTCACTGACCGCAGCGCGCCGGGCCGGGTCCGGTCCAGCCGATACAGCCGAGTGGGGACATCCCGCTCAAATTTATGGACGCACTTGAAACGGGCTGGGTTGCTTTTATTCATTGAGCCAGCCGGCCAGGCAGGCAGGCAGCCAGCCGCGCATGCGTCACCCTTCGCTAACAAGGAGCAGGAGGAGGAGAGGTAGCGAGGATGGGCGTGCCTGCACTGCAGTGAGGCCATTGTGGGGAGTAACTGCAGGTCACTCCACTGTCTTGCGTCACAGGTGTGTGTGTGTGTGCGTGTGTGTGAGTGTGTAGTGTGCTCGACAAGATCCTTAATGGCTGATACGAATTGAACACAGAGGAACAAACTGCTTCATTGCGGGGCGTTAGGGGCTGCGGGCGGCTGCAGGTCCCCAAATGACTACAATCACGGGCCACACCATGACGCGCGTCAATGCCGGGCACTTCTTAGGCTCGTTACAGCAGCGTTACAGTGTGTTACGTGCTTTGTGGACGGCCCCTTTTTTTTGTTCGGTGAAAAGTGAGGCGGAGTGTTGACTGGCCCCGCCGCTCCGCCAGACTGCCACACTGTCAGGTGGGCGTCGGCAAGGACGCGCTCGGTGACATCCTCTGCCGCCACGCCACGCATATCCGTCCAGCGCACCAGCGCGCGAGGGCCAAACCAACAAGAAAAAAAAAGAACGCATGCCAACAACCTTACCGAAAAAAATACGCAACCAGTGTCTCTCCCAGTTTGGCCAACGCAGCGCGACCTTTAACTTTTCCTTTCTACAATTGCCCTTACGAGTCTCGCAAACAATAGAAGCAGTGGCGACGCGCGCAATTATGCCACCTCTCGCCTTCGGAAGCCTTCGGGTTTCTTTCGGGTGGCTTCGGGTTTCCTTCGGGTACGTTCGGGTTTCCTTCGGGTGCCTTCGAGTTTCCTTCGGGTGCCTTCGGATGCCTTTGAGTAGCTTCGGGTGCCTTCGGAATGCCATTTGACTGCAATTACCGCGCGTAAACCACCCGAAAAGCGCCCGCCGTTAACACACGCACTGTCCACCGCGCCGACTCGTCATAACTTGCACCGGTGGACAAGATAATTACACACTCGGAGCCACCCGCTTTCTGGGCTGACCTTTCGCGTCGTGACAGCCAGGAGCGGGGAAAAAGCTCGCGCCTTCGGGTATTTATTTTCCTTCAGAAAAAGCGGGTAAAGAAAGTGAAGTAAGCGGCGCGTTGTTGGGTCCGAAAACATTGGTACTCCTGACGCGCGGGGAGTCGGGGAGAATGAAGACAATACAGTGCGCCTCCCTCCCAGTGCACCGGTATTTACTTTCTTCTGATTAGTTCAAGGTTACGAGCGGCCTGCACGCGGCAGAACGCGGCGGCAGGTGGGAACGCACATCACTCACTCTCCGTTTCTCTGAAATGGAGTAAGGTGGCTGCCCGTGTGGGAGAATGGGGAGTCGTTACTGGAAGCGATTGGCCTAACCAGCAAAATTCTGCTGGTCTATGGACGCCAGAGGCAATTTCTCCACATGGCAAGACACTTGAAAATCACAGTGCTCGGTTGGAACGATGCGAAATGTCCCAAGCCGCAGATAAAAGTCGAAAAAAAAATGACAGTGTACCGAAACAAATCAGTTCCAGTTACGACACGACGGACGGGGTGTATCATCAAGGGCCGCGCCCAATACGCACTGTCTCCGTGTCTCTGGCGTCCGAGCGAGATAGACGCAGGGTAGAGATGTGGTGCGATAGAGAAGGCGAATAGTGGCCTCCACATTGAATAGTATCGACGCTCCGTTCAGAAATGTTTTAGACCGAACCGCCGCACCAGGTCGGCCGCACTGAGTACCTCCACAACAACAAGGCAGCGTTTGGACGCGCCCTGCGCGAGCCGCGAGCAAAAACTAACACTTTAAATGCCATTAATAACGAAAGATTCTGCAGTGATGTCACATCGCTTCCTGCTTCGCCGTGCTCGCCGTGCTGGCCGTGCTGCCGAGGTCGACGCCCACAGCCTGGCCGTGCCGTGCCGCGCCGTGGCGGCCATTCGGACGCCGGCCAAAACCAACGCCCCCAAAATCAAACCATCCTGGTCGCCTAGCCGCGCTGGCCGCCCTGGCCGCGCTGGCAGGCCGAGCTCAACGAGAGCCGCGCCGGGATAGGCTGGCGGTGACGTCACCGCGACCAGCTGCTCCATTGACAAGGCCGGCCGCACCTGTAGCCGCTGTGCCGCTCGCAGAGCACGCTGTGAATAATCTGGCTCACTTGAGCAAGCGAGCGAAGCGCACCGGCGCCTTTGAGCGGTTAACAACGGGTGGCGCGTGTGGCGCAGTTGGTAGGGGCACTGGGTCCGGAAGGTAAGGACCGTGGTTCGATTCCAGCCGTCACCACTCTACGGCAGGTGTTTTATTGCTTTCAAACGCGTGTACTTCCCTCGTGAAGTGGTCCAAAGTCTCAATCGGTCTCCGATTTCAACCGGGTCAAGCTTGAGCGGACTTACGTCGGGGTAGAATGACTGCGAGTTGGAGGTGGCCCGCGTCTTGACCTTGCGGGTCTTGGTCTCGGACGCGACGACCGGCATCGTGGCTTGGGGGGTTCAACCTTTGAGGCGTTCGCACTTTGGAGCACTTGCGAGGTAGAGAGCATCCAGGGGTTCGTTGCACATCACAAAATCACTTGACTGACGGACTGCGCAGAAACACAGGGCGTCACACGACAGCACTCGGGTCGCTCCGTCTCTCTCGCACCCGTGGGGCGTTGGCCGAGGGGTGCGAGGGAGACGGAGCGACGATGATGCACCGTTTGAAGCGCGGGCCGCGGCGGCACTCACAGCAGCATTTCGTAATTTGGTCGTGGCCAGATGAGGTGCGAGTCGCTACTGACGACGCGAGGCGCCGAGGCGGCGAAGCCCGGGCGGCACACAAGCCTCCAAGACTCCGGCGTCTCCCCTCTCTCTCGCACACGCACGCCGGCCGTCCCGCTCGCTCGCGACGCTTCGCGTCCCCACCCACCTGCCGACTCAAAGCCTCAAAGTCAAGGCTCTCCGGGAGGCGGGGTGGGGCGGGGCCCGCCCGTCGTCCGTCAGTCTATTTGCTCCTTCATGAACATGGACCCTCTGTGCCGTGATGAGTTTATGACGACGTGGACCTCATGGAGGCATTTGGGAACCGGGACCACTCCACGCCTCCTCCTCCTCCTCCTCCTCGCTTCTTCAGGTGCGAAAAACAGAGTCTCCTGTAGCGCCTGCGAAGCTCAGGATAGACTAACCCGCCAAGCACAGGTGGCTACGAGTTGCCTACCCGCCAGGGGCTCCAGCAGCCTGCTGTCTAGCCTCCTCCTTCTCTTTCTTCGTCTTCTTGTTCTTCTTCTTGTCTTCTTCTTCTTCTTCTTCTTCTTCTTCTTCTTCTTCTTCTTCTTCTTCTTCTTCCCCCTCTTCAGCGAAATCGCTTGCTTAACATGAACCCCCCGTGTGCAATATTTCTTCTTTCTAATGGTCGGCGGCGCGGAAGAAGAAAAATCCCTCCGCGCGCGGGAATTTCCCTTGGCCGGCCGTTGGCGGTCGTGTTTCGCGCCACGCCACTGTAATGAACGCCAGGCGGGAACCTGTTGCCGCCGCGTCGTGAGCGACACTTTGCGCTCGCAGCGCTGCACTTAAGAAGAGGAAAACAATTTCTCGCGGGGCGAATTTAAAGCGAGTCGCACTACGTGCTCTGAGCTCAAAGTGCGAGAGAGAGAGAGAGAGA